TTGATGCACCAATTGGCTAAAGGCGTTATTGAATGGAACTTACCATGCACGAATGAAGCAGAACACCATCATGGTGCAAGATAACCAAACAAAATTGAGTGAGTGGTAATGTGACTGCATGAAAGGCAAGCAACTGATCCCATGATTCATTTCAACGAAAGCACCGAGTCTTGTGCATCCTTGGGCTTTGATATTTACTCAAAAGTTGAAGAATTTCCCGCCAAAAAAGGCCTCCCCTCTGAAAACCTCTACAAGAACCAACCCCAAAAACCCAAGCATAGCAACTCGTCCCGTGTTCCTTTCTACCACGGAGTTGAAGAACTTAAGTTGCTCGGGCATGCCCCCAGGCTTGGCTGCATCTAGTAGTTCACCGAGGCCTTCGTCGGCAATGAACTTCGGCGCCAAAGAAGCTAGTGTGAAAACAAAGATAGTGGTAAAGACGTTCCCTGCAATGCACGCAAGATGACAGACTCGTAAGAGAGAAGAGTAATACCAATTTCCAGCTTCCTCCAACTATTAGTGCTTCAACGGCAGTGTCAGCGAAGGCCAGGGCGGGCAGTCTTTGGTAAGAGTGGCGGTTGTCATTCTAATCTGAAATGATGTTGAGGTTGGGCACGGGTTGCAGTGCTCATGTCAAACTATATGCCCTTGATGTTCTTCTTCGATAGAATTGGAAGGACAAATGGAATTAGTTCAATAGGAAGATAAGGTTCTCACCTCCGTTTGCCAAGAGCTGGTCCAACGCGGTTTGCTTCGTGCTGAACTCAGCGGCCGCCGTGGCGACGAACCCAAGCATTGCTAGTCTCCCATTGACAATCTCAGGGGCTGACCCACTGCACAAGGCAGAACCGTTCAAAATATGAGTACCTTCAGTAGATCCAGAATCCAAGTAATGAAGAATAGACAACTGAGCAGCAAAAAGGAGACAAACATGGAAAAAGGTTAGGAACAGCGATGTCCCAAGGTAAGCGCAAGTGAGCCTGGCACACCTGAACGCCATCAGCTCCTCAAACGTTTCATTGTCCCCAAACTTCCTTGCTCCTCCTGAAGCAGTTGTCTCCCCTTCCTTTGGCGCCTTCGGGGGCATGGGTGGTCTGTCATCGACAGGTTTCCTCGGTGTAGGCCGCGCAACTTGTGGTCGTTGCGGCGCTCCTGAAGATCCTGCAGTGGTTTCCTGCATATCGCCAGACTTCATGAGTAATGCAGGCCTGTTCTATCTGACATATTTCGCGCTTCTTTCAGTCGGAGCAAACTTAATGCGCCAGATATCAGTATAGTACCTCGAAGTAGTTTTCCAAAAGGAGGCAGCCAACATTAGCAGTATGTGACTGAGAGGCTTGTGATACGATTCATTTGAGTGGCCGTTAATCCATTGGCCTGATCTGACAGGACTTCAACGCTCCAATATGCAGCACGCTCTTCCAATAGATACTAGTCGGACAATGTGCGGCTTGTAACCTGAAACTAGAGAAGCCGGAAGAATGAGCTGCACTGTGGTGATGTGTCGCTTGCCTGGTTCGTCTGAGCATCCGCTCTCACGCCATTGCAAGCTGTGTTGGAGCGCGAACAGGAGCAATGCCTGGGGAACGGCAGGCGGGACTGATACTGGGGCTCGCTCAGGTTTAAGCCACTTCTTTGCAGGCCCTTGGACACAGCCGCCTTTTGGGCCGCGTGCGAGAACGAGACAGCCCTTGTTGCCATGATGCAACCGTTACCTCAAAGTTGCAGCTAGGTACAAGCGCGCCTGTCCTTGCTGCTTGCAATGTCCTCCTCCTTGACTCTTGCTTGAGCGCCCTGAACATCGACTGCCAGTGCCAGTTTCTTGACGCACTTTCCTGGAGCTCAGATCAGCTCGTCAGAAACAAGCTTCACAAACTCACGGCTCGGAGTTCTTGAGAGTTACGAACATCTCCGATGAAGCTTTGGCGAGCGAACACGTCGGACACTTCTTTAAACTTTGACACGTGGGCACCAGATATTGGCAGACGCATGGCCTATGTACAGTACACTGCTGGAGCTAGGACTAGTAGTAGGAGATCTTGTGTGCAATTCCTCTTGTCTTGCACAGGTTGCTGGAGGATTGCATTTCAATTGTGATCATTCTTCAGGTGCCCAGCTCACCCAATTCTTGCAACAGGCGTCACTGGTCAGTGTGTCTTCTTTGCTAAAACAAGTTTGGAATTCTTGGTCGTCACACGCGGCGTCATAATGGCTACAAGTTCTTTGCAGGGCAGATGCCTGCGCGCACACGTTGCTTTTAGGGCACCAAGGAGCTCGGAGGCTCAGAATTTGAAACAAAATTGGACGCTTTGCTTGCGAAACCGGGCCTACCCTGGGCACAGGAGTCTGCTTAGCAAGGCGCAGCCGTCGAAGCTGAACCAGGGGCGATGCATTCAATTGCAACGCAAGATTGTTGCACAAGCTGTTGAAAGCAGCACGGCTGCCCCCCAGTCTGAGACCCCCGCAGCAGAGAATGGAGCTGAGGAGAAGAAAGGCAGGAGAAGGCCTGGGGAGGCCAAGGGCTTTGTAGAGGAGATGCGGATCAAGGCGATGAAGCTCCATACTAGGGGTCAGGCAAAAGACGGGGAGGCGCAGGAGAAAGAGACGCAGCAGAAACCACTCCCTCAATGGAAGCCCACAGTGGAGGGGTATATACAAGTAAGGAAAAGTTATTGGAGTATAATTGCAAACTGCCTGCAAATGTATGGTCTTGTTCAGATTGGTGACATTTGGCCCTGATAACGATGGGGCATGTTGGCTGCATTCCGGGTTCTGCGCTACTAGTTCAGACGCCATATTTGTTACAAGTGAATTGGTGCCAATTCATGAATCCAGATGAACTTGCGAATTTGCTATCTTATGCGTTTGTCATTTAAGCATCACAATTGCCCAAGAACCCTAGAATCATACATAAGCTGGTCATTCAGACAATCTACACTTTCATCCTAGCGGTTGTTGGCTACTCCATGCAGTTCTTGGTAGACAGTAAGGCGGTGTATGATACCATGGAGGCGATTGTTGACAAGGCGCCACACCAGAGCTACGCTGAATTCAGGAACACAGGTAAGCAAAGAAGTGGGGGCACCGTTGTTCTCTTTGATAAAAACGATGCCCCATGCTGGTGCATTTCAGGGTTGAAAAATCTTGAAGATTGTCTCGAGGAGCTGGAAGCCCTTCCTCCAGAGTATTGGGTGCTTATTGTCTCGCTCCTCCAACCTTGTTATGTAGAGTCTTTGGAATGACTGGCGTATTTGCAATTTTATTTGCTCTTTGTTCCATATTGTATCTTCTTTTTATGCACACTTCAACGACATAGTCATGTCTTCTTCAGTACAGATCGCATCTCGTACTAAGCCTGTCCCGATTGTCTTTTGAGTATGCTCAGTAGTCAAGAAGTTGAATGCAACTGAGTGAGGCAAATGGATCTGGAGAAACCGTCAAGCACACACTTGACTAACTTACGGTGTGTCCATGCTTCATACTGTGGCCTTCGTATAGCCTTTGCAACATGCAAGATGCCACAATTTTCTCAGAACTTTGTTCTATTTCAATTCACTGACTCGTGCTGACAATACTGTGTATACGGTGACGAGGCTACTTTGCAGTTGTTGTCTCTCATCCAACTCAGACGATCAGAGTGGTTGGGTGTTGGGGGTTCTATTGAGCAGCTTGCCCAGAGTAGGGAGTATCCACTTGCAAACGTAGTATCTGCAAGCGCGGTGGATTGCCTGAGGCGACTGAAGGATAGGCTTGGTTCTCAGGGGTTGAAGCTACTAACTAAAGCAGGCGTTCAAGCTGTGCCACGGCTTGATTTGGAATTGTCGATCTGGACTTTCTCTTAAATGATCACCGTAATTTCGCAGTTTGATCCTGGATGGGATCCGTGTTCACATATCGCATCTGCCTTTCTTTAATGAGTGAATCGTTGTCTTGGTAATCATATCCGAGCTTGGAAAGCACTGGTTCCTCAGTTGCAGATCCTGTGCCTCGTCTTTGTGTCCAACTAATTTGCATTTTTCGAATATCGTGAGCTCAAGAGAACCCGTAAAAACTTCCTCTGCAGTAGCAGACACCAAGTGCTTTTTCTCGTTTCTCAGAGTTCTTATCCATATCTGATTTTTTGTTGATTGGGGAATAGATTCTCATTATCTTCATCTCATTTTCAGGGTTGGAACGGACTGGTCCCCTCTCCAAAGACCTCGAGCACTTCCGCTCCGAAGGCTATTCCATTCCAGAGCCCACTGAAGCTGGCCTCACGTACTCGAAGCTCCTGGAAGAGTTGTCCGAGTCCAATCCGCAGGCTTTCATCTGCCACTTCTACAACGTCTATTTTGCCCACTCTGGTGAGGACCAGTCCCTTCTCGTTTCGGTAGACCCTGAGGGCAATCCTACGAGAGGCTCTGACTGTTGACTTTTGTGGAATCCATCCAGCGGTTATGAATGCTTGTTTTCTCGTTGAATTGGTTGACCCGGAGGTGGGAAGGTTGACTGAATAAGGTTCTCAAGACTACAGTACGAAGTACTTCTTTGGCATTAAAGACGCGGAAGACCTCAGAATCTGGGAATGATTTTGTAATATTGTTTCGGCCTGGACGGCATTAACATCACGCAAAATGAGGAATCCAGCTTCCTTGGTTGTTTTCAAAATGTTTGACGAGCTTGACTCTCTTTTGTACATAAGTTCCGTGAACGCCAATGAATGGTGTGTGGCAGGAAGAAGCACGTCGTCAAGCTGAACTGAGTTCAATGGAGTTAGTGAAAGTCTGACCCGAGCGAACCGTTCTTTCTCCGCAGCTGGTGGACGTATGATTGGCCGCAAAGTTTCAGAAATGATTCTCGAAGGCCGAGAACTGGAGTTCTACAAATGGGATGGCGAACTGAGCGAGCTCCTAGACAAGGTAAAGCTGAAAATTAACGAAGTCTCGAACGACTGGACGAGAGAAGAGAAGGATAAGTGCTTGCAAGAAACGGAGCTCTCCTTCAAGTACTCAGGAAGTTTGCTAAAGCTGTTGGCCAACACATAGACTACCCAAATTCGATGTTGATAGGGCAACTTCGACGTAAGTAAGATTGCCTTTTTAGGCAGCGTTTTGGTGTCACCCACTTTCGGGACATTGTTTTGCATAGCGGATGGGTTGCCAAAGCTTTTGAGAAAGATTTGTTGCATCTTTTGGTCAAGATTCGTTTTTGGGCCCCGTGCCCGGAGGATGGTCGGATGATTGTTCTTGACCAACAGCACCAGTGGACGATGTACCGCTTTCAAGTGCGTCTGATTGATTCTTCGATTTTCCAAGGCATGCATGAGCGGAGTCTGGTCGGAAATGAACAGCTTTTGTGTCGCCCAATCTCATACCATCCACCCACCCGGTGTCATGTAGGTTCGTGTCCTTTGTGTAGGTAGTTTGTATATCTTGTAAAGTTGCATGCAAATTATCGGCATGCCAATGCGGAAACTTCCTCTCATGGTGTTGTATGGTTTTCACTCATCATATGCGACACCGATCACCATGCAAGTCCATATGGCGCATGCATTGGTAACCCTCACGACCCGGCGCCCTTGACAATTAAACGCGTTGGACGTCTTGATTAGAAGCTACGTGCATTTAATCGCGATTATCGAACAATATAAACCAACAGGATTTAGCTGCACTTCCGTTCGGGATTTAGCTAGTATATACAATGATACGACGCGACTCAATTAAAATCTTGAAACTTAGCGAGCGCTAGCTCGGCCGCCGGTCCGACGCCCGCGGCCCGCGGAGTTATGCAGTTGGCGCGACCTTGCATTTCCACCCAACCCATCCCGGTCAGTCTACCGGCCACCCGGGGGTCAGCCCATCAAGGCATAGGCTATGAGCCATAGGGCCCCCATGGCGCTTCCACAGGGGCTCAGGGCCTGCCGTTACCGAGCACTTGCGGGCACTGTTCCCGTTCTCGCGAGCAATTGGTAAGGAGTGTGCCAGGCGGACCGTGGACGTCTTCGTATGCTCTGGCCATTGCCAAGCTTAATCCGACTCCCGTACCGCCATACTCAGTTCGCACTTAATTAATTCATTTTTAGGTGGTGCGGAAAAATAAATTAATTCCAGAACAGCTGGTGCGAAAATGGAAATACTACCTAAATTATTGAGAAAAGCGAGCACCAAGAAAAAGGTATTATCAAAGCCCGAAAATGTGGGGATTTTTGAAGAATCACGCTGTCGGCAGGCTTTTGGCTGAGGGCGAGGCGAGAAAAGGACTATGGAGCAGGGATAAGGATGTGAAACTGCAGGCAAATGGCAGGCAATAAGCTGGGAGCAAAAACCAAATCTTTGAAGTGCAAAAACTTGAAATATGGAAAATAAATTCCGACACCCAAGTGCGAAAAGGGAAAACGAAAGAAAATAATTCTAAAAAAGGGGGTGGTGCGAATTGAGTATGGCGGTACGGTCCCTCTCAGCCTCGATGAGCTGAGGAGAGCCCAAAGGGTGGATTTCTCCGCCTTGGCGATTCACTCTCCGATTCCTTGGAATTCCAGAGATTGACCGCACCCTTCTGTTATCACCTCTCGGCCTCTCTGCCTTGTATAAGCGAAGGATTCTCCTAGTGAAATTCGCTTCCGTTTACAGCTGGCCGCGGCAGGGTGCCTTCGGCACTGGTCACCTTCAATGAATTGCCGGTTAGGTCCAGATGAAACAGCGGTTCGTGGCCAGAACTGACTACAAGTTAAGTGCTTCCGCCTAGCCCTGCGGTGGCAGCACAAAGCGCCTTCCTTCTGGAGCTTGAGGGGCGATGATGGAGTTGGTTTTTGAACGATCAGACAATGGGCCATCCGCAACGTTCCTTCTGGCTGAGGATGCCAAATTTGTGGACCTTGAACAAGTGGCACATCGCTTTGGTCTTCAGAAAGGGTTGACGTTTCAGACTGGAGAGAACACTATCACCATTGAACCAAGGCTGATATCCATTGACAAGTTGTATGAAGCGTGCAAGGTGGAGAGGACATCACCCTTTCGGGTCATCATTGGTGAGATAATTTGCTGTCCTTGACAAGCTGCTGCTGATGGCTTCACTTTCACTTGAATACTATCATGGTGGTATTGCTGAAACGCAATGACGTCAACTCACAGAGTCAAGTTAGAAGCGGGCCTGAACAAGGTGGTGTTCTGCAACTTCATGCAGCCTTCCTGCTGTGACATGCTATCATGCTTTCTTGCAGATGACAACGGGCAGGAACGGGTGACACCCGTTTGTTTAACGGTTCTGAAGAAACAAAGGACGTGGCCAAGCCGTCCATCTTGGGAGCAGGTGGTTGCGTGGGTTCAAGAATTGAATGAAGACCTTGTTGGGCATGACATCTCCGCCAGCACAGCCTGTAAGCATAATTTCAGATGGCAGATTCGTTTCTCTGCTCCTGAGTGTGAAGCCTCACTTTGTTCCTTGCTGATCATTGCCAGCAGTATGCGTGATGCAGCTGGCATGAGCAGGTTCATGTCCGCTGCCTGATTCTGTAATTGCCTGCTGACTGAGTTTGTGACCACTTTTGCCTGTTGGAGACTCGGTAGATCTGAGAAGAGGCCGGTGGCATCATGCAGGCAAAGACCACGTGAGAATGGACGTGTCATCTCAGGAGGTCTTTGACCAGATCTTGGACCTGTATCTTCGGGCTGAGCTTGCCAGTGACAGCAACCTGAAGGTGCTTGAGGTCACGCTCACAATCAAGAAAGGACCGTTGAAAGCATTCTCCAAGTTTGTCGGTGACCGGGGTGTCCAGGTGGGTTGTTCCTTCTGCTATTAGGATCAGCCATATGATGCATTGGAGAGGCCTCTTTCACTAAGTAATACTTCTTTCTCCCTCAGTAGAGGTGGTCTCTCGCAGATCAAGATCGGAGATGACAGGTGTGGGTTCTGTGGTTGCAGAAAGGACGCACATGCTGGCGATGGATGATTTTCTTGTAGTCGAAGTGATGTGGCATTCAATTATTTGCATCTCGCGTCTGGCTGTTCCCTGCAGGATGGTATGAAAGTGCTTCTTGGAACTGCTTACGACCTGCGACAGCAGAGTCACATCCAGCCAGTTGAGGTACCGGAGCTTGTACACTACCCGCTTTACTCGCTTGAGCCTCACTTGAACACCACAGTTCCAAAGGAGTTTACTGGAGGGGAAGTAGACACGGTAAGGTCTACTCCCCCTCAGCCACCACGTGACGCTTTCTTGTTGGTTGCTTCTGCCGCACTTCTCAGCTGTGTTGCTATTGAAAGCTTCAAATGTCCAGTGGCTTTCCTTTCAGGAAACATTTCAAGTATCTTCTGACATCCTTCTTGTCGACGTCTTTGTTTGCAGATCGATGGGGTGATCAATGTGGCAATGCGGCATCTTGCCGCTGCGCTTGCAGCTTGCCGGCCATCAAATGCACAGACGGTAAGCACGCACAGACACCCTCCATCTTTTGCTCGAAGGAGGCCTGTAAGATCTGGTTGTAAGAAAAACGGAACCCCACTGTAGGTTTCTGAGCTGGCAGTCAATTCTGCTTTGCCATTGTCCGTTGGTGGGATTACAAAATCATTTGCTGGTGGCATTGTCAGCCGATGTGTGGATTCTGCCAGAGGTGTCTGCCTGGTGTGCTACCAGATGTAATTGAGCAACCCCAAGTTGCTGATGCAATGCTTGGTTCTGCGTTCAGGAGGCAACAAAAAGGGCCTTCATCGACCCCATTCTGATCCTGGTCTGCATCATTGTCGTCACCCTCTTGGAGTTGGAGTCAGGGACGATGCAGCTGTGCATGGAGTTCAGTGTTGAGAACTCGACCAACGGGGGGAAGATTGACTACGTCTTCCGCCTAGTCATGGTATGTATTTCTGCCCCCTCGTCATGGTGTCTATGTGCATTGTTGCTTCTCTCTACGAACCGTGTTATGTACTGTTCTATTTCGGGCGTCTGAAATGAAGCCCTAAGCTTCCTCGGATTTTGTTGGTCGTCCTTTATGTTGATGGCCTCTTAGATAGTCTGATACTGCCAGCGTATTCGAGATGTTGCTGTGAGGGCTTTACCGCCGATTCAATATCTTGCATTTTGGAGCCCTCTAAGGATTGTTTCGAAAACCCTTTGCTGAAGGTTTACTTCAAGAATGCAGGCTCTGATTGGTCTAGTAGAGGCCAAGGGAGAGGGATCACTCGTCACATATAGAGGGCAGGCGCTTGTGGAGATGGCTGCAGTGAAGCAAAGCACCATCAAGGAGGGGAACAAAAGGAACTACGATGCGACAAAAACCCCGGTGCGTCAAATATTTGTGCGGGATTCTCTGATTTCATTCTTGCAACGTGGGAGTTTGGCCAATGGTGAACATCGAAATGCAGACTGGATCTGGAACAAAGCGGTGGCTGAAGAGCTTACTGATGCTATTGACGAAGCCCGAATTCCTTTGCTTTGCAGGCCACCTGCGTCTTGACCAACTCCACTGACTGGGAATTTTACGTCCTGACCCCGGATGAAGAGCCTCCTGTGACCTTCCGGCAGATTGCTACGCCCACAGATAGCATGCTTTGGCTGGATGTCAAGAAGCTTAGGGCGAGGTATATGCCCGTAATCGAGCAGCTGGTGGCCATCCTGATGGTCGAGACCCAGAGAGTACAAGAACAGGCATTCAAGAAGCCTAGAGTTGTTTAGAACCTTGAAAGTGCATGCATTGATGATTTCGGTTCATAGCAGCGGGCACTCGTTGTCGAAGAATTTCAATATTCAAGTAGCCTGAGGTCCATGTATACTTGAATGGACATGGCCACTTTCTCACTTGTGAGGCCAGATAGATGAGAAGACTGATCCCTTCTTGTGTTTTGCTGCAAAGTTGACCCACCATTGCCAAGTGTATGGCTCTTACTATGTCATTACTTTGGGTCAAGTGTCAAATAGTCCATCAAATGCCTTTGATGGAACGCGACCCATGTTTGGTTTGAACATGGATGCAAGCAGATATCGGGCCAGCTGAGGCATGGGTTTTACGGACAAAGTTTAAGGCCTTGATAAGCAGGCGATGCAATTGTTTTCGAAGACATGTTATCGTCGGTTTTTGGAGTCTGCTATTCGAGTGAGTTCTGGATTCTACTTGCATGACACGATATCCCACCATATCCCAATTGGCTTAGACTTCCATTGAAGGACTCCCGCATTCCTTCGTCTCTCAAAGGGTCCGATTGAGTCCGGACACAGAATACAGTTATAGCGTTGTAGAGAACAAAGCATTGGTGTTTGACGAAGACCTTTCTTCTTGGGTCCTTAAGACCATTCTCCGATAAGATAAGAACTTAACCCCATTCGTCCCCATCATTGTCACTTGCAAAAACTCACATGCTGTGAGATATATATGTGCACATCAATAGGCATCAAAGCCCGCACACAAGGAGACGGCCGCCCTGGAAAATCTTGATGTCTGGCCAAAGCTAGAGCGGAACGTTTGTGGTGATGAAAGAAGAAGTCGGTTCCAAATGCATTCGAAAGTGATGTGGTTAGACCGCTTTTGCGATCTTAACAAAGAGGTTCAGTATGTTCGAAGAGGCGACGTCAAAATGCAGGTGCTTTCTCCCGGTAAGTACTCCTCTACACAAATCGTATGTGTTTGCATTGCGTATTGGAGCTAGCCTTGACGGTGTGATGTTCACGTATAATTGCGTCAACTCTTAGTGGCCCGCCCTCCGGTCACAATCTAGCCGAATCCGGGAGCTAAGACTCAACAGCATCAGTCAATCAGAAGCCAGTAACCGTTATCGAGTTTCAAGCCAGGGGTTAGAGCCGTTATAACAATAATCTAACGGTAATAGTGAACCGAGCAGTAAAATCTACGGTGATGTATGAATTAGGTTGTCTACGTGCAACAGCTAGCCCCCCCCTCCCAAAACATTTGCAACGTCCTCGTTGCCGTGTACAATTTCAATGCTGTAGTCAACCCAATGTGCGTCGTGCCGTGGTTGCCCCCCGGAAGCGAACCAAGATTTGGGTTTTTGGTAAGCCCCGGCCCGCGGCGCACATTGCGCGTGTCGATAATTTCGTCAACTGGGGGTGACCTAGGCAATCCCATCCCCAGGATTGCCCGTCGGATAAGCTATCCGCCATAAGGGCCCGGTACAGGTCCAAGGGCCCAGCACTTACCATTACCACGCTGTGGACAACCGTTCCCATCCACCAGAGCACATCCACCAGAGCACTCCCTCCAGGCCCTGGGCCAGGCCAGCAGCCAGCAGGCCAGACACATCATAGCAGACTCAGATTTCAGGTCACCAGGTATATGTGCGCACACAAGGTGGCATTGGCAAAGGTCTGGCTTCCTGGTATGCTGCCCAAGTGTCCTTCTAGAAGCAAGAGGTTGCTTCTCTGAGTCAGCGGGGAGTCAGCATCTGGTGGCTTGGCAATGGCGCTCCCTGGCGTCCTTTGGGAGCTTTCTGAGCTCGATTTGATGGGGGTGAATGGTCTCCACCTTCATTTCTTGGAAGAACAAAGGGTCAATTTCTGGAGGGAGCTCTTTGGCGAGCAGGAAAGCTGGCAGTCTGTGGTCAGTGCGACATGTACGCAGGCGTCTGGACATGCTCAAGTAAGAGCAGCTTGCCTTTCATTTCTTTGACAGGAGGGCATATGCTGTGTACTGCAGGTGAATGCTTTCAGGCCACAGTGTTCTGAGAGCATGTTTCTTTTCAGCTCGAATAAATCGCTTGAAGAACTCGTATCAACATCTTTACATGCATGCATGCATATGCGTTTTGAGAGGTGTCTACAATATGGGGCTTGGTCAAAGGAATCCACAGTCTTTGATTTGAAACTCAGGCTAAACTTAGGAGTGTTGAACTTGTCATTCTCCGTGCAGGCTGATTGCTCTGCTTCAGCGGAGTACGTGGACAGCAGCGCTGCGCACCAGGCTTCAGGGTAAGTTTGTGCTTCCCTGGCCCCTGAGTACTTGCGCGCTTGCGGGTTTGTGCTTTTAGGTGACCCTTCCCAGCTGATGATTTACGTCTGTCTTCCCAGAGTTCAATCTTGCTCATGCGCCCTCGAAGGAATCTTCTCAAATATTGTCTTCTCATGTTTTGCAGTGGATGGCAGAAGAGGCTGCACCACCGCAGCAGGAGTCGGCAGCCTCGCTGTGTGATGGCGAGAAAGGCGCTCCCGCTGCTGAATTGCTGCCTTCCACTATGGTGAGCTCACCAAACCTGATGGCTCAGACTCTGCTGCGTGGGAGGAGCGCACAGTCAGATCCTGGAATATGACAGGGACCAAAGAAGCGACAGGCGCTGTACATGCAGGGTGTTGACAATTTGCATTTGGCTAAGGAGCTCAAATGCATACATCTGTGGGTGCAGATTGTCAGCCCCATGCCGGGTACAGCCTTTCTTCATGTCGTAAAGGGGCTGCACGAAGTCAAACAGGTGTGCGTGCTCAGGATGGAAGTTCGAACTCAGTTTTTTTCCTGGCTTCCAAGGGTTTGGCAGGCACACCTTGCGGATTGAACGGGTCCGCACGTTGTTTCTGGTACTGAGGAATTGACGCTTGCACCATTTGCAAGGTGTGGGCCAAACGCGAGCCCGGCCACAGCTTGGCTTCTGGAGTTAGCAGGCAGACTTAATCTGGGTCCACACGCTGTTAGTGGTTTTCAGCTCTTGCGCGTGCTACAAGGTATGGGCTATAAGCAGGCCACACCACACTTCAATCCTGAAGCAGATGGCATGCACTCCCTCCTTGCCTTTCTCTTCCTGCTTGGTGGACCACACCTTGTCATTGATTGATTGGAACCCAGCTTTTCTTGTCTGAGATGCACTTACAAGGTGTGGTCCCGCAAGTAACCCCGGCTGTTCCCTGTAGTCTTTCAGACTGTTGATGATGGCAACGGCAGCACAGAGTTGCAGGCTTGTGGTTTTGAAAGGCAACGATGGATTCTCGTGTTTCGCTTTCCTTATAAGGCTTATAGAGAGGCTCTCTCTTTGACGCATCTCGGTTCTGGCGTTGATGCAGGTTCCTTCAGCCAGCTCGCCGCTCGCGGATGCCAAAACGCCGTCTGCAATCAACGTGCTCGTGGCGAGCACGGTCACAGGTTCGATGAGCAATCCCATTTCTGCACCGGATGAGGTGAGTCCCGCAACGGCCGTTGGAAGCGGCAGCCCTACAGGCCAGGGCAAACCCATGTCAGGACATGACGCAGGTGCCGCTCATGCAGCTTTCCGGCTGCCCTCTCTTGAGTTGAGCAAGCCCATACAATGGTTTCTTTTGTCCACGCGGCTTGCCCAATATGCCTCAGATGTGGTTCTTAGGCCTGGAAAGGAATGGGCTCAGGACAGTTCTGGTCAATCTGAACATTAAAACTTGCCAACGCGGGAAGTGAAGCCAACTGAGAATCCAGCAGTGTGATCCCTTGCCTCGGCACACAGCTTGAAGGAACGATACCACGTGTTGTGCTCGCGAGGGCTCACCAAAATCTGACCTCGAATCTCCGTCAACATACTCCTATGGTAATTTAAGTTCACCAATCGTCACGTCAGGAAACAAGTGCAGTGTGAAAGACCGTTGCACCCCGTTTTCAAATTTGTTGGACCACATGTTATAGTGGGTTCTTAGGATTCAAGTCTTGCGCCAGGTACAAGGTTTGGGCTTTAAGGAAACGCAGCCAACAAGTGGCTTTTGTTGGACGGGTTGCAGTCATGCGTAATTTCTGTTTTTGAATGGGTCCACACGTTGTGAGTGGTACTTAGGAATCCTGTTTCAAGCCACATGCAAGGTGTGGGGCGATAAGCAGGCCCGCCATGACAGGCATGCAGGTCTGAGTCACTCTTTCCAACTTGGCCTATGGGCGCTTTGAAAATACCGGCTTTCTCAAATCCTTTGACTCAACGACAACCTCCGCAGGACTCATTCGGTGCACCCGGCAACAATACTCCCCCGTCGTCAGCCATCAGAGCTTTCGTGGCAAGCGCGTCGCGCGGCTTTCTCACCAAGTCGAAGAGAGGCCACCGCATCTTCCGGAAGGTGGCGGGGACCCTGTGCCAGCGCGCTCGCGAGGAGCTCGGCGCTGCAGGCCTCTTCTGGTCGAAGGCTGCCTGGGATGGGGGGCTGCATGCCGCAATGGCTGGCCTCCAGGCACTCGCGGGCACTGCAGACGCGGGCCTGCAACACGGATTCAAAGAGGTTTTGACTTTTATCACGCAGGCCCACCTGGAGGGGCTGCAGCAACCGGCAAGCGCCTCCCGTGGAGCTCACAAGACTGCCGCAAGCCGAGCGCACACGAGCCCAGCGGCCACAAAGCAGGCCTGGTCGTCAGCTTGTGGCGCATCAAGGAAAGCGAGGGAAGCGAAAGAGGAACTGGCCATCTACCTCTTTGGGGACAAGGGTGAGGAGGGATACCTTGATCGAGCTAGCAAAGCACCCAATTGGGCATTCGCAGAAGTCAGATTCAGGGCTTTTGGGGCACTTGAGTCTTGAGCTTTTGCGATTGCACTCGAATTAAAAGCTCTCGCAGCATGGCGTGTCCTGGATAGGAGAAGGCGAGCCTCTACACCCACGTGGGTTGCCAGTGTTTCACTTGGGTCCGATCCTGACTTCAACTCTCCGTGCTTTTTTTGCAGTTCCATACGGCCTCCTCTGCAAAAACTGCAGCTCCCCCGCAATCTTTGCCCGGCGAGGGGGCAAGGGAGGGGGCGGTTTTGAATGCTTCTGCAAGAAGCATTATGAGCGAAAGAATCCTGGTAATGCTGGCGGCTTCGAGTTGGAGAAGACCCGGGCAGGTGAGCCCTATGCACCCGCCATAGCGCTGCCTCGAATCACTGTGCCAGCTGCAACCATGCGAGTTTGAGATGCAGATCTCGAGAGTCTGTATGCATACTGGCTGTTGTCCACAAGACTGCGATTGTTTGCATCTGAGCACTCGTTGCAAAGGCTTCGTGCCTTTTCACAGAGTGGGCACGTGTTCGCGAAGTGCGCAAGTTGAAGAGAGAGCTGGCGCAGGCGCTTGACGAGGACGCAGAGCTGAGGAGGGAACATGGTAAGATTCCACAGGCAAAGGGCAAGAACCGTGCACGATTTGACCTTGATGGGCAGCTCTTCGCTTGATTTAGGCTTTGTTCTGTCCTTATTCTGAAAGCTTGAAACCCGTTGAGCTCCGATGCCCACATCGAAAGGTCGCTGCAAAGCTTGCCCGCAGGCTCACGTGCCAACAAGACTCGTTTTGGCCTTCTTTCACAGCATGCGACGGATATCAGCGCGATAGTTTTTGCTGGGACGCAACCCCCAAGAGCAGGAATCTCATTGGTGAGTCATGGCTTGAAAGAGTTTCGATCTTCTGCTTGTAGCTGCCCGTCTTTTGACGTTTGTGTACATGAGGAAAAGTGACAAAGCTTGGGCAGTACCCAGATGACGAGTCAAACTTGCTGGACCACACCTTGCAAATGGCATCGAGCAGCTGAGAGTGGGATTCCTTATTACTTTTGACAAGGTGTGGTCCAGTCGACAGCAGTGGGTACGCTTTTCCACTCTTCACGACCTGAATGATCTGTCTGGCTTGCTGGACCACACCTTGCAGATGGCTTTTGAGTGCAAAAAGTGGTTTTCCTTATGATCATTGACAAGGTGTGGTCCATGACCGGATGTCCGGTCTGATTTGCTGACCCACACCTTGCACATGGCCTTACAGTGCTGAGAGCGGGGTTCCTTATAATCTTTGACAGGGTGTGGTCCTCTGAACAAACGCGTGCATGCCACTTGCTTCTTTATGACCCGGATGGCCGGTTCGGCTTGCTTGACCATCATTGGCAATCCTCTTGCAGCAAAGCTTCTGCTGATCGGCGGCGTTGAAAGCAATCCCGGGTGGCCAGCGTCCCTGTCACAGTGGAACGAGAATAAGGACGCTCCTGTCCCTGATGTCCGCCCTCGTCGTCAGCTTGTGATTTTGCCCTCTCGAGAGGTGAGGACGAGCCCATCCCGACACAACAACTCGCAGCACGGTTCTGTGATAGCTCACGACTCACAAGCGCAGTGCTTTGCTTCAAAGCGTTGCTAGAGACTATCAGAGATTATGCTGATTTTGGAAAGAGGGCGTCATCTGAACTCGTATACCTGAGCCGAAACCTAGTGGTAGGATCTGTGAGATCTGAACGACTTCCTCGTGAATGCAATCTCTTGGTTCCATATTCCTAGCCCGGTAAGCACCGTATCTCCAGCACCGTGATCATATAATTCGTCAGTCCACCTAGAACTAGCGCTTCGCGTTGGCGGCCGTGCAGACAACAGCGCGGCCGCGCGCGCGCTAGGGCCGTTCGCTGCCAGCCGGCGCGGCAGCAGGGGCATGTGACGCGGCCGGCGGCCGCCGAATTTTTCAGAACCTGACGCTGAAACCTTCAGCTGCCTTGTGATAACTTCGCCATTCCATATACTATTCGGGTAGCAGGGTTTCTTCAGCGGCACAAATTAGCCGCAACCTTCTCCAAAATGGCGGCAGCTCTGGCGCTCAGACTCCTTCCGCTGTGGCTCCTCCTCCTAAGCTGCTCCGCTGCCGAAGCTGCTACTAGCGAGCTGCCCTCTTGCGCGCCTCTTCCGGACCCAGCCCCAATGAACCAGTTCTTGCTCAATAACTCACTAGGCTTGACAAACCCACTCTTCAAAGAAGTTCCCCAACCTCTGCAGGTCATTAAGTGCAAGTCGCTTGCAGGCATTCCCCGGCAGCTCTACAGAATTTCTGTTTGGAGAAATCGAGGGTGAATGTTACATCGTTACGTTAATTTGCGTCGGCCCACTCGCGTCCGCGTTCGATGCGTAGCATTAAATCACGAAGGCGCGCGGCCCAGTCTGACCTTGGCCCCCGACCAGGTGTGGATGTTTAGGGGGATTTTGCGTACGTTTTCGTATCGAACCACGGGCGGACGAAAAACACTCCAGTCTCCCCCCCGTTATCTTCCGCAGAGCGGCGTCGTACAGCGTCGCCCGAAGGGCGGTTGGGACGAAACCAAAGGTTCGCATATTTACTATGTAAATAGGCAAGCCAATATCCTCTTGGTTCCGCTTCTTTTCGCACTGTCTTTGATCAATTTGGCCTTGGAACTTTGGCGGTCATGTCGCTCCAGTGACGTAAATGCGGTATCTGCTGAACTCGAACCCCCGTTAACGTTTCGATGCTGGGGGCAAACTCAGATGGGACTTCGGTCGACCACCCCCACGTTAGATAACTAGTGCGAGCCTGAATGATTACGTGGTTGTCGAGTCCGGGCGCCACGTGTCTCCTGCTAAATCCCGTGACCCGGATATTTCTGCCTTACGGTTAATGGCATGCAAATGAAACCTAGCAATTTCGACCTCTCTTGAGGGTCGTAGCAAAATCCGAACCCTGGAATGAATGGAAGTTATGGTGGTGGGTCGTTGAGTTGCTCAAATCGATTATTTGTTAGGGAAAGCACTCAGTTGGACCTGGTTTGCCCGTGCCACCAAATTGGATCACTCCGTTAACCAGATTGCAAGGACAAGCGCTCTTGCACCCCTTGACGATCACCAGCTGCAAGGTTGGAATCCCCGAAATTATCGGTTGAAAACGCTTCGGAAGCCTGCATGCACACAGCTAGTGGCCCGCCATTCAGAAGGCATTTCCACCAACTGTCAACATAAGGCGTAGAATTTTGAGGAAGGTCTTTCTCGGAAGCAAGCCACAGTGGATGTTAAAGCAACCTGGCTCTACAGACTATTATCCCAGGTCGCCGTGAGCGTGGAATCTATCACAAGGCGCTCCCTCTTTTTTTCCTTGGAAGGAGGAAGAACATCTCGAACAAGTAAGCAGCCCAGCAAAGCGCACTTCAGCCAGGGTATCTTGTCTTCTTCTACTTTTCACTTCCGATCCGTCAGAGAAAGCTACTTTCAGCCGCTTCAAGAAAAGTTCTGTTTGCAATCAGGCGCAAACATGGCGCGTCTTCCCGTTCAGACCCTTCTTCTCTTGGCTCTCCTCCCTTCACTAACTGTGGCTCAATCTCCGGCGATTGATACCGTGCTCTCTCCGGCGCAAAACCCAGCAGGGGCGTACGACTTCAACTCCTCGGGGACTTCCACCGACTTCTCAACCAGGCAAGTCTTATGTGTGGTCAGACATGCAGTTTTGCTTCTTTAACATCTCGACGTGGAGCTACCGGTCTGTATGTAGCGTACGAAATCGGAAAACGCTGAATGGCTGAGATCTAGCAACAAGCACGAAAGGTTGCAAACGTAGTATCATGGTCGCATGCATGATCGCCCATCTCAACTAGAAAGCTCTTTGACAAAAGCGAAAACGCCGTTCTCAGATCAATTTACACTACGATATTCGAGTTAATGAGATGGTTGTGCCTACAATCCGTATCAGCCGGCACGCTTTTCTTGATGAGCGCTCCCCTGGGGACTTGGTCCCCAGTCGTTGTCGCCAACGCGGGTTTGAGCAGACACAGAGCCGACTTCACTCATCGCACTAAAATGCAGTATCCAAAGTTGCTGAAATGGTTTTCTCGATGACCGGAACGACGCAGCATACATCTCTTGATGCAGAGCTCCTCTGGGGACTTGGTCCCCGGTCGTCGCCAACGCGGGCGTGAGCGGCGTTCACTGGGCGATCACTCACTTCAACACCCTCATCATGATCGACCGGAGCGACTTTGACACCAGCTACGTCAAGGACTCGGCAGGCGGGCAGGCCTCCGCCGCGGTGTTAAATCTCGCTGACGTCAGCGCCCCGGTGCGCGGGCTTGACGTCATCGACAACATGTTCTGCTCTGCGGGGCAGATGTGGCCCAACGGGACCCTCGTCGATTCGGGGGGGTTTCAAACGGCGGCGGGTGACCCCCGGGGGTACAACGCGATCCGGAAGCTGGACACATGCGCTGCTGAGGAGAGCTGCGACTTCTACGAAGATCCGGGTGAGCGACTCGGGGCTTTGGTGTCGTCGACTCGAGTTTCACAGAGGGTTTGTTTTTGGTGACGCAATTACATGTTCCGTTCGTGAGCCTTTTGCATGTTATATAGAAGTGTAAGAAAGCGTTTGCAAGCAATAAATTGGCTTCTAAAGTTGGAAGGAACCTCGACCTAAGTGAACGGCCCAGTTCAAGGCCCGCTTCTAACTGTTTCTCGCTCATAATCTGGCAAAAGACACCAACTTGATTCGTTGTCCGAGAATCCTACCCCCTGTAGCGGTCGCAAAACCGATTTGCACTTTGCTGTCTGCTTTATGATGCCACCACAAGGCCTGTTCTGGTCCGCAGTCACCTGGTCGAGATTGTAATCCACATTCCCGGGAGCTTTAAAACCAGGTGCCCTGCATCAAATTTCATTATGCTGAAGAAGCACTGATACCCGTCTGGCCCGTCTGACACGTTTCCGTACTTGTCGCACGTTCCCAAAAAGTTGCTGGGCTGCGGACGCTTCTTCCAAGTTCCACCAAGCTGGCGAACCGGAAGCGGTACTGGTGCCCGGCCGCGCCCGATGAGTCTGGTGCACGACTTTCCGTAAATGGTGCACGTTTCGGACGCTTTCTCCAGGTGTCACCATGCTGGCCAAGCGCTGGTACCCGTCCGCGCACCTGATGCCGGACGGCGTCCGCATGGTGTTCCTCGGGGGCGCCGTACAGGGCGACGTTCTGCTCTTAGAATCCACGGACCAGTCTTCGGACACCTACGAGATGTACCCGCGGACGGCCCCCGCGGACGCTGCCCTACGGACGCTCCCCGTTCTTACGCGCGCGTTCCCGGCGCCGCTGTACCCGTTCGTGCATTTAATGCCCAACGGCCAGTTTTTCGTGATGGCGAACTACCACGCGGCGCTGTTTGACTTCGACACTGGGGAGGAGGTGGTGCTGCCGGATATGCCGGGCGCTATTTCGCGGAGCTATCCGTACACTGGTGAGGGTGTAGGGATTTGGCGTGATTGCGTTCTGAGCATAGATGACACCGTTAATGCGAAGCAAGCCGTCGACAAAGGGAAGATTCATCTTCCGGAGGTTAGGAGGTCTTCGTAGATTGCTTAGAGCCGCTTGCACAGGTTCGAACGAAACCTTTAGTATTTTGGTTGTGCAGTAGATCTTTCTGGGATCTTTAGCAGAGAATTCACCGTTAAGACGTCAAACGGGATGCAATGCAGAGGATCTTATCACGAGGGATTATCGTCGATTTCTCAGAGCTGCTTTGCACAAGTCAAAAGAACGTTCTTTGAAGAGTTTTAAAACGTCGATCATTTTCATGCAAGAAGATTTTGGGTTTTGGAACAGGCGCTCGGCAGACATCCTCGCTCGAGGGCCGCCGACCTTTCCTTCTGAAATCTCTGAAGGCTTTGTGATTTCCTGCGGGCACTCGGATCAGTGAACTCTTTGCTCAGTATTCAGCCCATGTCCGACGAGATCGACCAAATGGTAAAGGCATCGTTTAATTGGCGAGTCGACTCATGGCTTGATTTGTCGACTTTGGTTCAAAGCCGTGCGGCCGCTCCTCCTAAGCCCGAATGAATCGCCTCGTTTTCTCTGCTCTTGGCACCCGCGAGTGACTGCTGCAGAGAGCTCGGTTCGCAATCCAACGTACCTCCATGTCTGTCAAGATCAAACGGTGTGTTCTGGCCTGCATGATTCACGGCCCGAACCTCACGACCAAACCCGAGAACCAAAACCCCAATCAAAACTCAAGCCCTAGAATCAGTAGCCCAAGTTACTCCTCAGGGACGTCTCTCTCCAAGACGCACCCCGGAGAACGACTACCATCACAAAGCTCACGTTTCGCTCGTCCTTTGACCGTTCACGATCCAAATAGAAGTGAGTCGACTTCCAGAAGCAGTCTAGCGAGATTTCAGTTGTGAGAATCCTCTCTGCAGGGACGTCGGTGCTCCTGCCCATGTCAGTCGAGAACAAGTACACCGCAGAGATCATGGTGTGCGGCGGCAGCGCATTCAGCCCGACCGCGTCGCGCGGCGCGGCCGCGTCCGCGTCCTGCGGGCGCATCCGTCCGCTGGACGCGAAACCCACGTGGGTTATGGAAACCATGCCGGACCCGCGTGTGGGTCCGTACGCAATCATTACTGCAAACGGACAGGTGAAATAGTCCGACTTCTTTTGAGATCATAAGAAACCTTTCAACTACAACGAACGTCACGGGATAAACGGGCTCGGAGTAAAGAGTTGGAGTTGGAAGCGTTACCCTTCTGCTCAAAGTAGCACTGCTACGCATGCGAATTGGATGGAACATAACAGGGGTTTAAGGTTCGAGTGTCTTTGACGATCAGTATCTGGCAAGAGGGACCATAAAACCATACTTTGCGAAGCAAGTTCGCCAAGACAGCAATCTTCGAGGTCACGGACCACGTTGAAGCTAGTAAATTTTCAAATTGTCTTTCGGAGCTTTCTCCATCGAGCCTCGCGCTAATACTACCGAAGATTCTCCGTGCGTTCTGAAAGCCGCGGCTCGAGCGCAATCCACCTCGACACATTTTGGGCTTTGCACCGAGATAATTTCTTGAACGACGTTCTCCGAACCGGGCACCCACCTCGAGACGCATCCACCTCGAGACGCTTCGTTCCTGAAGAAATTCTCAGACGACTGTTTTGCCCCGGGCAGGTGATCATCATCAACGGCGCCCGGCAGAGACTGCAACGCCAGTGACATCGAGCTCACGTACCATTTTGAAGTGGATTTTCAAGTTGTGTATGACCCTTCTCTGAAAGCCTCAGGCTGAATCCGCCCGAGCCTCTTCACGTGCTCCGAAATTCTTATCGATTGCAAAACGCTTTGCACACTGGCACACAAACAGAATCAGACGAGCTTTCCAAATCGAGCAGATCATCATCATCAACGGCGCCCGGCAGGGCCACTCCGGCACCGGCACCGGCGTCTCCAACTCCCACGACCCGGTCCTCACGCCCGCGCTCTACCACCCGGGCGCCGCCGCCGCGGCGCGCTGGACAAACCTCGCGCCGGAAAACACGCCCCGGTTGTACCACGGGCTCGCGATTCTGGGCCCCGACAGCTGTCTCATGACCGGGGGAAGTTCCCCGTACGAGTGTCCGCTCGGAAGCGGGCCCACGTGTTTTGGCGCGGCTTGTACTGGGGCTGACGACGGCTGTTACCCGAACGAGTTCAGCATTAATAAGTTCTGCCCGCCGTACGTGTCGAGCGGGATCCCCCAGCCGAAGGTCGCGGTCGCGCCCGCGCAGATCGGCTACGGCGCGCCGTTCGTGCTGACGTGTGCTGTGCGCGCGGGGCTGGCGGCGCCCGCGGTCCGGGCCGCGATCATGAACCCTGGCTTTGGTGAGTGACCAGCAATAAAAAGCGGTTCGTAATTAGGTTCCGAAAGCTTTTGGACTGGATTGCGCGCCGGCGTGCAAAAGCCGCTTCGCGTGTCCAATCAGCAGTAGAAGCTTTTTCTTTTGGAAGTCATACGACGTCGTTCAGTGGGCTTCGAAAACTGGACGATTACATTCAGAGTAATCTGATCCGTTCTTCGAGGCTTCGCAAGTCGGTTTTCGTTCAGGATAAGGCTGGATCCCTCGCGAAGCTTTCTGATAAAACCGATGACGAGAAACAAAAGCTGGGAACTACAAGCTTATTTTGCTCGAAGGGCTCTGCCGTTAACGTTGAAGAGTATTATTCAAGGATACTGAGTGACCAGATCGTAGCCGTTTCTTATGGCCAGTACTTATCTCGCAACTCATGGCGTGTCATTCGCAGTGCTTCGATGCGAGTGCAGCGCTCGGAAACAGGTCAATAAGGCTCCACATTTTTTTGATTCCCCGTTGATTCAATGAGGCTCAGATCCCAAAAGTCATAGAGCTTCTATCGCGGGTGGGACAAGTGCGGCTAAAACTACACTGTGATCAGCAATTCAAGCGAGTCGAGAGATTGGAACCTCAGTAAGACCGGAATTGAGGATCCTTTGAAACCAGGTTCCTGTACGATGGTACCGGTACTGATTATTTGCAAGGCCCGAATTTTCTCCGCTTTTCTCGGTGCAGCCACCCACTCTCAGATCATGGGCCAGCGATTTGTGTGGCTCGAGGTCGACTACACGACGCTCTCCTATAACGCTTCTAACGGGGGGGCAACCGTCACGGTGAAAGGACCCCTCGGTAAGGCTATCGCTCCCCCCGGGTACTACTACCTCTTCTGCCACGACAGCAACATCCCCTCCACTGCCCAGTGGGTGCAGCTTCTGTAAAGCAATTGAATTGTGGGCTGTTAATTGAATAATCCCGCTAGTTTCCCCTCTTTTAAGCCTGATCAGGAGACAATCTAAGTAGGTGAGGTTTTTCGGATAGGAAAAACGACCGCTGATTGCCCGTGCGCGTACATGTATTTTCGGCCTAAAGCTCTGAGGCACAGAATGTTCTTCGACTGGACTACGTACGTGATTATGAATCGTAACTAGGAGATGAGAAGAGATGAGCAGATTAATTGGGCGTTTTCATATTCCATCCTGCAATCGTAGTTGAGGAACCAGGCAAAGTGATATCGATTCGTGCCAAAGTTTTTCGTTGGTCTTCCGCTTCCAAACTTTTCGCGATAAGACTCAGGATCGAGACAGCTTTGAAGATGTGCAAAAACTCTTCTTACACATGGTAGTCGGTGTGTGCGTGGATGCATCAACGCGGCTTTCACAGCTGTGTCAAGGACGGATACTAACAATCAGTCATACGATCTCATGGCATACATGCTGCATGTGAAGTCTTTCTTGAGCTTACTTTTCCGTGTCTAAGCACTACCTACCGATTGTCTCACTCTCCTTGCCGACGCTACATATGATGCAATCTCACAATTGGCAGAGCGCGAGAGCGCCAATCGTGTTACAAGTGGCGGCCCGGTACACCGGGCCCGATTTACATGTTTGCAGTCGTCGAACGTTCCGAAGTTCGATATATACATGACATCCACTGTGATCAATGGCCTGGCCGAATTTCAAAAGCGAAGTCGTGTTGAAGCTCGGAAAAGGCAATCGGCTGAAGTCAACAGCCAGATCATCCAACAAATCAAACATCAAGTTACGATCCGTGTTCGATTCATAAAGCTATTTAACACAAGTCGGAAGTACTATAGACCTACTCTTTAACAAAGACGAGAAACAAACTTGGTATTCTCCTTGTCACTACGCAAAGTGGGCGGCCCGATTCCGGGCGTACAGAGTAGGGCCAGTACCCGGTCAATACTGCTCCGCTTATTCTCATTGGTTGGCGCACTGGTCGCGCGTTTCTGGTAGGAACTCACGCACTTTCTAATCTTCCTAAGGTACTTAAGTTAAGTACCGTCACGTCTTCGAAATGTATCAAGTCCGCTCAACCTTTGCATCTCCAATAATGCTTATGGGGCGCATGCGGCCGTGGCTCCAGGAACGGGGCAAGACGACTTGGCGCAGCACACAAAGAACGAGCCAACTTCGTTGTAGCACGTGTAAGGGAGAGCCGACCTCGGGTCACACCTGTAATGTCAACACGGTGGACTCTCGCGATCAGCAAGGCCCTTGACTCTCCACTCTGCTGAGAACTTAAAGCAAAGCTTTCAAGCTTTTGAACAGAAACACGGCCGAAGAACTATGAAATCCGCGAGCGGCGCAGTCTGATTCAGAAAAGAGATCGAAGTATTTGGAACGTTCCAGGAAAGTTTCAAGTCCATGCCAAATTCAGCTTCGAACTTCCGATATCTATCCTGTAACCTAAGTACCAAGGCGGATGCCGAATCGGGGACCGAAAGCTCGCCACGTCGTGCTCTGCCCTCGCAAGATGCACTTCTGAAGCACAAAGTCGCGTGCAAAACCAAGCACGAAGCATCGCGAGACGGGTCTCATTATGGTCCTTGTATGAGATCACTGGGCATGGTGACGTCAGCAAGGGCGCCCATCTCGTCAGCGGGGCTTAGGGGTGCTTACGCGTAGCCAGCGCCGGTGGCGTACGTGGGCGTCGGCGCTGGAGCGCCTGTAGCGACAGGCGCTGCCGTGGTGACAGCTGGCGCCGCGGTGGTGACAGCTGGCGCTGTGGTGGTAACAGCTGGCGCTCCGGTGGTGACAGCTGGCGTAGGGGCCGCGGTGGGGTCTCCCGCGCATCTAGCCACCGGGCCTGGGGCGGGGCACTGGGGATCCGCGCAGCAAGCGAAGGACGAGCCGCCGCTATTGTAGCACGTGAAGCGGAGGGCCGAACTCGGATCGCACCTGCGCGGGGAGAATAAACGCAGTATTTTAGTTTGAGAATATGGCGGCCCCAGAAAATAGGCTCGAGAGGCGTCGCTCCTCGCATATCTAGATGCTTACTTTTCCTAGCTTGGAAGTCAAGCGAGCACTTTTGAGAGCTCGGACGGGCGACTCTGAGATTTCTTCGACCGGCGCTTGTCTGCAGACCATCTTTACACCCTCGCATACCGTCTTTAGGCCGGCGTAAACAAAGAGCAGTCCACTAGGATTAGACCGTTCTGAACGGCGGTGCTAGACTTGGGGTGCTAGACAGAGCAATATGGGGCAAGCTGCCCGTAGAGAAGATCCGGAGGAAACTCACGCGTTGCCAGAGCCGGTGGCGTAAGTAACTGACGGAGCCGGGGCGCCAGTAGCAATTGGTGGTGCGGTCGTGACAGCTGGCGCTGCGGTTGTAACAGCTGGCGCTGCGGTCGTGACAGCTGGCGCTGCTGTGGTGGCAGCCGGAGTCGAGGTCGGGGTACCGGTGACAGCTGGCGTGGGGGTTGGTCCTTGAGTTGAGGTGTCTCCAGCGCACTTGGGAACCGGGCCTGGGACAGGGCACCTCGAGTCCGGGCAGCAGGTGAAGAGCGAACCAACGTCGTTGTAGCAGGTGTAAGGGAGCGAAGAGGACGGGTCGCACCTGTCATTCAAGCAAGGGGGTGCTGATGATCAGTGACGTACGTGCAGGTGAAGCCCTCTCCTGAAGCTTGAGAAAGTTTCGTTGGCGGCCGAATGTTTGGAGCAGAATGTTTGGGGCAGGAGAAAAGTGCAGATTTCTGGGACGAGAAGGGTCCTTGCCGATTTCCCAAACTTGAAACCATGCGCAAGTCGAAACGACAGACATTTCCTATGTTTTGAAAGTGATTCCATGTTGACATGAAATGACGCCCACGAACAGAAGGCAGCAGAAGGCTGATCAGTAGCTATAGGGTCTAGCTAGTAGTGCGAGCCGCCGGATGGTCTTGAAACCTCAGAGAGCTTTTGGGGAGACAAAGATATATGGAAAGTGAAGGCCTCTTCTTGGTCCGCAAACTCAAGTAGCCAGATCCCCAGCGCTGATATGCCATGGAATCTGACTCCAGACCAGCAATCATGCCGACTTCTGCTTTGTCTGACAGCTTTATTGAGGCCCACTGACAACTTTCCACGTGCATTCTAGCATGGTTTTTAGACGGCAGTGACGTCACCTGCCCACAAAAGCGAGCTATTTCCTCACGTTGCAGGAGAGGCGGTGACTCTTGGTTGCATGAAACCAACCACTGGAAAGCAAAGAAGCTCACCTCTGCATTATGCACATGCCTGACAAAACGGAGAGCACGTTCCTCTTGTTCTACTTGCAGGTAGGGCAGGAGTTCCTCTGGTTTGAAACAATTTTTCATATGCCTGCTCCTGCAACAATGGTTACTAGTTAGAGGGACATGTAAGCTTACGCTGCTCCCGCTGTAGTCGCAAATGTAGGGAAAGGGCCCGTGGCGGTGGGGACCGGAGGAGGGGGCGCAGACGTGAGGACGGGAGGGGGGGGCGCACTTGTGGGGACTGCAAAGAACATCATTAGTAGGGAATCAGCGCTTGCTCTCTTTGTGCTTTCCAAAAAGTGCAAAGGGTTACAGTGACAAGACAATAAGAAAAGATGAGCAGCTGCATAATTGACGTTATGGGCTCCGTAGAATCTAATCTGGCTGTCTTGGTTTCAGATGTATTAAGAGCTCTGACAACAGCATCTTGACGTGCATAATGCATCTTCAGATTCTGATAGAAGTTGCTCAAGGTTCTCCGGGCTGCAAGCAAGCCCTAATCCATGGATGTCGGACCTTCAAATGCTCAACAGCGGAAGGCAAACTTTTCCCCAAATCCTACATCATTATGCTGATTTCCATGATTATTCACATTACTCACTCATTCCAGCACACAATTCAACTCCGCAAACCCTCTCATACATAGAATGGGCCAAGTCTGAAGCACACATTTGCAAAGAAACAATGGAGCCTGACAAATGATTCAAATGTAATCTCATCGGTCAGACAGTTCAAGGTTCAAGAAACCCCACTTTCACAACAAGGCCCCTGAGCTTCAGCGCTTATGCAGGCAAATCAAGTCCTCCACCAGCTTTGCGCCAACTTGGCAAGCTTTTTACAATCTCTTTCTACCCAAATGCAGCACACTGACAAGTGTTGGAAACATACAACGGGGATTCCCTGTTTCTCTGTTTGCCAAATACTCACCTTGCTCAGTGCACTTGTAGGGGCCCACGTTGCTTGCCCCCACGGGCACACAATTTGCTTCATCACAGCACTGGTCGTCGCATATGATTTTCCCCGGCTTACAGCACATCTCCCGTGCAGTAGGACTGGCTATCCCTGTAAGGGGTCGGGTGCACTGCGTCTCTTCGCCCTGGTCACAGCAGAAACCGAGGTCCGTTGGGCTCTGATACCCGCACTGCTGCAAATAGCAGCAGAAGCTCCCAAATCTCCCGACACTGCAGGTGTTCCCCCCGTATTTCAAGAGGTCGAAGGGCAGGCAGGCAGTGCACGCCTCCGGGGGGGGAGTCAAGCAGGTCGCGAAAGGGGAGTTTTGATACACACAAGCCATGTTATCGGCGCAGCAGGTTGGTGTGTAGTTTGAGAGCCCTTGGCTGCCAGGGGCGGTTTTGCGGCAGACCTGCAGGGGATTGCAGCACTGGGTCCCGTTAAACTCTTGGGAATACTGAAAGGGGGGGCATTGTAGGGGTGTGGGAGCAGGGGTGGGGACATCGGCCGGGGCGGGCGCGGGAGCCGCGAACGAGACGCAGCTCGGGGAGAAACGCAGGAGCAGCACGAGCAGGAGAGCCACCGGCGCTGCCATGTTGCGATGGGAGTGCTGAGGAAGGGAAGGCAATATTCTGGAGCTAGTAGGCGCTTCTTTCCTTGGGAGCTTGGAATGCGAGTCTTGCGATTCTGGCAGCGCCGGGAGCGTTGAATGGTAGGACATGATTGGCTCCTCGTCATATATAAGCGACGGTACCTGGGCTGGTCCTGACAATGGGAGATACTCTTCCCGCTTGGTCTAAGAGCTGTCGAGCTAAATTTAAGTTCGTGGTTGCAGCTTGCGACTCTTGCGATACCCGCAGATCATGGGTTTGAGCAGCTGACTTGGAAGCTAGGTCCGAATCTGATCAATAATGCAGTACTCGAATCCCCTTTCGATTATTGAACGCCGACAAATGAGAACGTGAAGTGGTGCATATAAGGGGGCGACCGATAAGTGATTATTGCCCTATTGTTAAGCGGACCCGTTATTACCGGATCACCTCGAGTGCTTATATTGTGAGACTGTTGTGGTCGAACCTGACTTTTCAGGACGACATTTCCGCAAGCAATCCGAGACCACGCTGAACTCCACCTAGGTATGGTACGGTAAGAAATACTTGCACCCATTATCGGCCAGCTCCTATTTCCGGCCACCCCGAATTCGTATGGAAACCGAGTCTCGATCGATTGAAACTCGGTTCGTGGCCGAACATTCGCCACTTTAGCAGGCGGAAAGGGGTGCTCAGTGAGGGTTGAAGATCTTGCTTGTTGGCGACCAAACTTGGTACTTTGGAGGGCAGGGTCAAGATCTACCTCCAGTTCAAAACCGGACCCAATTTGACCAAGTATGCTGCATTTGGCTAGCTTATGCAGGTGGCCGATGATAGGAACATGGTAAAAAATCCGGTCAAAATCTGTGATCTTATACCATACATGAAAAACGTCATTTTGTGCAAAAGTGTTTTATATGGATGGAAAGAGCATTCGACGAGCTTTCTATCCATATATCACATGCATACAGAAACTTGAGTCGAAATCGAAAACCTGTTGTCAAGCTGAAGGTGGCCGATAATGGGTGCAAGTAGGTCGACCTAGGATCTTCAAGGGCAAGCTGCAACAACAACTGGAGTTCGTTTGGTCCGGAGGAGAAGCTTTTGCAAGCCGGCCTCAAAAGACTTATGATTTGTCTCATATTGGATCGGGGGATTGTACTCTGAATTTAAATGAACAAAGACATACCCGGACCCCGGTCCATTTTGAGATTAGAATTTAGGTACGTCGCCAGCAATTCACTTCCTGGCCCGAACATGATACATGATGCATCATACATGACAGGTACATGCTCGTAAATGCAGGTACGATATACGTGCAAAGGTCTCCTTTGATTGGACCCGATTAAGACGTTCCCTGTGTCACAGGGCCTAGCCACTCTCCCCGCTATCTCATATCCTGATTCCAGACTGACACATTTCCAGGTTTACCGGCGCAGAACTGCTAGGTACATAATTAGTACAGACTGATAGGTACTACTAGTACCTACTGGTAATGGTATCACAGGTAGGTAGCCATGCTTGCTCAATGCTCCCCTGCGCGTCTGGGGTACCGGTATACCGACAGTAACCGTACGATACGGTACCTACCTACTAAATACGGTACTGGGCATCAGGTAGGTATGCATGGTTAATGCAACGTGCCTCTGGGACTCTGGGTCAGTACTGTGACCTGTCACAAATCCTGCGGTATGTACTAGTAATACCTACGTGCCGACAAAACCAGCATTGCCACCTGGCACCAACTCTGCCGGCGCCGGCATCTTACCAGCCGCCCTTCGTTTCTGCCTGCTCAGTGCTGAGTGGGATTTTCTACCGGTCCCTCCAAAGCCCCCGGATCCAATTCACCGGGTATTTGGACAGTACCCATCTCTGCCTAATCGGCCAGCCGCGGTAGGTACCCGTACCAATTGTCCGATTGGGCAACAATTCAATATCTTTTCACTTGCCCAAAAATCTGAAATGAAAATAAATTCCAATTAAAGACTTGTACTTCGTTTTGCCCCGTAAGAAAAACAAAAAAATGATAAATGAAGCTGCTCAAATTTCATGAGAAACGAAATAAATTATTGGGCAAAAATCCGCCCAACCGGACAATCGGTACGGGTAGTATGATGAATCGAGCGGCGGTAGTACGCGGTACCCTGTCGCCGTCGCAGCTCAATTCAATTCAATTTATTTTTTAGTCCCGTAGGAGCCATGGGTGGCTCATGAGACAAGGTCTGAATGTTGTCTCGAGTCCTAAACGCCTCTCTAACAAAGCTAGCAACCCTCTGTTGGTTCTCCTGACCTATAAAATGACGCAGACTAAATGCGGACTGGCCAACAAACAAATCCATGTACCGCTCATGCGCCGGTTTTCCAGCCGGAGTCTCAGCCGGCTAGGTGCCTTCGGCACCGGTTGGAATCTGGACGCCAGCTCCAGCCGGCGGGTTCCACACATGAAACAGGTACGTACGGTCGTGGCAATTTGGCAAACACTGTGGTAACGGTTCCCGCCGTTATTCCACGCGTCGCTGAACCGTCTTTTCTGGAGCCAGGTACTACTAGGCGTGCGTGCTCCAGAGTCCCTGGGGTGTACATGTCAGGACTCAGGACTCAGAGGCTCACTTGAATAGGTAGGTAGCATTATTGAGAACGTTCCGGCACTTGCCTTCTCCTGAGTCCTTTTTGGGCCGGTTCATCCAGGCCAGCATTCGACACGGAGTTTTTATTTTGTCGGCCCCAGGCCGAATGTTCTCTGGTCAGTCGGCTGGCCGCTGGACCATTGAACCGGTCGGTTTGTGTCAGCCCAGGCCCCAACACCCCATTCAACATTGACCACGAAAACACCTTGATTCTGTCGGCCGACGCCCCTCAGCTGACGTTTGCCTGGTGTATTACGGCTCATGTCGACAGTCGAACACTGCGAATTTCTGCGATTCCCAGGCCGGGCACATCTGTCGATAAAACGCCCCAGAAGAAAGCGCCAGGAGTCCAGGACTTGTCAGGGCGGCGGGCGCGTTCAATCAGGAATCAGGATAGGTACCTAACCACTGTGAAACTTAAAGTCGGTACACTAGTTACATGTACAAGCAGGCACGCGTCTGAGCAGTGAGCAACTGTCAACAGTATAAGGTTGACTTGGAACCAGGTACACGATGGGTGACTCACCATTAGGTACCGTATACCTCCCTAGGTACCAGGTACTCATAGCGGTATCCTGGGACCTGACCACTGACCAGTAGTGGTTTTTCTTTCAATTTTAGGTACCTAGGTACCTAGTACGTCACCGTACGTGTAACGTACGCTGCACGGGTTCACGGAACGCTGGTAGAGGACGGTGTACCATAGCTACTGTGATTGGCCAGCCTACGTAGTACGTACGCTGGCGCTGTACGGCAGCATGCAGACAGGCATGGCTACTACCGGTAATCATAATGGATTGCTCAGCTGAGTCAGCTCCCAGCTGGCGCCGCCCCAACGTTTTCCTACTGTGAGTGGCTGAGCCTGAAACACATTAGGTACCGTAGATCCGTCAAGCAAGACCAGCACTGAGCACAGACCTAACTATCTAATCATAAATGCGTACCTACGGCCTTCTCCAGAAACCTACCTGGACCACCTCCGACAACTGTGGGCCTTACTTACTACATGCATAATGCAGCATATTTGTGAAATTTATTTCTGGAGGCTACTCTCGGATTGCCTGCGGAGAAGCTGTGGGTCCCGAAATTATAGGAGCATGTCAGATTCGCCCACATGTACAGCAATCTCCACATAAGCGCTCAGAATTAGTGAAGGTGATCCCGACTGATTTACGGTAAACGGGTCCGTTTGAAGAGTTGGGTACGTCCTTGGATTCGCCTACATCATTCGTATGTACTATGTAGCAACTCTGCGGTAACCTTGGAGTTACGAAGTCGGGATACTGATTTGGAAACAGTAGGGCCCATTAATCAGTTAATATCGATCGGTTGCGGCCTTATGTGCACCAACCGTTCTCATTGGTAGACGTTTAGTGAGATCAGCGGATTCAAATATTGCATTATTGATCGATATCAGATTTGGACCCATTTCAGACGACTGCTCAAACCCATGTTCTGCACTGTGCACTGTGCAGTGTGCAGGTATCGAGAGTCGCGAGCTGCGTCCACGAGCTTGAAAGTTTGGCAGCTGTCAGAGTCCAGACCCAGCGGGATCGAAGAGTCTTCCCCATTTATGATTGTGAGGACCACTGGCAGCCCAGGTATCGCTACGGTACCTATATAACGAGGAGCTTTTCCAACCAACCAGCGCCTCCACAATCTCACCAATCGCATTCCAAACTCCCAAGGAAAGAAGCGCCTCCAGAATGGCTTCCCTTCCTCAGCACTCCCATCGCAACATGGCGGTGCCGGCGGCCCTCCTGCTCGTGCTGCTCCTGCGTTTCTCCCCGAGCTGCGTCTCGTTCGCGGCTCCCGCGGCCGCCCCGGCCGTGGTCCCCACCCCCGCGCCCACGCCCCTGCAATGCCCACCTGGGCAAGATTCCTATAACTTTAACGGCACCCAGTGCTGCACGTATCGGCAGACGTGCCGCACTGGCCCCATAGGCAGCCGCGAGGCCTCAGACTTCACAGCAGTCTGCTGCCCCGATAGCACGGTCTGCGTCCTGGACGCTTCCCCTTTCGCGGCCTGCGTGACCCCCCCCCCGGAGCAGTGCACTGCCTGCTTGCCCTTCAACTCCTCAGACCCTTTTGGGAATGCAGCCTGCAATTTCGCGAATTTCGAGGGAGAGGGGCGCTTCTGCTGCGGTGATCAGCAGTGCGGGGGGGGGAGCCCGACGGACCCCGCTTTCTGCTGTGACCAGGGCGACGAGACGCAGTGCACCTATCCCATTCAAGGGATAGCGAGTCCTACTGCAGGGCAGAGGTGCTGCAAGCCGGGGAGAGTCATATGCAACGACCGGTGCTGTGCTGCAGCAAACTGTGTGCCAGTGGCCGGCGCGGGCACCTTGGGTCCCTACACGTGCAATGAGCAAGGTGAGTATTTGGGAAGGAAGAAACAGGGGTTTTCTGCCCCCTGTATATTCCAACACCTGTCAGTGTGCTGCATTTGGGTAGAAACGAGTTGAAAGGAGCTGCTAGTAAGGTCCTTGCCAAATTGGGGCAAAGCTGGTTGAGGAGTTGTTTGCCAGCTGTGAAGCACTGAAGCTTTGAAGGGGCTTGTTGTAAAAGTCAATTTTCTTGATGCTTGTACTTCCTTACTGATTGGATTACATCTGGATTGCCTATCCGGCTACATTGTGTCTTTTGATTGGAACACTTCTGAATCGCCTACCAGGCTACATTGTGTCTTTTGAATCGTGTGCTTCCATTCCAAGTCCATTCTATGTATGAGAGAGCTTGAGGAGTTCAAACGTGTGCTGGAATAGGTGAGTAATGGGGATTATCATGGATATTAGCATAATGAGGTAGGATTGGGGAAAAAGTTTGCCCCCTTCCGCTGTTGAGCATTGTATTTTGAGTTCAGACATCCATGGATCAGGGCTCGCTTTGCAGTCTTGAGACCCTTGAGCAACTTTTGTGAGAATCTGAAAATGCATTATGCACGTCAAGATGCTCATGTTAGAGCTCTTTAGATTTTGGAACCAGTGACAGCCGGATTGATTTCTACTGAGCCCATAACGTCAATAATGCAGCTGCTCAATCTACCTTATCGTGTTTTCAATGTAACCCTTTGCACGCTTTTGAATAGACAAAGAAAGCAAGCACTGAGGCCTGTTGACGATTTCCTCTGCAGTCCCCACAAATGCGCCCCCTCCTCCGGTCCCCACCGCAACAGGCCCTTTCCCTACCTTTGCAACGAAGGCAGGAGCAGCGTAAGCTTACATGTCCCTGTAACCAATCACCATTGTTGCAAGAGTCATGCATAAGAAGTATCCTTTCAAGCCAAAGGAACTCCCTTCATACTTGCTTGAAGAACAAGAGAAAGTGAGCTCCATTTTGTCAGGCAGGTGACTAATGCAGAGTTGAGCTTCTTTCCAGCGGTCGGTTTCATGTATTGATAAGTCAACCTGAGAGAATAGTTTCCCTTTGTAGGCAGGTGACGTCACTGCCGTATGTTATTCAGTAAGCCAGATTGCACATGACACGTCGTCAGAGGGCCTCGATAAGGCAGTCGGGCATTGCAGAAGTTGGAGTTGCTGGTCTAGAGACAAATTTAATGTTGGCTACTTGAGTTTGCAGACCAAGAAAAGGCCTTCGCTTTAACAATGGAGCTTTGCGTCCCCAAACGCTTTCTGATCGAGATTTCAAGAGCAGCTGGTGGCTCAGCGCACTACCAGACCCTACAAGTCACTGATGCACTTCTGCCTTCTGTTCGTCCACATTGTACTGAAGCTAACATGACAGCACTTTTCAAACATAGGAGCTGAGTTTCATTTGTCACTTTCATTCGTCTTGCTCAGAGTTTTCAACTTCGGGGGAACGTCCAAAGAGAGCGGTTTTCGTCCCAGAATCCTGCACCTTTCTGCCCCAAACTTTCGGCCGCCAATGACACTTTCTCAAGCCTCAGGAGGGCTTGACCTGTACGTATGCTGATCGTTGGCCACCTTTATCTGAAATGACAGGTGCGACCCGTCCTCGTCGCTCCCTTTCACCTGCTACAACGACGTCGGTTCGTCCTTCGCCTGCTGCCCCGACCCGAAGTGCCCTTTCCCGGGCCCAGTTGCCAAGTGCGCCGGAGACACCTCGCCAACTGTCACCGGTACCCCCGCGCCGACTGCCACCACGGCAGCGCCAGCTGTCACCACGGCAGCGCCGGCTGTCACGACCGCAGCACCAGCTGTTACGACCGCAGCGCCAGCTGTCACGACTGCAGCACCGGTTACCACTGGCGCCCCGGCTCCGTCCGTCACTTATGCCACCGGCTCTGGCAGCGCGTGAGCCTCTCGGATCTTCCTTGGGCATATCTTGCCCCATATTGCTCCATCATAGTATTTGCGCCTAGCGCCCCAAGTCTAGCACCGCCGTTCAGAACGGTCTAAGCCTGGACTGCTTGTTGTCTCCGCCGACCAAAATTGGTTGAGAAGGTCTGCTAGGGGTAAAGACGGTCTGCAGACAAGCGCCGGTCGCGGAAGAAACCTCAGAGTCGTCCGTCCGAGCTCTCGAAAGTGCTAATTAAATCTCAAGCAACGTGAGCATCTAGAAATGAACGGAGCGGGCCTATTTTCTGGGGCGGCCATGCCAATTCAGGACTCTACGTTCCTCTCTTCGCGCAGGTGCGACCCAAACTCGGCGCTTCGCTTCACGTGCTTCAACAACAACGGCTCTTCCTTCGCTTGCTGCCCGGATCCCCAGTGCCCCGCCCCAGGCCCGGTGGCTAGATGCGCGGGAGACCCCACCGCGGCCCCTACGCCAGCTGCCACCACCGGAGCGCCAGCTGTCACCACCGCAGCGCCAGCTGTCACCACAGCGGCGCCAGCTGTCACCACGGCAGCGCCTGTCGTTACAGGTGCTCCAGCGCCGGCGGCCACCTACGCCACCGGCGCTGGCTACGCGTAAGCACCCCAAGCCCCGCTGAACTTTCCTAGCTGACGAGATGGACGACCTGTGCTCGCGTCAGCATGTTCAGTAATCTCGAACAGGGACCGTATTGAGACCCGTCTTGCGATTGTTAACGATTGGTTATACACCCGGCTTTAGCTTCGAAAATGCAGCTTGCGCGGGAAGAGCACGACGCGGCGAAAGTCGGTCCGCGATTCGGCGTCCAACTTAAGATACACGCCAACTTTCAGGAGTTCAAATCTAAATTTGGCCAGCAGGCACTAGCTTGAAGAGTGTCCCGGAACGTTCCAAGGACTCTCCCTCTGAATCAGATGCGCCGCTCACGGATTTCCTGGTCCTTCGACGTGATTCTATCCGAAAGCTCTGCTCTCTCAGCTGAGTGGAGACTCATGGTCCTTCTTGCTGATTGCAAAATCTCACCGTGTTGACATTACAGGTGTGACCCGAGGTCGGCTCTCCCTTACACGTGCTACAACGAACCTGGCTCGTTCTTTGTGTGCTGCGCCAAGTCGACCTGCCCCGTTCCTGGAGCCACGGCCGCATGCGCCCCATAAGCATCATCGACGGTGCACAAGTACTTGAGCGGACTTCAGACGTGTTGAAGTAACGTTACTTAGGATGAGAAGCGCGAGTTTCTACCGAAACGCGCGACCAGTAGTTTGCCAACCAAAGAGAATAAGCGGTGAAGTATATGTACTAACCGGGTATTGACAGTAGTCTGAACGCCGGCAATAGTTCGCCCAGTTTGTGTAGTGGCAATAGAAATCCTTGTTTGCTTCCGAATTCTTAGAAAAATCAGCAACTTCTGGTTGCGTTTTAGATAGCTTTATGGACGATCGAAAACAGATCGTATCTTGATGTTTGATTTAATGGATGATCTGGCTTGCTGTTGTCAGCATCGCTCGTTCTGGTCAACACGACTTTGCTTTTGAGTTTCGGGGAATTCAGGCCATCGATCAGAGTGATTTCATGTGCGGATTGAACGTTCGGCTGCACTATATAGAATCCGGTGTACTTTGTAAATATTGGCGCTCTGCTTGTTGCGATATGCATCATGACGCAACTTCCGCAGCTAGCACCGAACCTTCTAATTGACAAAGTCTGTCCTTGAACTCGCTCGAAAGCTGCCCTCAGACGAATCCGCACAAACACTCCGTATCATGCATGAAAGGAGGCTAAATTGTAACTTTGCAAGGTGTCGGGAAAGCTTTCTGCTTTTATCCGTGCCCAGATCGGAACGGCCGTACGAGGCAATAAGACCAATAAACATATTTACCGCCGTGTCAGCCGCCTGGTTCCTCTTTTGGGATGTAATGGGCTTTTGAAATCTCGATGGGGTATTGTTCTCACTTGTCTCTCGTCATGATCATATGCCGACGTCCGGCCTGGCAGTCAGCACACGTCTCAAATCGGCTTCGTCCATCCGCGAGTAAATGAAAACGCGCCGGGCTCTACTTTACCCGTCCGTCGCCGTCGTAAGAAGGATCGCATGTTTAGCGTTCTCTCATTCAGGAGTAAACTTTATACTGCTCGATCGGTGTACAGGCACCATGCACCTGACCCCAACTTATTAGAATAGCGGGCTTATTTCGAACAAGAGATGGTATAACCTCCTCGAGCTATGCTCCAACGCATGCGTGAGGCTTGCATGGAGCGACTGAGCTTATCACGTACCCAATTCTTTCCGACTTGTCAATGCTTGTCAGTGTACGAATGGCAAAATCCTGGTAAGCTTAAGTTAAGCCGTGCTCGTCCGATCAAGAGTTCTGATTGAATACAACGCGCCATGCCGCATGTTGCATGCACAGTGTGCGTTTCGTCGGAGCACGTCCGCGACCGTACTGCTTAAGTTAAAGTGCATGATTGCTAAGATCCAAAAATACCTTAAGTGCGTGTGTCACTGCCTGGCTGTGTATTTCACATTCTACACTTGTCAGTAGTTTTTACACATCTGGTTATGTCGATCTGCCTCCCATGCTGATTGGACACGCGGCCGCGCCGTCTGACGAAAGCGACGGTCCCGGGCCGGTCCAGCTAGATGCACGCTAATCGCATGCTCCAAATTTATGTCAGTGTATTGTCTACAGTATCACTAGGCAGCTTCTCCCGCCATCTGGCGCGCGGTAAATATTTGCAAGGCGGCTGTTCAAGGATTGGACTCGAGGCTACTGTGCTTTCAATGAAGCACGAGATCGGAATACAGAAATCGGATCGCCATGGAACCGTGAACAATGTATTAACAGAGTCTTTGACATCGGGCCGAGCACGCGGCCGTGCATCTTCCATACCATTGTGGACTCGATGCGGGTTGGAAACCTTTGTTAACTAATTGACTCGCTCAAACATGGGTTGCAGACATCAAAATAGAACCAGCCAATGCACCAATGACTATGAACGGTGATAGCCATTACGAAGTCGCCCTGAAAGAGGCCACAACGACACTTCTTCACGTATTTCTGTCAAACGCACTATGACAGCATTGAAGCCGAAAGCCGGTTCTTCTTCGTCCGGCTTATTACAAGGTACTGTACACAAGAAACAAAAAGGTGGACTCCTATGCGGAGTCCGAGGAGCGGGTTCACAGCAGCTCGAGCGCGTTTGATTCTTTTCTGTATTCTCGCAAAATGACGGGGACGCTTGTTGGCGGGATCTGCAAAACAGGATGCAAAGACGTCAGCTTCACAGACTAAGTGGGGAGAAGTCAATGTGTGCACGTTTTGAGGAATCAGGGATGCGGGACTTGACAGACGCCGGGCGGCCTTATTCCAAAACAGGCCGCTCGATCATAGAGCAAAGGGGCATACGCACTGCCAATGCTAGAGTGTACAATCGAAAGCTGCCTGTTCTGCCTCCGCCGAACGCTGGCAGATGGGTGAAGACACTTGATGAAGACACGAAGGTTTTCGAAACTGCAACCAGACCCATGCACGCCCAAACCGGCCGTTGGCGAAATCGGGTTGACACATGCGTCTCGGGCACTTGCCTAATCTCGCGAGCTTCCTTACACCGTTTCTTGCATTTGCTGCGATCAGTCCTCCCGCTACACAGAAGACTCGCGACCCCGCCTGGCCAGGCTGCGCTTCGTGCAACGGTGAAATCCAAAATAACATGCGCTTCCAGTCAGAGTCTTTTCATGCACTGCTGCCACGTGGCAAAACCAGGATGCGCCACGTGCTCACCAGGCCGAGCTCGGTGATGATCATGGCGACGTAGTCCGCCGGCATGGCGTCATACGTCAGATTCAGCAGTTGCAGGTTGTCGTTCTTGTCCCAGCCTTGGAGCTCCGTCAGCTCTTTCCGCCCGGGAACGTCCACCAAAGCCTCGGGGTTGCCTGCCGGAAGAACATAATGGTCCAACTTAACCAGCAAGTTTTTAAAGAGGTGCTCCTGTTGCACTTCATTAGATTCTGTGACAGACTTTGGAGCTCCGTCTTCCGCCCCGGAACGTCCACCAGAGCCTCGGGGTTGCCTGCGGAAAAACATAATAGTTCAAATTAACCAGCAAGTTTTCAAAAACTTGCTTCTGTTGCACTTCATTAGATCCTGTGACAGCCTTTGGAGCTCCGTCAGCTCTTTCCGCCCCGGAACGTCCACCAAAGCCTCGGGGTTGCCTGTCGGAAAAGAAGAAAACGTATGAAACTAGATTAGCAACTTTTCAAAAACGTGCTTCTGTGGCACTTCATTAGATCCTGTGACAGCCTTTGGAGCTCCGTCAGCTCTTTCCGCCCCAAAACGTCCACCAGAGCCTCGGGGTTGCTTGCGGACAATGGGAGGTATGAGAATCTAGAGCAGGGAGATGTTCGCAGACTTCTTTCAACTGCACATTGCCGTTCTTGTCCTAGCTTTGGTACCTCCATCCGTTGTTTCCGTCCGAAACGTCCACCAAAACCTTGGGATTGCCTGAAAAGGTCCAAAGGCTTTCTACAACTGCAGTAGAGCAATGAGTTCCTCAAGCGTTTTCCTAGGTGCAATCGCTTTCTTTGTCCCAGCTTCGAACTTCCTGCGTTCGACCGGCCACATCCACCAAAGTCGGGAGTGCGTGCGGAAGCTTGCAGATTCTTCAAAGCGGATGGATGCAATAAGCACAAGCAGTAGCCGTTGTCAGTCAGAACCGGTGCAAGATCGAGGCGTAAGTGATAGGCGATTCGTTTTGCGGGACACCTAAGATGGTTACAGACTTGGCGACGGGCTTCGAGGTTTGTGAGTCGAAATAACAGAACGATTTTTACCCAGCGTCTGTCCGGAAAGCAGTGGGCCATTCACAACAGTTGGCAGATGTAGCCGACAACGTTCGAAGCGTCGGCCTTTGCCAGGAACTGAGGAGCTGAAAATCCTTGCATACACACCCATTGATTCAATAAGCAGGTACTCGGTTCTGGTTGAGTGGCCCTACGGGAAGATAGACTCGTTCGGCTGGACTCTGGAATGCGTGTCGCAGCTACAGAATATGATCACGGTTGAATAGAGTGTCAACGGCGAAAAGATAAGAACGATAGGAAAACGAAAGGAGCCACGTTTTTCCAAGGTCCTAGATACTCACCTAGCTCGTTGGAGCAGATGGAGTCTAATTGCACTCGTTCGTGGAACTTGTACGTTTCGCAGCAAATGAGAACGGGGACACTGTAGGCGTGCGCAACCTGCAGAGTCGGAAGAGCTCAGTTCTCTGCAGTTCCCGAGATCCGACACCAAGCCAAAATTAACGAACCAATGAACGAACTTGAAAGCCAAGCAGTAGGTGGCTTTCGTAGCGCCATTCGCCGCTGGTGGAAACAACTTGGCTGTGCTACGTATGACTCAATTTGCGATGTGCTAGTTATGATTCGATTTTGTGTACAATCAGTCAGCTAACCAGAGTGACCGCCGTTAAAACCACATAGGCCGTCCAAACCAATTGACAAGGCCTGTCTAACACTTGTGACAAGGCGCCAACCATACAGTGCTTGCATCAGGGAGCTTCGGCGTTTTCCATTCGTCTAACCTATGCCTTTGTAACAGCATGACAACGCCGTTTGCAAGGACGCTGGCGGCTCGAAGAAAGTCCGAAAGATTCGTGCAATGTAGCACAAACCATCTAGAAGCGACCAAGTCCCTAAAACCGTGGATATCTACAACCCTTTCAAGGAAAGCTTCACTATCTCACCATAGCAGTAGCCGCGCTGCCGGCACGCGAGACGACGACACCGTTTGCTAAGACGGTCGCGGCTCCGAGGAAGACCCGGTCCACTTCTTGCATTATGTAGCACAGGCCGTTCACGTGGGTGTACGTGCACTTGAGCCCTTTTTGGAGCAGCCGCCGTAAGAGGGCTTTTCCTTCCAGTCGTGGCCGTGAGTCAACCTGGGTGAAGAAGAAGATGCAATTCAACTTGGTGCGATAAGGGCTGGCTAAGCATGAGGAAACGGAGACAAATGTGGCCGTTCACTTGAGCCCTTTTTGGACCAACCGCCGGAGCAGGGCCTTGCCTTCCAGCCGTGGCCGTGAATCAACCTGGGTTAAGAACCTGGGTCAAAAAGTGAACTTGGTGCGACAAGGGCTGGCTTACAAGGAGGGAAATGGCTCAGAGACGTGGCCCTCGTGCACATGTCTGCCCGAGAGCCCGGCAGCCGGCCTAGCAGAGCCTTTCCCGTCCGGCCGTAGTCTCAAATGGACCTATTGCTCGTGCGATGTGAGAATGGTTTTCATGAGAAGGTTGCGATTTGTCAAGCCGGGTGCCATTCCCCAGGGCGTATGAGAAGCTTCGTTTGGCGGCAGAAGCCCCCCTGACAGGGCCTGGCGTTCCAGTAGCGGTCGTGAACCACTCTGGATTAGGGGAAACACCAGATTGATCACGAATCACTGCCGGCGTTTTTAGCAGTCTAAGCGAGACCGTCCACTTCGGCGGGCGCTCAATGGACCAATTTCCATTCTAGATACAGTAAGTCGCTCGCTTACAAGCTACAAGGTCAAGCAGAGGACCTCTTTCTTTGAGCACGGGGGTTACGCACAAGAAGCATTCACATGAAAAAGTGTACGAAGCAGCAGAATCTGGTGTAGGCGGAACGGAGACCAGCGCAAAAATAGTGACGAGATTCAAGAAAAACGAAGAAAACTACAGCAGAAGCAAACACTAAGTGAGTAGAAAGGCGATGCTAAGCTGAGTGCCGAAACAATCGCAGACCATCAGACGTACAAAAAGCTCGCGCACTAACCACTACCACCCGGAAGTTCTTGCCGCGCGCGTGTGCCGCTTCCAAAATCTTCTCGACCACGTGACTATGCCCATGCGTCAGCACGACGTCACCCTCCCGGATCTTCTCCACTGCGTGGTCCACAATGACCTTGTCCGCAAACACAATCTTCTCCTACAGGACAACCGGAAAAAGCTTTCAATTGAGGATTCAAATTTGACATTTTCGTATGTGGTCGACCGTCGAATGAAACTTTGTTCGAGACCTCGCCGTGAAAGTGCACGTGACACAGGTCGCGGCACTCAAGACGGCATAGGGATCGCCGAGGGTCAGGAGCTGTTTCTCGATTCCAATATCGCACTTATAAAGTGCTCTTCCATAACGAGAAGAACAACCGCGAACTCATACTTGCAGACTTGTCGTTGCGGTGGATTTGGTAGAAAGCAGCTAAAGGACCAGACGCGATCCAAGGTGGAAGCTATCCCAGGTAGCTAACGTGCACGAAGCACAATCTGAGTATTGGGATCCTAAAAGGGTGCCCTAAGTTCTAAAAGGAACCGCGACTTACCTGACCCTACTCTTCACAAAGGAGGCATTTAAACAGGCATGTAGTCCGCTCACTTGTATAAACTTGTCGATGTCTTCTATAAGCGACTTCTTTGCTTCCGCTTCCGTGAAGTGGCCCGGCAGCTTGAGTATCCGCGTCTTGAGCAGCTTGATCGCGTTGCCCATGCTGACCGCGTGCGGCCGGCACGTCGTCAGGAATTGCACGTGGGAGTTGATCTTGGCAGTCAAGTCTCGAACCAGAGTCTGGTAAGAACGTGAGCAGGATCAGTGGACGTAAAAGGTCGAACTGGGAATATTGGACCGGAAGGTGTATCTGAATATGAGTTTGACAGCTGAGAGTCTCTGTGCCAATCGGTGATTTGTGGACGAGCCACAATGGCAGCGGGGTTTGAGTACGGAAGGTCTTTGCTGTTCCAATGCCCCGATTCGACTAATTTTTAGGCTCGCGGTTCTTCTGCTTGATGGAGAAGCGACTCGAAACGACGATGGAGAGGCCAGTAGCTACGCCAACCGTTGAGTATCATACGCCATACGACAATCCCAAACGCGCTCTGCGCATGCCCTCGGCGCATCAGTCACTCAACTGTGCAAAGAGGTCTTGATGGCGCTCCTCTTCAGTCAGTGCGTAGGAGGGACTCCTGAGAGCTTTTTAATGGGCATAAAGCAGTCGACTCTGCTCAAATGCATGCACAACGCGACCCGCATGACAGCGAGTGAAACATCCGGAACAACTCACCTTTTGAGGGGGCGTGCTGTAGTCGCGGATCATTTCTGCGAACGCGAGCAGCATGGCTACACAGCGCGCGTTGGCACCGACGATGTCGCCAGTCAAATACCGGAGGCCGACCTGTAAAAGAGACGAACGCAAAGGCTGACGCACTCAGGAACTTACGGAGACCTCTCCTTCTCTTTCCAAAGGTGTCGTAATCTCATTAGTCGTTTCCAACTATTGTCATCAAGCCCCCAACGAACGATCCAACTTGTGTGAACCTGCCGTGTACTGGAAGTCAATTTGTCGGACAGAAGCCGTCACAAGTCGATAACAAAACCAAAACGTCCTTTGAGTTGCCTTCATCAAGCGCACCGGCCCTAGGCCGCCTGACAAACTATCAGAGTGTTCCAAGTATCAAACGGTTTGACGACTACAAACCACTGGCGACTCGACTTCGATCGTCACCGCGTATGAAGTTCTCAGGTAAATAGCAGGATGTGAGTCCATCTGCGGCTCTTATTCCGTAGTCACGACATACCAAACTTTCGCCCTCACCTGATAAACCGCGGGGTGCGGGTGACCCGGCTCCTGCACTCGGAAGAACTTGGCCTCGGCCGACGGGAGCTGGCTGCCGTGCACGTACTGCGGCAGGTGCCGGAAGAGCTCGACGCGGTTCTTCGTCTCCGTCTGCTCGACAATGTTCTTCTTGGTGGCCTTGGCGACGCGGTCCTTGTCGTCGAACTGCATCCGAACGGCTGGAACGGGGGGCTTCTTTTCAGACCCGGCGAGGGATCCCTCTCGCCGGGGCGTAGCCTGGAGATGAAAACGAGTAGATAGAGTGCGCTCTTGGAGGGCCTCAAGAACGTGGGTTGGGGAGACTGGCAAAGACGCGCGCATGGTGAGGGACCGTGGCCCTGGCAAGTGCAGCCTTCGGTGTTGTCAGAGAAGCGCGATCCCGTGACGAGAAATGCTGCTCTCTTGAGGCACCATGGGCGCTTTCTGCACGGCCCCGATCAGAAACAAATAGATAAAGGGAGCTCGATCTGCAAGAATGATGTTGATCCGAAGCAGCAGCCGTGCATATTGTGGGGCTGCGGCCGCTCTGCAACCGGTCACGCTAGAGTGACGAACAAAAACGAAGAGGTCGTTCAGACTTCTTGTGCACAGCTTTCGAAACCCACCTAGATGGCCTGTGAGCCAGAATACATTAGAGCCGACTGATTTGAGATAGAAAAGGCATCAGACAGCTCCTCAAATGGGCAAGAGTGAGTGAAAACTCTTGCATCTGGTCAATTGAGTAGATACAACTTGATCAGATACTCAATGCTCAATTCTCAGCGATGAAAGCGCTACCTGCGTGTAGCTAGCACTTGCAAATCTGGACTTGTCTGACGGGTTCCTGGTGTTTGTTCACAGGGACAAAGTTCGCATTGAGAAAATCAAATGTTCAAAGGGCAGTATTGTCGTCTGCGCTTGATAGCGGGCATACCGGACCGATCAGAATAGGACAGAGCAGATGCAGACTTAATGAAAGGTCAACCAGATAGCTGGAATTGAGCAAGAAAGATGTCACCACAACCCATGCAAACTTTCTCAAATGCAGCGCTGACTGTATCCTACCTTTGGCGTCTTTGGCTCTGCCGGCTTGCCTCCCCCCTTCTTCTCATCCCCACCTCCTGCCACGCTCCCTTTTACGCTCGGAGCTTTCCCGCCCCCCTGCGCCGCAGCTTTGGCCGCCCTTTGCGCCTCTTGAATTGCCTTCCGTTCCGCCCTGGTCGTCTTCGGCTTCTCCTTGACACCGCCGATTGCGGCCTTCTCAGAGACGGAGGCGGCAATTGGCGCTGGTGTCAACCCCACGGACGGCCCTGCAAACCCGCCGGCCGGCACCGACGCTGACGCAATGCTGACCTGGCGCACCATGGTGGTCACAGTAGACAAACTCGCCGGGACCTCTGACACCGCCTCCCCGCCGCTCCTGTCGCTGCCCCCAAACGAAGAAGACAGTGTCAAGTCCTCCGAAACCCTGCTCGCTTCAATGTTGGCGTTCTTGAGGGCATCCACGGTAACGGTCTTGAGCGCTGCGGTCGTTTTGGAGTTTATTTCCTGGGAAAGGGTCGATGAAGCGATGATCGGGCGGGGGGGGATGATCACGGGAGCGGGGGAGCTCTGGCCGGGCCCGTTCAAAACTACTTGTTGGAGAGGGATCTCAGGCTCTGTGCCGGGAGTAACAAAACCAACTCGCCGCACAATGGGGTCCATGCCCTGCCGACTCCCGCGGCGGCTGCCGCCGTCCATTGCAACAAAGCTGATTGCAAAATTCAAAGCGGCGCCAAGACTGAGAAGGAGCAAGGTTATGCAATTCCGTTGGGGGCGACCGGGGGAGCGTCTGTGCTGGATGACTGCTGGCAGAGGAACTCAAAGCTCCCCTTCAAACCAATGGAAGCGCACAATGGCTTTAGCTTCCTAGACAACGACACACCCAGATTGTCAATGTACTCAAGCGCACGATTTCAGCGGAGGTCTTCTTGACAGTGCGCTTCATTTCATGCTGGAAACTAGAGGTAGAAGCATGTCGTGGTTTGCCGATGAAGTACAGATATGCCGAGGATGTATAGAAGTTGCAAGGTGGTTGAATTGTAATTGTTGAGACTGGTGACGGAAGGAAGTAGAGAAACTTGCGTTGCATAATGAAATGACACGTCGGATAATGAGTAAAAGGTGGCGGCATTGAGCCTTGAGGCCCAACGAGGAAGGTTGGCATTGGCAACGTGGTTGGACGTGGTCGGGCGGCGCTCTTGGGAGCTCTCCTCCTGTTTCGTGTATGGCTGCCTTGATCGCTTGCCAAAGTACATGCGTGTTTAAAAATGTTTCTCTGTTGAAGACACACAGGCTTTTGCGGCACGTAAGCGCAGCGGCGCTCCAAAGGTCCCATCAGTCACGTCCAGCTTATCGCTGCACATTGCGCCTGGCATCTAATGCTGCTTCAATTGTAGGAAACCTAGCCCAGCTTTCAGAGGCTTGTAACGCATCCAGCTTCATTCCTGAGAAAAACAGCGTTCATGCCTCCAGCTCACTTGTGCTTTCAGATTCTGCGAAAGTTAGCCCCAGCAAGAGCTTTCGAGGTGTCATTTGTTGTTTGAGAAGTGAACCTGGAAGCACAACCAGGAGCGTTAGAAGACAGGGGCGCCGCATGGTGGGCCAACTAGCGAATCCAGAGAAGCCAAAGAAATACACAAAGTCGAACCTTCCAGAGAAAATATGCATTGTGTGCAATCGGCCATTCAACTGGTGAGTGTGACAAATGCAGTCAGTTGCATCTGACTTTTGCTACTTGTAGTTTTCTTGCTGCCACCACCGCCTCGGAATATGTTACTGCTATGATTTATCGTTTTTCAAGGCTGTCACATGGAGCACTGGTGAAGGGGTCTGCTGTGTTAGATCTCTGTACTTTCGACAAAAGAGAATGACTGTGGGACTGAAATCGTATACCACCACTGAGCTCCATACCAGCATTGTCTTCTGTCTCCAACACGTCATTGGGGGGTCATAAGTGATGCTCGCACTGCCAGTCGCTTCATGTCTGGTGACATATGCAAGTTCGCCTGTGTGCCCCAGCTGGCCTCTAATTTGCCTTCTTTATTCTTGAAGGTAGAGTACAGTGTTTAGTGAAGAGGATGTCTGGAGAAACACGTGATCTTGAGGGCCCTTTTTGAACTCTCAAGGAGAAGGGCTGGCAAAAGTAGTGAGGACTCTTCCGGAATCTTGAAGCATCTGTCAGACTCGGAGTGTTTCGTCACTGCATCTGAGGCTTACTTTCTGAGTCATTACACACACACTTCTATTACAGGAGGAAGAAGTGGGAAAAGTGCTGGGATGAAGTCAAGTAAGTTTTCTCTCCATCTCTTGACAGCCAAGCGAGGATACTCCAAGGATGTAATGAGTTTGTTTTGAATCTCATTTACCATCTCAAGCGCTCACAGTTCATCAACAAAGTTGTAAAAGGTTGAAAGCTCAGATGCAGCATAGCCTATTGTTCTCAATCCTGCGTACGAACGTTCGCACATTGAGCTGCAGTGGACATGCGAAGATCCTCGCTACGCTCTTTTGTTTCTCTGAAGGACTACTACAACGGTCACCACTATCGCAGGCAGATTCTTTCCTTCCAGTAGTGAACATCTCTTCGGGTGCACTCAAAGTGGACTCTTCAGCAGCACAGGGGAAAACGAACCGTCTGGTTGAGTTGCAACGGACTTGATTCTCAACAAGAGGTTTCAATGCATGTGCAGGTACTGTAGCGAACGTTGTCGAAGGGCCAGTAAGATGGGCGGCCCTGCTTCAAATGAGGAGCAGTAATGTCATTCCAGGTGAAGATGAGTGACAGGAATGCGGGGGGAAGCCGCTCATAGGAAGCTAAGAGCGACGCGGGTGTGTGGGTATGTATGGGATGTGCGGAGGGAGCTCTGCGAGGCAACAACTCGAAGGAATGCATTGTAGCAGGAGGAAAGCCGATGGCAGAAGAGTTTGGCGTTTAGGACTCCGGGTCGAGGAGCTGCGGACAAAAAACATGGAGGTGGTGATTTTGTAGAGATGGCCAGGGAACGGCCGCAGGAGTCTACGGCGCCCCAGTATGATGAGTCGGAAATGCGGGGGTGCATTTTCGAACGTCAAGTTACTGAAGGAGGCGATGGCGGGTTGCCATATCACAACATCCACGACGCCTGTTGCACAAGCCGGGGCGCTCAATAGGACAAAAAGCCGCAGACGGTTTGCTTTAGGCATGCAATGTATCGGGGAAAACTGAGCGATGGGGCGCGGGGGATTCGTGGGGCGTTGCAAAAGGCCCCATAGATCTGCCCGCAGTGGATCTGGGTGCTGAGGCTGACGGGCTTCGGGGCTCGCTAGCGGGCGCGCTTACCAAGCGAAGTCCTCAGCATGGTCAGAAAAATAGGTGGGTGAGAGAGCTGCGAGAGGCGAAGAAGCCGCTCGCAGAGCAACCATTGAAGCGGGAGGCCAGGAAAGAGGGCTCGTTTCTCCTCGTCGGAAGGAGGATGAGGCCCTGAGGGAACCTCGCACCGAAAAAGAAAGTCAGGAAGGAGAGCGGACACGGAGTGCGTGGTGCAGATTGGTAAGCTGTCGCATGGCCAGCAATAGACGGAATAAGCAGAGAGCAAGGCGAGCGAATACCAGAGACATTAGCACGGCAAGATACTACTGAGGTTTCAGCAAGCGTGTTATCATGGTATGGTAGAAAGCCTGTCGGCAGCCGGGCTCAGGTGAGTTGTGAGTGGCATCCGGTCCGGTGCCCATATGGCGGCGGATCTACGGTGCCCCTCGTTAGGAATACTCATAAACCATGTAATCAAGGCAGCATAGTGACTCAGCGGAAAACGGCAGGTCCGCGAACGCCGGGGGTGTGGCAAGCACAGGCTCTCGGCGGCTTTGAACCCTGCATGCCCTCCACAACGTGACTTGGTTGTTCTAGGTTTTTGATTGAGCTCTGACTCTGACCTTCACTAAACCCAGCTCCAGTGAGTGCGAAAGTGGCTCTGACTTTTCGTTCATGCTTCGAAACGGCCGCATTGGCGCTGCATCACTGGCTAGCTTTGTACAATGTCAATGATCGACTCGATATGATCCTTTGAAGTGACACTTTCAGTACGGTTTCCAACATTCAATATGCAATTGCTTGCTAATGATAATTGACCGGACTCAATCAAGCGCGCCATGAGTTATAATTAAGCTCGGGCGGCCTTTCAGTGCATATGTTGCGCGTGCATGGAAAAAGCTTCTGAGATCTTACAAGCACCGTATACGTACCGTACGTCTCAGTCTGCAACACGTGTTGATGTATAGCTTGTATATACACGGCTATGGTGACGATCGCAGATGGTGATTGGATATGAGCGACATGCAGGAACTTCAGTGCCGCATCATTACCACTGCCGCATTGTACCATTTGAAGCAATCCGACACGAGCGACGCATATACATGATTGCCACGATTTTACTGACACACGTCCAGGTAAGGCGCGCTTGATTTAAAGATAGTACCGGCCTATGATACAGAGCGTGGAATCACGTAATGTGCGAGCAATAGTCCATACATCAGTCCCGCCGAGCATCCTATCTACTCTTTTTAGCTTCTTGCTCACCCTTCCATAGCGCTGTCTGCAGAATCCCACGGTAGCGAAAGATTGCCAACGCCCTGTCCTATCTCTGCAGCCAGCCCGGCCCCGTTAAGAAGTAAGCTCAACGCAAGCGTTCCAAAGAGCCATACGCGCATCTCGTTTATAACAACCGCTTGAGTGCCCATAGACCGTTCTTATGCCGGCTTATTTAGCGCCGGCCTATTTAACACAACAACCACAGTAACAGGCAACTAATGACTGTCTTCGTCCAATATTAGAAGTATAACCGCTCCATTATCCAAACAAAATGTTATACTGTATCGTCCCAACTCTCGGTTGGTGCCGTACACGTTTCAGTGATTAGTCCGAGGCCTGGTGAAGTTTGACGAGGCTGGCATATGCCCCTCCCTCGATCTTCAGCAGCTCTTGGTGCGTCCCTTGCTCCGCGATCGCGCCGCTCTGGACGACCATAATCTTGTGGGCATTGCGGACTGCAGAGACAATAGTCAACGAGCGCTGCTAAGCTCGGAAGGACATGAAAAGGCGGACCGTTTCTAGATGCAACAAAGACAACGCAGGAATTCAGCAGCGCATACCCATTGCATGTGAGGACACCTTTTATAAACCTTGTCAAAATGCCCACCACATGAGGATTCCCGGAAACTTCAAGCCATTGACTCCCATATGTTTGTGGGATCGAAACCCATAACCACCAGATTACCAAGCCGTTCACCCCTCCGACAATTTGCCCAGCCTTTCAGCACCCGGACAACCCGAGAGACATGGTGAACTAAAAGTGAGAAGAAACGAGCCCTGTAACCCTGGTTTAAACGAACCCGTCAATCCGAAACCACCTGTAGTCAGCCGGTGCACGATGATGACGACCCCCCATCAACTTATCCAGGGCGTCCTGCATCTAAATTCTAAATCCGAAAGATGCGAACACCCGAAAACTCTGACTCCAAACAAAGGGTTAGGGTCATCTTAACCCACCTATGGTCAGCCGGTGCGCGATGACGACAGTGGTCCGGCCCACCATCACCTTATGAGGGGCATCATCCTGCACTAGTACTGAAACCCGAAAGATACTAACAACCTAAACTATGAAATTGAAATTCTTCAAAGATACGAAAAAATTCAGGTTAGTCTTTTTAACCCACCTGTGGTCAGCCGGTGCGCAATAACGACAGTGGTCCGGCCCACCATCACCTTATCCAGGGCGTCCTGCACCAACTTCTCCGACTCCGCGTCCAGCGCGCTCGTCGCCTCATCTGCGGCGAACGTGACACGTGTCAGCCCGTGACACGTGTCAACTTATGACACATGTCCGATACTTCTTCGAAGTTCGCGGTTCGTAAGAGCAGCGGGAGTTCTTCCTACCTGTTTTACAGCGTTTAACGTATATAGCCCAGCTGATGCGTATATCAGGAGATGAGTAGGGCACTCAAACAATGGTGACTCTTGCTCTCATCTTTCAGGCGATAATGGTTTGCTATCTCTGCCTCTCTAGAGGCACCGTGTCTGATGCCTGCAGGGGCCTGGAAAAGCACACGCTTCCGATCCTGATTCGTCAAACCTTGCAAAATCAATCTGCTGAAGCCTGAACCTCCTGACACACCATCTCCACAAGAATTTCTCAACGTGTCCTTCACAAGCTCCTCGCCGCCCAAATCTATCTTTGCCCTCCTGTCCCGGCCGGCCCGTGCACAGGATGCCTCGCTTCAATCCTCGCAAATGCTTTGGTCGCTCTTTCAATAGACGGCCACGATGATTTGCGCCCGAGCACGGGGCTCCTGTAGAGCCCTGCTTGCTACCACCATCGCATACCCTCATACTCGCTCACTTAGCAAAGGATCCGCGAATTCTTGAAATGCGCGCGCAATGGCGTGGATCTTCGGTGGCCTGAGGCCTCAGAGAACTCTCCAATTCTAAAACTCAGCCAGCAAGAATAATCCGCGGGTTCTTCAAAATCGCGCGCGCAATAACATAGATTTTTGCAAAAACTTCAGTCTCCTGGGATTGCAAAAAAAATCAAACTTTTGAAAAACCCACCTAGCAGGATGATCCGCGGGTTCTTCAGGATCGCGCGCGCGATCGCCACCCGCTGCTTCTGTCCGCCCGACAGCTGCACCCCCCGCTCGCCCACTTGGGTGCCGTACCGCTCCGGCAAGCGCTCGATGAAGCTGTGCGCGTTTGCGGCGCGCGCGGCCGCCTCGATCTCTTCGTCTGTCGCGTTTTCCTTGCCGTAAGCAATGTTGTCGCGGATGCTGACCTGTCGAATGAGCAGTGACGTATGAGAAAGCTGACTGTAAATTCTGTCTTCTAAGTGCTTGAGTAGAAGTACCGTACCAGCGTCTAATTTCGTCGGTCTGGGTGCCAAATACTTATTTTCTGATCGATCTGACATTTCGGCGGAGTATTTTACATTTTTCTGACATTTCGTAAAAGTAGCATCCTCTGCCATAATCATCCATTACCAACCTTTATCGCCCGTATATATAATCTGACCTTTTCGTCATTGAAGGAAAATGTCTTCTAAAATGTTCGGCAGCCCAAATAATTATTTAATCAAAAACGAAAACAAACACTGATACGGTACTCAATGCCTCGGTCAAAGAAGTACAACTTTGACAAGCTGTGGTGGTTGCTCCCCGACAGAGCGCTTGGGAATGCAACTGACTAAGATCACAAGCCGGCTTCAGAGGGGAAGCAAATTCGCTCTTCTCACATAAATGAAGACGATGCGCCATTTTTATTCCGGGAGTCGGAAAGCACACGTACCGTAAGGTTCGCAGGACTTTATACCATTTAGCGAAATGCTTTCTTACCTCAACTGCATCGCCTTACAAGAAAGGGTGCAACAGATCGTCTTTAGCAAGCACGTAAATGGACGTCCGAACGGTGGGGGACTGTACGTAACAAGAGTTTCGGATCGCAGAGCTTTGAAAAGACTGTCACCCGAGCTGTATAAGGCTGACTAGAGAGGCAAGAGTTGCCAAACTTGCTTACCGAGAAGAGGTTGGGCTCTTGGGAGACGAGCCCGATGTGCTTGCGCAGCCACTTGAGCTGCATCTTCTTGATGTCGACTCCGTCTACCGAGACGGTTCCTGCAGAAACAGGCGGGACTTTAGAGAGCGGTCGCAGGTTTTCGTGGATGTCTATTGCCTTGCATTACCCAGTCTGTCTCGCGCGCGAAAAACGGCCGACGTCATGCTTCTCAGCGGTTCGCCAGAGTCTGCTGAAAAGCTGAGCTCAGCGATGCTTGTGTAACAGGGCGGAGAAGGAGAATGAGCCTTGAGTGACATCATCAGCAAACAGGCTACATACAAACTCCTTCCGAAGAGATCTAGGGTGCTGGGAAGCGCAGTGCAGTCATCCAAGATGAATGTAGGCGTTTTGTGTTTGAAAACTTGATACGGTGGTCCCTATGATCAATACCAGGTTCTCGGCAACTCGAACAAAGTCAGCAGGATCGGAGAAATCCGAAGCGTCAGATTGTCGACGTCAAAGAAACGACGGCAGCGCTACGACGCGCAATCGGCCCCCAGCCAACTCGTCCTCCTGCGATCCGGCTCACGAAACAACCGACACGGCTTCCAGTGCGACAAAGCGTGGTCACGAGGGGGAACCCCGTAGACTGTGACATACCTGTCGCGGGGTCGTAGAACCGTTCGATGAGCGCGATGACCGTCGATTTGCCGGACCCGCTCTCGCCGACGAGCGCCACCGTCCGTCCGGACTCGATGTCGAAGCTCATGCCGCGGAAGATCTGGACGTCCGGCCGCTGTACGGCAAAAAGACACGTGGCATCAGCATTAAAGACCGCTCGAAAGGACACGTGGAGCTGGCAGATCAGACATCACTGTCTGTCCGGAGTCCGGACTCGATGTCGCAGCTCATACCGCGAAAGATCTGGACGTCCAGCCGCTGTACGAATCAGAGACATGTGGCATCAGCACAAGGACGGCTCGAAAGTATATGTGAAACTAGCACAGCAAATGTTACTGTCCGTCTGGACTCGATGTCGCAGGTTGGAAAAAGTGTGTTTTGTCTCTCGCTTCTTGCAAGATCTGGACGTTTGGACGCTGTACGGACCAGAGACACGTGGCATCAGCACAACGATCGCTCAAAAGGGTACCTCGGAGTAGCAGGCAAAAATTTTGTTTTTTCACGTCGGAGCAATGGCGCACAGAATGTGGACGTCCGCACATTGTCGCACATGACAGACACGTGGCATCACAAGAGCGGAAGCCCTGGAAGGCACGTGGCACTGGCATGCCTCAAAACTGCCAAAACCACGTGAGAATTGCAGAGTGCACGTTGCTCGTTTATGCTGATTTTCGTGGCTGAAGCACCTTGAGTAGAACGTGAACGCAAGATCGGGCAGCCCCAAGCCTGAAAAGGGAGGGACAAGAAAAAACCCACCAAAGGGGGCAGCTCAAGACCTTCAAACGAGAACAGAAAAATACAAAACAGAGGAGGCATCTCACGGGCGCAGAAAAGAATGACAAAATACAAAACAATGAATTGGACGAAAAATCAAAAAGCGACCTTACCTGCGGGTATGCAAAGTGCACATTCCGGAACGCGATGTCGCCCTTCACTGCAGGAAGGGTCATGCCGGAGGTATCGTCGGAGTCGATCTGCGGGCGCCGATCCAGGATCGCAAAGATCGAGGCCACCGCGTTGCGCGCCTTTTGAAGATCGGGGCCCATGGAAGCAGTCTGGGAGATGCCGATGGCGCTCAGCACAATGGCGAAGAACACCTGAAAGAGAGAATTCCATGATCTCAATTTTCGAAAATTTTGGAATTTTGGATTTCAAGAAAATTTGAGGCCACCGCGTTGCGTGCCTTGTAAAACTCGGAAGCAGTCTGAGAGATGTCCATGGCGCTAGCACGATGACGAAAAACACCCGGCACAGAGAAAGGGTGTCAAAGCTTTAAGGGAAATGATTAATTACATGTAAGCGAAGCTTTTGGCTCGAAGAAACGGCAAAATTGAGGCGAACGCGTTGCACGCCCTGGTGAGATTGGGGTCCATGGAAGCAGTCTGAGAGATGCCCATGGCGCTCAGCACGGCGAAGAACACCTGGAAGAAAAAGAGTCCTTTTTATCAGAAATTGGTTCACTGACTCACAGTGAAAGCCGTTCCACTGCACGACTCTTGCAGAATCCGAACAAATTCGAAATCGACCGCAAAGGATCAATCAAACCGTCGATGTCTCGCAACCGTTTCAGCGCCTTGGCGACCAAAGGCTTGAAGTCCTGTAAACGGGAGGCCTCGACATCATAAATTTGACAAGGGTACCGTGAAAGTGTAACTCTGCGCTTCGTTTCTCCACCCGAGGTTCTCTCTAAATTGCTTGACCCCTGAAGTTGTCCAGGCTCTCGAAGATTCTTCATAAACCGAAAGAAGCCCACAAAATGCTCGCTTCTGTCACCAGCGGATCGCTCTTGCAGCAAGCTAAGTCCCGCTGGACGAGTAACACTGCCAGCAGATTCAAAACCCTTAAATTTTTCTTAACCTTCACACGCACTGAGAAACAAACAAACTCTGAAACATAACAGCAGTGCTCATTTTGAAGCACATCTGTAAGAAACGCCGAACCCTGCTTGACGAGTAACCCGCTTTTCTCGTAGCCGAGCCCGGCATACTATTAAATGCGGCAGCTGTCTTAACTCTTCAAGGTCGAAGACAAAACCAGATACACTTTGAAACAAAGAAAAGCTCACTTTAGGGACGTCTTTGAGAAACTTTGGAGCCCCTCCAAGAACAAGCTCCCGTACAAGTAGCTGCGGCCGGCATCATCGAAAAACTAAATGGAGAATTACTAATATGGGGCTTAAAGCGCTCTTATTTGTTTTTGTAGATGGGAGAATTACTAATAACAAAGTTCAAAGGAAAAAGAGCGAATTTGTGACACAGGAAACAGTGCTCACTTGTAGGACGTCCTTGAAGGACGCCTGACCCCGCTTGACGAGCAGCCCGCCGTACCAGTAGCTCAGCGCATATGCCGCAAAGACCACGAATTGGGAGAAGGCGAAGGAGACGCCGTTGACCTGGCTCGAGCGCATGCCGACGCGCTCAGGAATCTCCACCTGCGAAATGAACAGGCACGAAAATGAAAAGGCTAATAGAGAGCCAAGGGCAAATCTGCTCCGAGACTTGCACGCTAGTAAAGAGCGGCGGGTATACTGGCGCGCGGGAAGATTCGAGCGAGTAAAGCAATCGGGCAAGCGTGGTGGCGTGACGAAAAGGAGGAGAACAACAAGCCATGGCGTTGAGCTTGCACGAGTAACAAACTCTGCTTTTCAAGTCGCAAGTTTTCGCAGATTAGGTCCGCAATCGAACGGCATCCAGGCTGCCATCTTATACGGTACGTAACATTGATAACAAGAATCTTTGTTGGGGAAGGAAAACTGAGGAGCGAATATGTGACGCCGAAGAAGGGTAAGCCTTTGGATTTGTAAACCAAGGAAACCAGAGAAGAGCCGACCTGTCTTAAAAGTACGACCAACGATGGGTTCAAGTGGGTTAAGATGATTTGAGCCATGGATTCAAGATACTCGGCGAAGAAAGCCCACCTGTCTCCTATACAGCCCCAGAATCTTGTCCTCGGCTCCAAACGCTGCCACCGTACGGATGTTTCCGGTCGCGTCGTTTGCCACCTGGCTGGCGGCTTCGTACATCTGCTTCGCCTTCACCGTGCCGTCCTTCATGCTCTTGGCCTGCAAGGAACGGAAAATGAAAAGTGACGTCAGCGAAAGTATGCACACGTCAGCATCTTCGCGGGCGATCTATGACGACGTCCTTATACGCAACGGACGGCGACCCTCGGCTGATGATGAACTCGAAGCAGAAACGTACCGGCTGATTCTGTTCAGGTCTGCCGCCGACTGCCTTGATGTCGAGTCGAACTTGGGAGGCGGCGAGGTGACCCTCGTGTAACCCAGAGCGCGTGGAAAGGTCGTATTTTGATCAGTCTTACGCGCCACAAAACGGAAGAACTTTTGCTGAATGAACTGAGTCGGATCCGGCAACGCATTTCTGGGCCTGGTGTATGTCAACAAGTCCGCCGAATCAAAGACAACAGCTGCAAGACCGCGACCCACCTTGCCTGTTTCTATGGAGAAAAAACTTCATAAAAACTTCAAACGGACAAGAACCCCACAAGACCACCATTTCAGACTTCAAACGGACAGAACCCCACGGACCATTTGCAAGGATAAACTTGTCATTTGCAAGGATAAACCTGTCATCTTCGTTCGAAGAGATTCCAAACGCTCTTTCAAAGACCAAACCCTTTTTTCACTGAAAGTTACGGTACAATCTCGACCCTTCAAAACAGTGCCCCTTACCTGGACATAGCCACCGAAAATTAGGAGCGGCGCGATCGACAGCACGACGAGCGTCAGGCGCCACTCCGACCGGAACGCCAGGATCAGCCCCGCGGTAATGGTCGCCAGGTTCTGAACCGTTAACCCCAGTTGGTCAACCACCAAACCCTTGATCCCTTCCGCGTCAGCCGACAAGCGCGCGCCGACGGAACCGGAAGCATTTGCGTCGTCGTCGAACCAGGAGATCTCTTGGCGCAGCACGGCGGCGAACGTCATGCGGCGCACGCGGTGGATGAGCCGTTCGGCCATGATTCCGAAGCAGGCGAACTGAAAAAAGGCAAGGGCGGCGCCGCCGCCCGCGAGAACCTGGTAACGAACGGTTTAGGGTTTCAGGGTGTAAGGATTTGTGTTTTCTGGGTCAGGGTTTATGAATCTTAGTGAAAATAAGGTGGATGAGTCGTTTGGCCATAATACCGAAGCAGCAGAATTGGGCGAAAGCGAGGGCAGCACCGGCACCCGCGAGGACCTGGTAACAAACAAGTTGTACCGTTTATGCTGAAGGTCTATGTCCGGCTTCCCAGGTTGTTCAGGTACCATGAAAAGCGGGAAAAAGCGGGCATGTGAAGTCTATTGTTTCGAAAAGCAAATCTGAAGCCTCATCAAAGTAAGTACATACAGGCTGTCTGCAAAAGTCGTGAATCTGCCACATGAAAAAGCACCAAGTGCTGGCTAGTCGGCACAGTCTTTGATCCAACCAGGAGTAGAGACTTGGAGAATCTACAAACTTGCATGGTTCCTGCTGCAACTGCCCGGTGCAACAAAACTTTTGCAGAGTACGGCTGTACAAGACAGGAGCAGCGGGCCTCGACCAATTCAGTAACGTCCCGACAACTCACCACAAACATCCCAGCCCAGAAGTTCGCGTCGCTCTTGAGCTGCGACGGCGGCTCGTAGAACACGGTAATGATCTCCGACAGCAGCAGCGAGAACATCGGGAACAGCAGCCCGTTCCCGCTAGCCGTTACCGTCCCCACGAGGGCGAACGGGAGCTCCGGGCGCGCCAGAGCGGCGAGCCGGACGAAAGATACGGGTTTGGGCTGGCTTTTGGTTGACCCGGTCTCGAGGTCGCCCGGGGGATCCCCCTCGGATTTGCTGCTTGAGATACGGTGCCGGAGGGTCTTGGTGTCGGGGGCTGGGGAGCTGGGCGGAACGGAAACGGACGGAATTGTTAGCAGGAATCACTCCAAGCGGCTTGATTGGCTGGGCTGTAATAGGATGCGGAGTCTTCGGAGAGAAGCTGACCAAACGCTGCAACTCTGCGGACAGGCCGGCAAAAATAGCCACTTTTTGACCCCAGACTCAATCATTTGGCCAAGAGAAAGTTCCAATCGGAATTGGTTCATTAAGCATCTTCTACCATTTCAAGCAATGGGCACTTGCTCCTCTTTCCAGGTCCTGTGGACAGGCTTGTGTGGATGCTTTTGGCACTCGAGTCCAATGAGGGACGGCAGATGCACATCCGCGAAATGACTTGCAATCAGCGAATCTCATACTGCTTTCACCCCTTCTGCTTTCGATCCTATTGGTGCAGATTGCGAGCGATACAGAACTCGCTCCGAATTGGGGTGATAGGGCTCAGTTCGCATCCCACCTCTTTCCCGCTTCCTTGTCGCTTAGTCCGCTCGCGGTGAGCTGCAACTGCCGCAGACCGCCGGCGGTCTTCAGACCGGAGTGGCTCAGAGCAAGGACCGGTTTCTGCTGTGGGCGGCTCTCTTCCAGGGCCTATGTAGGGAAAGAGAACTGGGTCTTAGCTGACGCTTTGGACGTCAATATGCACAACGGCTTGTTCAAAATGAAAACTGCCACTCGCGCACCTAAGCTTCGCAAGAACTGGGCTCCATCTGATGGGAACATGTCAATACGAATGCGACGTTCCTGAGTAGGCTCGAAAGCGGGTCGGGAATGATGCTTTCCAGGTCGGACCGCAAAAACCGTTTGTGGATCGTTCACCTTGGCGGAAAGTGCGCAAAGGATGCAACCCTACGTAAGTGATGTAGCGATTGTAAGTGTGACTACTGGATTGACTATCCACCCTAGCCAATAAAGTTGAGACGCCTGCAAAGATGCGAAGTGGCCGCGAGCGTAAGGCTGATCAAGAACGAAAACGGGAAAATAAGGATCCCCCATGCGCTATAGCGCAACACTCTTTCCCCAAAAAATAAAGGCACTCCAACCAGACAATGCAGCGTAGTGTGAAGTGCTCTCAGAAACAAACTGAATGAAAAGCGAAGTGACACTAATGCACAGAATAGGCACTGCTCACACAAGAAATGTGTCAGAAGAGCAAATAAAGACCGGAACCTGGGATTGACATACACATGGGCGTCTAGAATACTTTGCTCAAGTGCTCTCCTAACGCAGATCTAAACCGAGCCCGGCTGGGTCCGAAAAGCAGATTATCAGGAAAGCAGATCCTTCGAAGCTGCCTTTCCACAAACGACGACCGCAAAATGGTACATTCATGAAGCAACTTTACAACACCCCAGAAAAAGCAGCGCTTCATACAACTGCCCCCCGAAAGCGCACCTGCAAACGAACAAGCGCTGCATATGCGCCGTTGGGGCGCGCCATCAGCTCGCCGTGGCGGCCCTCCTCGACGATCGCTCCGCGCTGGACGACGGCGATCTTGTCCGCGTTCATAATGGTCGTCAGCCTGCGGAGTGGCCAGGAATACAAGAGCTTACGACGGTCGTTAGCGTACAGAAAAGCCGGATGTTTGTTGTTGGATGGATAAGCACAGTAGTGCGACTCAGGGCGGCTTGAAGGGGAGCCATCTATAGATGAGGTCCGAGATCGAACCGATACCAAATTCGGACCAGTTTGACACAGTTCGACGACGTAATTCGTCCGCCGCCCCTGAACCGAAAGAGAGCCACCGAGTTCCCAAGTCCAATGAGAAAACGGATTGTTTCAGCAGTTCCCGTGGGCCAAGGACAACACCGGTTTTCCCAACCATGACGTGGTCCGATGTGCTTGGCACCTGACGGAAAATTTCCATTCACACTGTTTCGGAACCCCAGAGGTCAAGTCTTCCAACCTTTCATAGACTAAGATTCAAACGGACGCACCTGTGTGCGACAACCACCGTGGTCCGCCCAACCATGACCCTGTTCAGTGCGTCTTGCACCTTCCGCTCCGATTCAGAATCCAGCGCGCTCGTCGCCTCGTCCAACAACAGGATGCGCGGGTCCTGAGGAAAGCAAGTGGTGATACGTCAGTGTTGGCGCAAGATTATGTCTGCAATGCTGGACAAAGACGCCAGTCAGGGTCGGTCTGTGTCGGTCTGAAATCCAGCGTGCAAACATCAACCTTGGATGGAGCACCAATTCGCAGAAGTCGGTGAAAAGGTTTGAAGGAAGATGGCGGGGGCCACCTTCTGCCAGATGCATGCCGGTGAAGCAGACATGATTGCGAACCATTGAAAACTTTAACAATCCAAGTGACAATTGTTGACCAAAAAGCTGCCGTTCCCTTAACATGACCTTAAAGCCACCACACCAACCTAGACAGCTGTCCAAAGTCAAACAGCTTGCCAAAAAATGGAAGACGTCTTACCCTGAGCACCGCCCGTGCAATCGCAACCCTCTGCTTCTGCCCGCCTGACAGCTGGATCCCGTGCTCGCCCACCTGCACCGGGTTAGCAAGCAAGGGTTAGTGCAAATGCAGGGAAAAACCTGAATAAACAAGTGGGAAGCAGCATGACGATAACCAGGCGATACTTGAAGGATGCGAGCTTTGGTTTGTCAACCTGGGCCGTTATCCTGGGCAAGGGCCCTCGGAATTGAGGGTTCCCGATCCACTCGTTGATCCACGGGGTGGATAGCTCTCAGGCGAAACAGAACGAATCCACTGCTTTTCACAAAGTCATGATCTGGGATAACATCGCAGGATGATTGCCAAGGCTGGAGACCTTAGGCGATATTGTCCTCCTCTCGGGTCGCTACCAATGGGCCAATAAGCGGAAAGGGCGCGTTGGGGATGAGAACCCAAGAGACTCGATTTCAAAGCGGAAGAAGCACTGAAGCAGCGACGTTCTAACAGAAATGTTAAGGACAGACGACCTACTTCGATTGGCGGATCAGAAGCTTAGAATAAGACTTCAAAAACGACAGGAGGGGCCAACTGCCGGCATGAGTTGTGAGCAGCAAGCAATACCGAGCAACGAAGATTAAAGCGAGCCCGGAACAATCCACAAGGCAGAAGTTCGCTTGCTCTCGATGCTGCTTGCAAGAGCTGTTCTCAACTTCAGCCTCCGCACAATCGTCTGTTGAATGTTCCAAAAAACTCAAAGACGAGTCTAAAGCATCCTGGCATTGCGAAACGCAGAGGACGCTCACCTGCGTATCATAGCCGGCCGGCAGCTTCGTGATGAACTTATGGGCGTTGGCGGCCTTCGCAGCAATGACGATCTCGTCCATAGTCGCGCCGTCTTTGCCATACGCTATGTTCTCCTTGATGCTCGCCGTGAAAAGGGCAGGCTCCTGCACCGAGCAAAGCTTTCGTTTAGATCCGTCTAAATTCCGTTCAGACTCCCCCACAGAGAGTGACAGATCCCTCAGTAACACTCTCTTTCATACGAGTTGAGATCTCGAAAGGAACCTCCGTTGAGTACGCGTAATCCGAGAGGAGAGGAGTCACTTCCTCTGACTTCGCATAGAACCAAGAGGAAGAAGATTCTCAAACCATTTCGAACTCGGGAAACCACATTATACTTCTGGATGATTGTAAGCTTTGAGACCAACCTTTCAAGTCTGAGCTCTTTTGAGGAACTCAGAATGAGGACAGTGTGAATAGCGTTTCATCTTTGACGACCTAAAGCGGCGACTGCCGATCACAGCTTCTCGAAAATCTCTCTTCGTGGTATATTGAATTTCTGACTGGCTTGCCTAATGTCAGTCTCTCTTTCGGCGTGTCATTGCAGCTCCCCCAGTGTCTGTCAGAGGTCAGCAGTAAATGCAATTACAATCTCACTTGAGACACTAGCCCGATCTGCTGTCGGAGCCACTTGAGCTGGAGCTTTCGGATGTCGACACCGTCCAGGGTGACGCAACCCGACGTGACGTCATAGAAGCGCTCGATGAGCGAAACCACTGTCGACTTGCCTGCAGGTTCGAAACACAGCAGAGTCGTCAAGACACACGTCGCATATTTCTGACGCCACACAACCTATGAAAACCCAGATTCGAAGCACTTTCCTCAGGGGTGTAGATCCAAACATGCACGATGTTCACAGAGGTATTCTGGAGCGGGAGGTCCCCAAAGAGATGCTGGAGCAAGAGAGCTTACCGCTTGATCAACCTGAGCGAAGCGGACCATGCTGACAAAGCGAACGCAGGCAGAAACCGACAGCTCATTTTGACAGGATCAGCAGAACAGTTGCACTGTCCGAACACGCAAGTGGCTTTCAGAACAGCTGAAATTACGAGGGCCCAGTCAAAGGTGAAAACAAAACCAGAAGGACCACACTGTGATGTGATTAAGTTCCAAGTCATGTTATTCAAGGAGAAGGACGAACTTAGAAACAACGCAGTAGAGGAGGATTGAAACACTCACCTGAACCGCTCTCCCCAACCAAAGCAACCGTCTGCCCTGCCCGGATGCTTAGACTGAAGTTGGTAAACAGCTTGACGTCGGGACGGGCAGGGTACGAGAACCCCACGCTCCTCAGCTCGATGTCGCCATTCACGCTGGCAGGCGTCTCGCCGGACAAGTCATCCACATCGATCGGGGGGTTGCGCTCGATCACCTGAAGATATCAAAGGTGCGCAGTTTTGATGTGCGCGCAATCAGAAGTACTCGTGTTCGTTGTTGAGGTGCTCGGTGTTTGTTTGTGAAGGCGCTGCCTTAAATGCTGACAGGACTTTTCCAAGAAGGGACAGCCTGAAGCTCTTGCTTGCGCGGCTTTTGCAAAAACGTCCGAGAAGGGAAGGGGCCAGCTTAACACGCAAAGAGGTGATGTCACGAGGGTATGGCGGGATGAGAAACGCACCGAGGCTTGGGTTTGAGAACAGTTCGAATGGCGAGCTGATTGCAGAAGCTCCTACAAACTGACTCAAAGCGCCTGGAGATTGGACGGACGATCTAAAACTGTTGGACCAACCTGGAACATCTTGTAGGCTGCAGCCCGGCCAGAGGCGATGGCGGCGAGGTTGGGGGATCCCTGGCCCAGGCTCATGCCGCCAATCATGACGGCGAACAGGACGTTCATGACGTCGCCTCCGGTATAGTCACCCTGCAAAAGGAAGTCCGAACTGTTTGCTCAGTGGAGCTTTGCTTCAGGGTGGAAGAGCAGACGCCGCATTGAAACTGCACCGAAATTGCTTTTTAAGGGGGGCTGACGAGCACTGCGATGACTCTGACTCACTCATTTGTCACGACATGATGCTGTGAGGCTGGTCCATCAAGGGTCCTTTCACACAGAGAAGGTGTTTTCTTGTTTCGAGCGACGGTATAGCAGGGGTCGCGGTGCCACCGTCGCCAGAAAAAACACCGCAGGTGTTTTTTCCAGTTCGCCGACTCGTACAGTCTTACGTCAGCAAAACAACCGCGGTGTTCCAAATCGTCACCACGCTCCAGAGCGTGGTGCGATGACAATTTCACCGTCGCACGGGACCACTCTTGCGTGCGAAACGATACCCCCAAAGTGACACAGTAAACTTGGGCAAATCAACACCTTCGGTTCCCGGCGAAATGCTCAAGAGTTCACCCGCTCTGTGTGTATAGCCCCCGAAAAGAGCATTGGAATTTTTCCAACGAGCCATTGGTTTTGCTGTTCCTGGCTGCTACCAGGAACAGTGGGAATCGACGCGAACCTTGAGAATGAGCCTCGACCCGTACCACAGCACCGGCGCATTGCCGAGAGGACAACCGCAATGCCCTAATCCGCATTCACCCGAATAGGAAAGTCTGAACTTGAGATGCAGAACAAATGACGAAGCGTGGAAAAATAGCGACAGATGCGCACCTTGAGGATGAGCCTCGACCCGTACCACAGCGCGAGCGCATACGTGCAGAAGACGACCGAGAGGAACACGGCCATGCCACCCCCGATCGCAAACTTCTGCCGCACCCCGACCTTGTACGCTTCCTTGCACATCGAGTCGTATGTTTGGACGGCCTTCTTCTCGCCAACAAATGACACCACCGTCCGAATTGCGCCGATAACCTGTGCAGAAGAGAAGAGAGAGGATCGTCAGGAGTGGAGGTCAGATCGTCTCTGACGCACTGTTTCGGTCAGGACAGCAATCACACTCGAGACGGATTGAATATCTTTGTTGGATCTTTTCATTGTCGCTCTTGTCGGCCACGAGCGTAATCACTGTCAAATTAAGCCGACAACCTCCTTAGACGAACTCTGAAGCAAATCCAAGACAATAAATCTGGCAAGAATGCCTGAATGAAGCACCAAGGCTGTGAAAGGCACAATATAGTTTTCAGAATTTGCTAAGGGTAGGTGGAAAGCTAGGATAGGCTGAACGGCTTAGGTCAAAACTGCTACAACCAAAAAAACGAACAAGGAGCAATCCACTGATGAGGAAGCAATATACGCAACAATTTTGACCCGAAACTATTCACAGCCGAACGACCTCTATGGACTCACAACAATGACGCCAGAATGGCCGTTTGTCTTTCTTGACAACTGATCACTTGGATCTAACGCGACGAGAGCCCCGAGAGATAAGGAACCCTCAGAATTAGCACTTGATCACCACAGCGCTATACCCCCGAACAACTAAATCTCTGAAGATCAACCTCACCTGCTCAGCGAGGCTGCCGGCCTGCGCATATGATTCCAGGCCACGGGCGGCTAGACGCGTCATTGAGAACGTCATAATTGCTCCGACAACGACCAGCACAGGAGTGACGGCCAGGAGAACTAGAGTGAGGAGCCAGCCCTTCGAGAAGGCGATGGCGAAACCGGCGATGAACTGGACGTTGAGCCGGATGTACTGACCAACCTGTATGAAGGGAACTCTGGTGGTTTCAGTAAACAGTCCGACTACCTTATGAGATTTGTACATTGAAGCGCCTTGGGTCTTTCTTAAACCACAGGCATTGGTAACAAATCTTAACGTATCTGGATCCAGCATAGTATAGAGGAACGTCTATAAGAAAGACTTATTGAAAAGATGCATTGAAGTTTTCTCAGGGTTCCAAAACCTCAAAAGCGACTAACGATTTCGTCACTATTTGGTCGCCTTTGATGAAGTTTTGTAATTGAAGACTTCCCCCCCACCAACGACCAAGAAAGTTTCCTGCAATCAAACATCGGACTGACCGAATCTCAGTGAAAACAAACTTGCCTTAAAGCAGCAGACTGAGCAGTAGTTTTCCAGGACCCACTCACCTTCTCTCCGATGGCCTGCTCAATCATCAGCGTATCTCCAGACATTCGCCCCACAACCTCGCCGGTTGAGGTCTCCGTATCAAAGAATCCAATATCCTGCCGCAGGATCGCTTTCAAATACTTGCTGCGGATCCTGGCAGACTGGCGGGTGCCGGCCAGGGACCACAGAGTAACCTCTGCATAAGCAGCCAACTTGAGGAATAAGCTATGATCAGGGGTAGACCTTCGTACGGCAGCTCATGCATTGCAGAATCGTAGTGCTAATTCTAGTTCACGATCTGGAGGAGCATTTGTAACCCATGCACGTTGCACGGATAGATTCATCCAACATGAGAATCCATGGCATGAGACCTTCGGATTAGGTGGGTAGCCAAGTTGCCCTCCAATGTACGAAAAGCCAAACTCCACAAGGGCGTAATGACAGCGAAGTCCTGCCTCTTCTAAGCACAGTCAAGAATGACTTACCACAGTACGCGGCGACAGCCGCTCCTATTGCAAGATAGACAAACAAGGTCGCCACCTGGACAGGGACCACCACAACTATCAGATCCCTATATTCAACCCTGCACGGTCACTACACCTTCAAGTGTTGGCCCGCATTTGGCTGGTGATAGCACGGCCCGTTAGATCTAAACATCTGATCAGCATACGAACTTATATCAGCATCATAAGAGGACCCTTTTTGCCAAGCAGACCAAGTTCAATCTATACTGGTGGAAAGTTTTGAAAGAAGTGGTGAGAAATGACAGGTCTGTGCAGCTAGATCTATACTGATATCTAACTACACTTTCAAACCGGATTTGTGCACCAACTGACTCTGCTCATGCCGACTCCACTACTGAGGCCACTGTTCCTACTTTCCTTTGTTACATGCATACACAACTTTCTCACAGACCATCACTTTGGTAGCATTACGATGCCACCTTGACCACCGCTGTACATCAAGACAGAAACCCTGAAGCATAGTTTTTCATTTTTCAAAAGGAATCAAACACACATCCATCAAAGCATGCCAACACCTCCACAACCTCATGTCGCTATCAACAACGCGCCCACCGTAGAGATCTCCGACAGACCACTAAAGAAAGCCCTTTACTGGAGACGAAGCAGATGAAACCCTAATATCAGACCCCCTCCCACTCACCGTCTTCACTTGCTTGTAAAGCTCGTCGGGGTCGGTCGAGTTGTTCCCAAACGCGTTGATCAGCCGCCCAAACAGGAGCGTCAGCAAGGGCATCGCAGCCCCCATCGCTACAGCCCCGAGCGTCCCGACCACAATGCAGATCCAATCCAGCTTATCGGCATATGTGAATAGTTTCCGGAAGGAAACGGACTTAGCAGGCCCGCCCTTTGCGCCCTCTGCAGACTTGGTCTCAGTGAGGGGTTCCATCGTGCCGGACGGGGGCACAGCGCTCGCACCCGCCAGGGGGGCCGCTGAAGCTAGCGCTGCAGCTGGTTGTGTTGACCCTACTGGCGAGTTTTCTATGTCCAGGGGGACACCCTGGGCCCCCTCCAAGGGCTGACCATCCGCCCCTTGTCCCATGCTAGCGGCCCAAGTGGAGAGAGCAATCAACCACTCGGACTGAGAACTGCTTCCTGGCGTGGATTGTCCAGAGATGAGGTATTGCTGACCTTCTCCGCAGCTCCCGCTGGCACCAGTCTGCAAGAATACAATCGATCCAACGGAGAAACCAAACGCTCCACCACCTTCAGATTCACAATAATCTATCTTGATCCTTTGCCTTGGCCTTAGGCTTCGGTTCCTATCCACTAGTTCTTCTGGGCTTGCTATACCACAGCAAGCCCGTGGATAGCTTTAACCTAGGACGGTAGCGTATCTCCCTTTCAACTTGACCGTCGTTCTTCAAGAACGTTTTCACCGAAGTACGCGCGCGAAAAGAGGTATCGTACCGTGTGAAAGTCAAATGGTGACGTCAGAATGTCAAGGTACGACACTGCAACTCTGACGTGGCATGTGTAAAGTACCCCGGTAGAGGACCTTTGATGAAGAGTGAAAACCTCTAGGGTTCCACCGGGTGCTACCGCCATTGCTTCTACCCTAGGCCGGACGATCGGCTGTGGTGCACCGGTCACTTTGAGCCAGCACCGGTGCTTGCGGCAGTCGCTTTTCTGACGTGGAAAGCTTGCGGGCCACGAAATGCATTGGGAGTGTGCGCACTGCGCAGCCTCAGGCTTCGAGCTGCCGTGTGCCTGTTAAACCGTTGCGGAGTGCGAAGCTTGTGCCGACACGTGTACCGGGTTGCTTTATGGCGCGAACTCCGATCCCCTTGATGTGAATACCCTCTGAAGCGGGTCCCCGGCTAAGCAACCGTTAGCTGCCGCCGCCGGCGGTCAGGCTTTTCGATTGACTGTTGCAGACTCGCTGCTTTTCACTAACATAGGTATCCAAGGAAAACGGCGTGACGCTGTAGCCGTGCTAGGAGCTTCTCGAGAGAATTCACACTCAACAGGAAGCAGAACGCTGCAGAACTGAAGGGCATTTGAAATCGAAGTTGCTGAATGGGCCAAGGGCGCTGAACACAGCTGCATAGGTATTATAGGGACGCTGTGACGCGGTTTCTGAGCTTTGACCTTCTCACTCAAGTAATTAATTTGAATTATAAATATTATTAATTGGAACTTGAAGCGAGGCTTGCACGGCTGCCACTAATTACCTATTACGAACTACCGTAGCTCTCATACAGTAGCTCTGCCATGGCGGACAATCCATCAGAAGCTCATTTCAGCAGCCAAGAGAAGTCGGGGTACCCAGCTGTTTGGATGTTTATGAGCTCTCCCTTGGAGCCACCAAGCCCATTCGATCAGGCACTCGTGTTTTCTTCTATCTCCACTCTATCTCTTCTAGGAAGTGTGAAGCGGGGATCATGTGCGGTGCGTCTCTTACTTTGGGTGCGCAATGCCAACGAGCCGCTTCATTGCTGAGCGTGTAAAACAAGCTCAAATAAGTTCTTTGTAAGTTATTGGGATTTGTGAATAGACTTAGGAAAGAATGGCGCCAATCCCTTCCACAGCAACAGCTGGTGTGCTTCACACAGGACCTGCACAAACGTGTAGTGTGTTACAGCTAGCAGGACAGATACGGGCTTGCACTCAAAACCCTAATAATGTACATAGAGCTCCAAGGGCAGTCAGCCTGCACGCGTTGAACTGGAATGCAAAAGAGCTTTTCGAAAATAGGAACAATTTGCCTCCGAGCACCTTAAGACATGGAAACTCTCAATTCAGTGGCAATACAAGTGAGTTGCTTCAAGCCAGTATTGACATTCCCAAGTATCTGCTAGTTGTACATAAGAATAGGGGTTGTACTATTAGCAGCAAGTTCCATGGGGACCCCAACAGTCCTAGGCAGGCTCGCATTAGGCGGTTGAATCAATTGTACAACAAGCTGGATTCTTCTGGAGTTACAGAGCTCCAGAGCTCTACAGGTAAGTGCTTGCTGCAATTGCTGAGCTTCTAAGCTTTCATCAAACAAGAGTGCAAATATATGAATCACAAAGTAGTCATTGTTGACTGAATGCATTGGAAAGACAATGGACTGAATCAAGCTGCCAGTGCTCATCAGGGTTCATTTGCAAGATACCGAGCATTTATGAGTCCCTCTTTTAGCTGACTTGAATCTTACTACATTTAGTCTTTACTTTGTGTAGTGCTGCTACGCAGGCTTCTGATGCATGCACTTCAATAGGTAGCTTCCATCCGTGACCGCTCTGCAATTATGTGGGTCTCCTCAGCAGAAGCATTGGCTGTCCTATAGGTCAATACTCTCCTCTACACTATCCTCTACGAATTCTGTTTTCTTTTATCTGCTCTTCATGATTGAGTGCGCTTCATTGTAGGGCTTCTGATTGCATCTGCATGGTGTTTCTGGCGATTCTTGACCTATTTTCTGCAGGCAGCTAGACAGATCCCCTTTGCAGGTATTTCTATTTTCACCCAACCACCCCCCTGTATTAACATCTGTTCATCATCCTTCCTCTGCAGGCCAGGTTGGCATCATCAGTACGGCGTCGGAGCCAATGCATTCTGATGAGAGCATCAGTGCATCGCTGATACACGAGCTTCCGCTCTGCTTCGTGCCTTGGGCGCTGCTCCCAGGGTCCCAGGAGATGCTGCACGTGTATGAGCCACACCATGTACATTGTGAGAACTGCCTCTTCCGGTGGTGGTCATACTGCCGTACTCTTTGCCTTTCTGGACACAGCAATTATGTATCCTGTAGAGAGCTCTGCATCATTTGAGCAGCTGGTGTCACAGAACGAACGCGGTGTATCGCTTGCAGCTGTTGAGTTTAGTGATACAACTGAGAGGGAATCCGTTAGGTTCAGGTTCAAAGCTGGCCCCTCAGTGGCAGGGGGGAAAATCAGCAAAATGTATCCCTGTCCTGTAGACGGCACCAGAGCTACTCATGTTGTAATACTAAAGCTGACTACTTAGGTGTCCAGCTTTCTCGTGTAGAAACTCAATTCACCAGGGCGTTCAAAAGGCTTGTACGAGCAGCTTGTAAAAGGAACTCTCCGGTCAAAGCTTCATATTGGCGCCGCTCACTGCATAGAGAAAGAAAGACCCTCATAGTCAGGCCCCTGCTTTGCAGTATTTGAGACGATACTCGCTCAGCCACGACCGTGGAAGTACGGCCATATTCTCGCATCGCCGGGCCGCCGCCAGCACTTGATTGGGGTTGTTGCGGAAGTACAGGAGGTAAGCCTATCTGAGATTCAGCTTGTTTGCCTTGTCTTCTTGACGTGCAGTTTTGAGTTGAAATGTTAGAGTGTTTGCCAGCACATTCTGAGCAGCTGAGGACCCTTGCCACCTGACTGGGTCCCAAAGTAAGCACTGCAAGTGCAGACTCCTTCAGTCTCCTCACAATCAAATTCTTCCAAGCGGAAGGTCTGAGTAAAAAGTGAGGTATTCTTTTTGTTCCTTATGTTGGTTAGAAGAAAAGCATCTTGCTGCGGAAGTTAGCCGCTGGTGAGAGCGACGTGTTTCCCAGCTTTCGAACAGAGACTGATTCACGAACTTGTAGAAAGGCTTCGAAGAGTGTATTCTAAACCACATTGTCGTTTGTCATCAAGATAACTTGTTACGCTTGTTGTTCGTCAGGGAAAAGCAGGTTGTGCTGGTCAAGTGTGGCGCCATCCTTCAATGGATGAAATCCTGGATGGAAGCAGCGAGATGAAGTTGGTTTAAATAAATTGCTTAGATGATTCCTGAGCGAAGTCTAATTGATATACGAATGCCCTTTGGGCCTCTTTTGAAAGCTCCAAACGAGTTTGGGCGACTTCGGAATGAAGATGACTGCCTGTGGAGGTCCACACTTCCAGCCCCGGCGGCGCCGCTGGTGGCAGCAACGTGCTTCGCAACTTTCTGACCCCAGATCCATGGTCTTTAGCGCCTCTGTCCTTTTTTTTAGGGTCTGGTTCTAGCCCGATCCTGTTATCACTTTGACAACAGCAATGTCTGGTTCTTGACTAGTGCTCTCCTCGCTTTTTTGGTTCGGTTCATAAAAGATGTGCGTTGCAAAATCCGATATGCCAGCAGTCTTCGAACAGCGTGTGCCTCAAGCAAAACAGCGACTACAATCTTTCGTGGACTGGCTCTCCGTTTGCCACAGAGCAACACGACTCCCGACGCTCTCTGCTTTCACTCTCTTTTCCCCCTCTCATTTCCTTCCCCTCCCCCAAACGCGTTGTGGAAACCGACGCTTTTCCCTGATCTCTGCCAGGTCGAGCGGTTCAGCGACGGGCGTATGCTTCTCTTGGTCGCTGCGACCGCCAAGATCCGCGTCCTCCGCCCCAGCCAAAAGGTGCCGTTCGTTCTGGCGACAGTCGAGAAGGAACACGACGAGGAGGAGAGCTTGGTGGGGGCGCTTTACCCGGGGTCAGAAACCGGGTTAGGAAAACCGTCCGCTAACAAAAACGGGGTTAGGAGCAGCGGGCCAGAGTGGGATCCGGAGGTGGCCGCCGCGGCGGTGATGACGCACGAGCTGCGGAGGAGGGAGAAGGAGCTGTGGGACTGCTACGATCAGGTGAGGGAATCACGTGCTGCCACGTGTCCTTCAGCGGTGTGTCCAACTTCGAAGCGCACTCTGCGGAATCTGCTTAAAAGACATCATCCTCGTTCGCGATGGTGTCAACGGGCGTTTCTGATTCTACCGGAATTGTGCGGCTTGCTCGTCACCACCTGGAAATTGTTTCCTCTCTTCATTCAGGAGCTCGGAAGGTCCAAGCCCTGGTACGACGTTCGACGTTACTCAAGATGCATACGTCTCGATTGGAACAGCGTCACGCTTAGTGTGTGTCCGATAGCTGGCCGGTAGTGCACGAACTATGACACCGGCAGCCTTACACCCACTTGCCGAAGGCCGGAATGAGCCAGAAGCTTCTACCGCAGCTAGTCCATGTCTTCCAGATACCGCCTCAGAAATCAAGTCACTCACGTGGCGCCTGATCCGGGCCCACAGATGGTGGCGAGGAAATGTTTTGAAAATTGACCTCCCGTTTGTTAAGTCGCAAGCACCCGACTGAGACGCTTTTTTATGCAAGAACAATCAGCCCGGACTTTTCAACCGGTTTCGAAAGATATGCAGGAGGTCGACGTCAAGCACGGAGAGATACTTGATTGACTTCCCGTCTTTCTTACCCGAGCACCTTCCCCTTCCCCCAGGTCCGCCTGCTCACGGCCAAGCTCCGCATGGACGCCCGGGGGATCCCCCCACCCTCAACCCTGCTCGACGCCCGGGAGATCCCCCCTCCCTCCGCCCCGCTCGACGCCCGAGGGGAACCCCCGTCCTCAGCCCTGCTCGACGCCCGGGGGATCCCCCTGCCCGCAGCCATGCTCGCCGTCCTGCCCCCGGGGCGTTCCACAATCCCCAATAACGGGGGATCCCCCCGGCCGCGGTCGGTGGAACAAGCCTGGGAAGACCCGGCCGAAGTGGTGGGCCGGGTGCAGCGGCTCTCGTACGCGGTCGGCGCGGCGCTCCCGGACGTCCGGCGCGCTGAGGGACGGCAGGCGTTCCTGCAGGCGAGCAGCATACGGGAGCGAATGGATCTGGCTGCAGGTAGGCAGATTGTTTTTCCTAGGTTCCAATTTTAGTTACCAGTCTAAGCTCTTTTTTTCTAGGCTTAAGAAACGTTCAAGGGGCGGCAGGTGGTCCTGCAGGCGAGCAGCATACGGGAGCGGATGGACTTGGCTGCAGGTACGTGGAGCGTTTCTTTTTATGCTTTGAGTCCTGCTTATTTCTGTCCACTTCTCAATATTGTGGCTGCGCAGAGGGCCGGCAGTACTTGCTGGACGTTTAAAGTATACTGATGAATCGCTCCACGCCGGAATCGGGGTGTTGTCTAGGATTTAATCTCCTGGGTGTAGTTGGATCGACACTTCTGGTTTGTGAGGCGCGCCCGTTCCTTCAGGCGAGCAGTGGACGAGAGCGGACGGCTTCGATGCAAAACTGCGACTCCGCCTCGTTTTCGTACGACAGCAAGAGACTTGGTGAACGGACTAGATCATGTGCATTTGATGTTCGCAAATGTGTGTTACAAATCACGGCAACTTCCCTGGTTGTATTCTGCCTTGCTTGAGCTCTTATAACGGTTTTGCCACTGTACTCGAAGTTAAAGCTGGAAGGTTCGTTTCAAAACATCTTCTCGTTGCTTTCTTAGACGAGACCTTCAGCGAGGCTTCGTATCACTGCCCTTCAGATAGTAGGGTCTGAGGTCGTTCTAGGTTGATATTCAACTTGGGCCAATCATTCTTTTGCAGTGTGGTCGTCAGAACGGCTCGCATCTTGAGATCGGCCCTGACCAACTTAAATTGGGTTAAGCGGCCAACTTCAACCGAGCCTTTCATAAGATGATTGAAAGACAAAGAGTTGCAAGGAAGCAATCTAAAGCGCCGACTCTTCTTACCCGATGCCTTACTCTCGGTTCGGTACCCTGGAACTGCGTTTCGAATGGACATGGTATCAAAACATCTCGTTGAACAACGGTAGGCGTCAATCTGAGTCTTGATCCAGCACGTGACTCTTCTTTCGCTTCCTCCCTGCAGATTTGATGACGCAGCGTTGCAGGGAACTGGCTGCTCGTGTTGCAGTGAAACAGGCGCTCACCGACACTTCTACCAATTTAGGAGGTTAAGTAACCGCGGTGACGTGCCGATTGTAAGAAAGTAGTGACGTAGGCAGATTTGTGTACATATACCGGGAGCCCAGCTTTTTTTCGGCAGAGGCGCTGTCGATTTGTAAATGCTAGCCGTCATTACACATAGGGACTCGACAACCGTCCCTGGTTCATACGTTGCTCCATGCAACTCAAGACTGCTAGCCTTTGTAACAGTGAAGAAACTTTCATGACAGGTATGTCGTTGACAATTAGGAAGTGTTGGCAAACCATCAAATAGAATACCTCAAATCGATGTTTCGAGAGTTGCAGAGCAGTAAGTTTTCTACCCTGTCGACCCTGTCTTATCAATCTGGAGACGCTAAGTTTCCTACCCTGTCGACCTTGTCTTATCAATCTGGAGACGCTATGTACCATATCAACAACTTCGTTCAATCGAGCACACCTAGAAATTGAGTTCGTGGGTCGATGTCGAAATCGGCCGAAGATGTTGCCAGCTGTTGCTCGTCACATGCAGCTTAGGACTTGTGGGCTCGTGGCATACATTGGCATGGAAATAAAGTGAACAGTACGTTTGTGCCCGGCCATTCTTGACAAATGCACCATGAGCACCAGATTTCAGCTGGCGATCTCCTACCGGCGGCGGCGCGGTATGTAATGTAGCACTTAGTCGAAACATCTGAATTCCATGGCATTCTATGGATCCGTATTTGTTCGACCTTGGACTTCGGAGCTCTGCACGCAAGCTGAATATGTTCTGTTTGGCATACTTAGGCCTGGCCGCGGCCGGCCGGCATGCATAGGGGCTAGCTAGCGAGGTGCAGTAAAGTGAATTAATTCAACGCTTATTCAACGCTTATTAATTTATTTCCAAAAATCTTCAATTTATGTATCTGAATGGTGGAGAAATGTGCTCGTCACCATATTATCGAACAGAATTGTGGCGAAGAATGTATTGTAGTTTGAGTCTATTCCTCGAAGCACGTACATGCAGATTTTTCGTACTGTTGCATGAAAGTTGAGGATATACAGTTGATAAATAATTGTTGACAGAAAATTGCTCAGCTAGAATATCAGGTTGTGTACTTTTCCATGCGACGAGCAGTGGTTGTATATATATGCAACGGTAGTTGGTAAGTTAAGTTTTGACATAGAACAGATAAGAGGTCAATGTTCCATTTACTAAGATATGGTTCTCTAGCTTGCCGCAAAGATTGTATGTATGAGCATTCATCCGCAAGACGATGACAAAAAGTTAAGTGATCCAATGTGACAGGTTGTTTGGTGGAACGTTGTCAACAGATATTCCTCATAATTATCTCGTCGCAAAAAGAGTGACACGATGTGACAAAAAACATGTGTGATTATTGAGAAATATCATTCGTGGCAGAATGTGAAGACAAAACTATGAATGCAAAAGGTATACATACAGTTCATCTTCCACAATTGTACAAGTACAACTCGCAAAATGTTGATTCTTTCAACCCCTACTTAGTATACAAGGCTGCTACACTGTACAACAAAGTCCTTCAACGCAACACTCTCTTAAGACTGGGTGTCCTCCTTGGTGACAGACCCGCCCTTGGAACCCATCTCCTTGTAACCCTCAGTGCCCAGCTGCTCGCTGCGAGCCTTTCCGCCCTTGCTGCGTCCCTCCTGCTGCCTCTCGAAGGCCTCCTGCAAAAAACGAAGGGAGAAAAGCGTTACACTACGGGCTGAAATGTTGAAAGGTGACCACTTGGCGGTGGTTTAGAAAGGTTGTTATGGAGGAGAGTACCAATCAATTGGGTGTGGGAAGTAGCGCTCCAACTAAAGCCACAGTCAGCAGTTTAGTTAGTTAGTAAAGGTAAGTCGGTGTTAAGATGGAGTCAAGACGGAAGCGAGGTTGGAGTAAACCAGCGACTAACGACTCAAAGATCCCCGCTTCCAGGCTCTCTTTCAACTCATAGTCCCTTTCAGTCGTAGGGAGCCTGACACAGATTTTACCCTGTTCGGGACACCCTAAACATGAGTTTACCATCAGTTTCAAAGACGTTCGGACTGCTCCCTAGATGCGAGAAAAGAGCCCATGCCCCTCTAAATTGAGGGATGTGACATACACCATCTTCCCTCACTATTAAGAGTGGTTTACCAGTCAACAGTCGACTTTTACCAACGGTAATATATGAGCTACCCCCAAATCCACCCAGATCATCTTTTCTGTCAAGTCAGAAGCTCCTGCAAAACAGATCACATTCTACGACAGAGGAACCAGTACAGTAGCCATACAATTGAAGGACGTCAATGTAAGGTAACGTCACTGGCCAGGAAAGCAAAGTCAGAGAAGTCTGTGCAACTGCAAACGACACTCCAGACTTTTGTTCAGTTAATCTCAACCTCAACGACCAAGCTAGTACCAATATCTTGTGAAGCCCCACATGCCAAGGTTAACAGAAACCTCTTCGTTTCGAGACTGATTAGGTAGGGAGAGCATAACATCTCTCGTTCACATAGAGTGACCAAGCAATGTGCCAATCCAACTGTCTCCCCACTCCAGCAGATTGTCACAAGACATGAAGACGCACCAAAATACCCTTCAAAGTGTACAGACGTAGAAGATGCTCGCACAAAGACAAGGAATAAACAAAGTTTGAAAATCTTGGGACGGGCTGCTTTTTACCTGGCTCTGTCCGTCGGGCTTCTTGCTCTGGTCCATGAGCTCGTCCTTGCTCTGGGTCGCGGGACCGCTCTGCTGGCCGCTCGACATGGTGGCGACGTATAGAGAACTTGCGAACTTGGGTGTTTTGTTTAGAGAATTGGAGATTGCTTGCAAATGCGTAATGTGGGCGGTTTGGAATGAGGACTGCTTGGCGGAGACGGAGCTTTATACCTCAAACGGAGAGACGGTCTTGAGTCCGAAGTTCACCTGCTTGAATCCTTGGCTGCTTTCAGGGCGCATTACAGGCTCCCAAACTGGAGAGAATGTGGGAAATCAAGAGCTCAACGGGAAGGCCGCCTGCTGACGTGTGCCGGGCGCTGGATATCGTTTGCTTCAGTGGCGCCGTCAGAAGGGCGCGACGTCAGCGCGGATGGCGCAACCCGCCTGCATGACGCCCAGGTTGCGGATAACCGTCACGTGTGCTCGGTTAGCGACTGGCGTGTTCGCCATGCACTGACGGACGGGACCCCGAAATTTGGAGAATCTCTGCATGCAAGTCTGCAGTTGAAATCAGGGTGAGTCAGACTGGTGTGACTGTTCAGCAACTATAGGGTATGGCGTTGCATGCAATAGGAACCGGTCCCTTTTACCGGTGCTGCCGCTGCATGCACAGTTCCGGACTTGGCGGAACCTGCATGCAGACCGGGTTAAAGCCTGGTTAGGTCGTCTTCTTGCCCAGGTGGTCAGGATCGGTAAGCGAGCCACCGTCTAGCTGTAGCGCCGTCGGTTCGCCGGATGATAGGGTGTGCACTGTGTTCGTCCTGAATCTTGTGCACCCCAGTTCTAATACCGGGTACTAGACGCTAGACTGCCCGGTACCCCTGTTGGGTCTTCTGAAACCGCAGAAGATAACGAGCCCGGTTCTGCTCTGAAAGTAGAGAGGTTCAGCACAGGGTTAACATCAAAAGACCGACGGTTGAAGATAAGTTGTCCGGACGCACGCCGGCCGCGTGGATGAAATGCGGGGGTTTGCGGGAGGGTTAACGGGTTGGCATTGAGTCAGACGCGGCCGCGTCCTGGAAGTCAGGTGAACGGCGCGCGCGGCCAGGAAGCGCGGCTGGCGGCGTATGCGAGCGCGTCACAAGTGCGCGCGAGCAGCTGCCGCTAGGCGCACGTGCCCCACCTTAGTAGCGGTTTTTGCGGCCAGGGGCGCCGGCGCTCCTAGTGCAGAGGAGCTCACAGATCAGGAATTCCCGTGAACATCTTGATCTGCTTGACGGCACCCGGATAAGACTTGCTTCTTTACCCTGAGTTCATGTCATGCTCCAAAGACAATGAAGCATACAGTACACCAGAGGGACCACCAGAGCTGGTACGAGTCACGTTGATCTTTTGGTGATGCTGGCCTGTGAGTGCGCACCAAAATGGACTTCACAGTGTACTTGCATCTTTTCAGGCTTGCGCAGCGCTTTGAACCATTGGTGATTCCGACTCCTGTCGAAAAAACTGACGACCAAGACTATTGCAAGACTTGAGAGTCTCTCGATCGATCTGCGGTTCTCTGAGAGATCACGACAGTAGGAAACAAATGAAGTGGTCTACGAGTCTGGCTCAGGCTGACGTTTGAAAATACCGTGACTGAATTCAAAATAGTCGAAAGTGTCAAAGTGTACCGTCGAGTGTCATGCGGAAGATCGTCTGTACGGGGCAGGGATTTTGGCGGGCGCGCTTCGCGGCCATGTGGTCTGACGATGGCAAAATCGAGAGCTGACTCAAATTCCAATCCCTGATGTCGACATGCAGACAAGAAACCCTCAAAAAACGATTCCAGCTTTCCATGGGGAAAGGGGGAGACTTTGGAGGACCAGAAAAGGAAGCCAGAGCTCGTCGGCCAAGGCTTTGAGGTACCGAAATAAGGGGCAGATCTTGTAAGAGAGGACAAGCGTCTCAGCAACAGAGGAAAAGCACCGGTTCCGGGTAGGCTGAAAAGAGAGGTTTGGAAGCAGCACGGCATACAGACATTGGTGCTCGTCTCTCTTCTTCCATTCTCGCGTCCTGCGAGTTTCCATTGCCCTCCTGGTCATTTGCCAGTGTCTCTGATTGCTCATCGGGCTACCTTTTTGCTCATCTTCGTTTGAGACGGGGTAGTGACGCGTGGCGTCATCTGCTGCCGGAGAAAAGGGCGCCAATCTTACGACAGGCAGGGCAGCGCGCCTTCTTTGCTCGTCATTAATTTTCCTTTCAGAGTTGGAGCTGAGTACAACGGTGAAGGGACAGCGACTTCATTCATGCCAATTCCGTTTTGTGTGAGCGGCAGTACGTGCAAGCAAGCTCCAATTGATCTTGCCGTTGAAGTGCCCCCTTCTCAACCGATTAACTTCGTCGTCACTCCGTTCCTCTTCGTTGATGTGGGCGAAAGTAAAACAAGATTAAAGACTGAATAATGTTATCTGCTGATCTTTAATCTCATCCTGCCTACACTTCTAAGCTGTTCAATCGCATATTTGTGCTGCGCGCTTTCAGAAGCCCATCTGCAGCGTAAACTTGTCGTGCTTCGACCATGCAAAGTTCCCCGGAAGCTCACTTACCTCCATAATTCACCTTTAGGTCCTTCCAATCAAGTTCGAAAACCGGGGGCAAAGTTTTCAGGTCTCGTGAGTTGGTGGAGCAAGGCTGCGAGATTCGTGGGATCCTCTGTTTTGAGAATCTGTGTCGTCCTGCAATCAGAAAATGGAGACCGGCAAGCAGCGCTCCCGTGCCGCCCAATTCCTTCTGGCCGCCGCTCTAGTTGCCGCCTTCACCGCGTGCGCTTCCGCCGCCGATCCGGACCCCCTCAGAGACTTTGAGCCGCCTGATTCCCCAGCCAACTACAACCCTCCCGACCTCTACTTCAAGTTCGATCTGAGGCACGCGGCAAATCCGGCGGATGGCCCTGGGGGGATCATCTGGAAAGCGAACAGTGCGAACTTTCCCGCTCTGAGGTGGGCAGCCCAACAGCGAATTCCGTCAAGCACCGAACAATTCAAATTTCTTGTGAGGTTTCGTGAGGCCGCAGGTGCTTCCGTGGTATGCTGTGGTTTGTGACTTCTCCTTCGCGGCTTTTCAGGCTTTGTCTGTTCCCGCAGGCCACATACGAATCTGTAACCGCACATCTTGAGGGGCTTTCCAAGACTTGAAGTCAGAGTGAAAGACCTTTGATCGGAGGAGCGAAAATTTGTGTTGGATCGGTGTACCCAAAACAAAGTCGAGCGTTGACTGGTTGACGTGGGTTGTGGTAGATTGAGGGCTCTGATATGAGCTGACTGAAGGCTTTATTCTTCCAAGTCTGTGATTCTGCTCTGCGACGTTGTCGACAGCAATTTCCAGAACTGTCGCAGACGCCTCTCCATGCCTCAATCCGAGTTGCCAATTCGATGCAGCTCATAGCCAGAGCAATGCGTTCTTTCTCAACGCCACCGCCGTTTCGGAAAACTTTCTTCCGGCCCGTTTTCGACGCCGTTTCCTGCCGCGCGAACGCAGGCGCCAATTTCGGATACGATACTCTGCCGGCAAAATGCATGAGCATGTTACTTAGAAAGTCAGGAAGTTTCGTCGCCCTTTTCCAGGTCGCAAGGCCTGTCGAGCGCCCTCTTCGCCATCCGCCCGTGCGGCCAGACCCTGCCGCACACCCACCCGCGCGCGAGCGAGATCGTGTACGTCATCAGCGGGGGCCCCGTCCTGTTCGGTTTCGTGGACACCAACCGTAAGCCGCCGCCCCCGCGGCCGCCTTACACAAAACCTCACTTCCATTCCCTCAAATCCAGCCCTGGGCTAGCCCAGGGAGAGCGTTGTTATCTTGTGTTACATGTTCTGTAAATGGTAAAAGGAGCGGGAAAAAAAGAGAAAGAAAATACAATATCCCCAAAACGGGCGCCGTGTCCGGAGTCTTTTCTGGTCTCCTGCACCTTTCGTGTGGTGTGGCTATCTTTAGAAGCTGTTCTCCCCCTTCACCGTAAGTAGACACGCGGCGACGGTAAAAGCGGAGATTGGGCTCGAAAGTCGCCGCCCACGGGATTGGTACGGTGAGATGTACGGTGAGAGCAAGCAGACACCTCGATTTGAAAGTCGCCCTCGGTTCGTTTACAAAGCTCATGTGGATAGATTCAGCCCTAGCGAATCACAAAGACCTACATAGCCTTGAAAACAACCTTGATGACTGATCATTTAGCCGAAATTGAGCTGATCAGTACCGATGTCCACAGGTTTCCGGACTGTACCTGCAATTCTGCTGAAATCCTCATCTTAGCGGGGCCATGTGTCGAACCACCTTTTTGCGAGCCGTTAAAGCGACGCCCACCTGAAGGTTCAGTGGCCTGGCCTGTAACCCGGTTAGTCTTCATTCGGACATGGTTGGCAGGCTAACCCGCTTTTGTCGTGTTTCTGCCCTTCGAATACCGCCCATTTCGACTTTCTTATCTTTTCACTGCTCTTCGACTACCTCCCATCAAACATTGATTCGCAACCCTCAAACTTCGGATGAACTTCCTTTTGCAGCTCACCACACACCGCCACCTTGAATTTCTCAACGGTTCAAGCTGCTAACCCGGTTTACTCTCCTTTTAACCCTCTTCACAGACACCGCTCACCTAAACCTCCTGCGTGCGGGCGAGATGACGGTGATCCCCCGGGGCATGCTGCACTTCTCACAGAACTTTGGCACGGGTGACGTCATCTACTTCTCCGCGTTCAACAGTCAGAATCCGGGAGTCATTGTGAGCGCACGTACCCAGATTGCGGCCTTATGTTACGACGCGCTGATCAAAAGTGCTGAGTGCTATTACCCGCTGAGCCAATCTGAAATGTTGCCGACAGTAGCCGCTTTTTATACAAGTATCGCTGGATGTAGACTTTCAGATGTCAGAATTCGCGTTTAAGTATTCGAGACCACTGATTTCAGGAACGTAAAAATTTTGCAACCGTTAAGAAGCCTGAAAGGCTGAATCGCTGTCTGCTCTGTAGATCGGATCGGACGATTTGATTCTTCTAAAGTCGGTTTGGCTTTGACCCTTTCAGGCCACATTCAGACGCAATGAAAGTTCGCACTGAAGCACCTGTCTTGAGGCAAGATAGAATCTTCAGTCGGCCCTTGTAAAGCGCTCCCAAAATCCTGTCCGGGAAGCTGACTTGGATAAGGAGAAAAATAAAAATGGTTCTCAAGAGAAAGATGCCGCATCAATCGCAATCCTCCTCGCTCGTTGGTTCTGCAGATTGGATTTGTTCACTCGCGCTTACTGCATTGTAGGGCGCCGCCCTTTACCGAACTTTTTGTCAAGAGTGCCCACTACCAATCAGCCTTCACTCTTTCCCCTCCCTGCAGACCCAGTCCAAGGGCCTCTTCAACCTCCCCCCCGAAGTGGTGGCGACCACTTTCTCCCTGCCTCTGGACCAGGTCAGGGCTATCAACGGATCTCTACCGGTCACTACCGCGCCCACTCTAGGCACCTCAAACCAGGGCTGCGTGCCCGGGGTGATCCCCCCCGAGCTTACTTACCTAGACGTTCTGGCTCCGAAGGGCGACCAGAACGTGTCTGCACCGGGCGGGTATTAGGAAGCTGATGGGCAGGGACTGAATGTGGGTCATATCGAACCGAAGACAGGTTCGTGCGCGGGGGATCCCTCTCGAGCTCAGATGATTGGATCCGGACGGCGACCAGAACGTGGGCGGGTGAGGAAAGCTGGTGGGCCGGGAGTGATTGTAGGTTGTGCATAACTCGAGAAGACTGCAGTTTTTGGTGTGCTGAGGATATGAACGTAAAGGGAGTGTAAGAGGGTCTTCTGAGGTGTGCGTGTACGCTAGGAATATTGATTTGAGACGGAAACTTGACGCGCGGAGACTGCATAAATCTGCTTACGTGTGCCAACAAAAGGGAGGCACTTGAGAACACACTCTGATAGCGGCACCAAGTCAATCCAGACGTTTAATGATTGTCACCTTGTGTGTCCAGTCGCACCTTGTAACGTGGCATGTGAGGGCGCCGCTAAATGTAATGTAGGAGCATGCGTCTGTACACAGTGTTCGACGCCTCAGGTCACTTCTAGCGGCGGAACCGATCCATATTTCAACACTTATGCCGACCACATCAGCGCATCCATGCACGGGGCCCGGCCTTACTCAGCCGTGAAGTGTACGTGTAAACTGTTCGAGCAATTAGTTCCCAATTAGTTGACACCGAATTGTTACTAATGATTGAAACACTGGGTCACGTTTGGGCCTGGCTGGCGCGCGCGCATAGGCGGGTCACGTCGGTTGTCAGTTTGTGCTTGGATTGTGCCATGGCTAAAGCAAGAACGCGATACCTGGCTGCGCCATACTTCGCATACCGCTGTCAGCCGGTTTCAGCTTTATCCCACAGTTAAGCCGGCATAGCATATCTCAATGGATACTCCATCGCTCAATCTGGTTCGCACGGTGTTCATGCTAGTGCCAGTAGAAGGCCGCAGAAAGCTCTGCAGAGAGATGAAAAACTTTAGTCTTAAATCAAGTCAGCCGCGCGCGACGGGCCGCGGCCGGGTGTCGCGTCGCAGGGTTTAGGCGGGCCCGGGGTTTACTGGCTTTCAGTCGGCGCGGCGCGAGCCTGCGCGGCTCGCTGAGTCCGTGTTCGCGCCAAAGCGGCGGCGAACGCGACATTCGGAGTTCAACAACGATTCCTTGGCATAGGCAACAGGCAGCATTGGCGGCAGAAGCCGGCTCTAGACGAGAATAGAGTTCTGTTTTTAGTTGAAGCGCCAAATGTCAAGTAAGATACTGCTCTGAATCAGTTGGCTAGGCAAGAATGGCATTCGCTGACCTTAGCGACCAGCTTCCACCGCAGCCTGAGCGCAAGGAGTTAGGCGTGGACTTGTCTGTGCACATGGATTTTGCTTACCGCTCGGGTCTGAAACAGTTCAGCGATAGAGTGATCCGGGTACTTGTTCAGAGGGAGCCTCTAGAAGGAGGAGAAGAACTTCAGCAGCCGGATAAAAGTACAAGCCAGGCCTATGCTTCAGGTTGTGTCGCTTCAAAGGAGCTTACGGACTCTGAGCACCAAGTTCAAGCAGTTGACTTGGAGATGCAACCAGTCGCGGGAAATGAGTATGGAGACGAAGACAGCGAAGGTAATGTACAATCCGCACTTTGTGTTGAATCGGTTCCGAACACATTCATTGAACAGATTGTCTTAAAATTGATTCCTTGAATCTGCTTGATCACGAGTATTATGAACAAACACAAGGTGCATAACAGGTTCTGCACTACTGAGCAAGCATAAGTACTCTGCATGTTGTCCATTTGCATGGTCAGTGAGACATTGGCGGAGACTGGTCCATCAAAGACAACAAGTGCTGGGTGGACTAAGAGTGCCTTGGTTTACTATGCGAGAGGCCCTCGGGACAATGTATGATCTTACATCATGCTATCTGTGTTTGCAACGCTTCCATACTAATCGAACCCAGAACGTTTGAAATATTTTCCACTTGGTTCCGATGAGGAGCTTTGTGATCTTAGTAGGCACAAAGCTCCTCATCGGAACCAAGGAGCTTTGTGCCTACTAAAGCACAAAGTAGTAGGCTTTAGTAGGCACAAAGCCATCAAAACTCACGCTTTCTGTACGGGACGCCGATTCTGATCCGTTGGATCTGCTGCTTTTACTATAAATCTGCAATCTGCATTGTCAGCCTGATACATGCTTTTGAAATACTAAGGACTGCTTCTTCTCGACAGCAGCATGCATTTTAAAAACAGGACTCATTCTAGGCTTGCAAGGGTTCACCCGAACAGCGTCGCAGGGCGTCTATCAGACGGTCCTTCTGCTCAACGTAACGTTCGACGCCGGGATGTGAATTACTCTTTCGAGAATTGGCCTGCAACTCTCCTTAAACAACGTTAACTCGGCGATGATGACGTGGTCGACCGGCCCAGTCACACGCTCTCTTAAACGAATTGGTGATGAGGACGTCTTTAATGCTTGAGCATGCACGTTGGATTTGAACCTAGTTAAGTGCACTATTCGAAAAATGTTTTTGCTGATCGTGCGTCAGGTAGCTCGTCTTACGACATCCCGGTCAGCAGTGCCGTCATCGCCGCCCATTCCATGTACTTCCGGAGGATGCTGACGTCAGGCCTTCACGAGAGCCGCTCAAAGGACCAACCGATTGTGGTTGCTCTCTCGCCAAGAGGTGAGCCATCCTCGCCAAGAAAGCAATCTGCTCCCACCTTCGTCCATGAACAAAGGACAAAAACTGTATGCTTTTGAAAACAAGGACTTCGGTTGTCAGCGACTCATCTTCTGGCGAGAAAGATGCCGGCTTAGAATTAGAGGAGACACAGGGGAAGGCCTGCCGCATGCACACCTGCCGCACACCTGTTTTCTCAATACGGTGACTTTCTCCAGAGAAATTGAGGATTTTGATGACAATCTGCTTCGGATCTACCAGGAAGCAATTTTCTAGCTCTTGAAAAATCCTCGATGCAGGTTTTGTGAGCTTCTGTCATGGATGATCAGTGCAGGAGGAGACACCTCAACCTTTTTTGCCGGCCTGCTTTTGACAGTCGAAGGTTGATTCTTTCCCATAGATCTCCAAATAAAAACCAACAACCACAAGTGTTAATGCCCTTGTGCAGAGGCACAGAGCTTCAACGCTTTGATCGAGTTTATATACACCCACGAAATCAGCGCAACAGTCCGCTCAGACAAGGAAGAGCTCTGCTGGCTTCTCACAATTGCGGACCGCTTCGAAACCGCGGCGTGCGTCCAGATGTGCGTCCAGACGCTGACGTCAACACCCACGACGCTCGCTGACGCGGTCATGTACGTCAGCCTGCCGGAGCCTGTGAAGCGGTGCGAGGCAGTTCGCGCGTTGATAGATACTATTTCTACCCTGACGAACTGGTCTCTTGAGGAGATAGCGGGCGCGGATAGCGTTTGCGATATGGAAGAGGTCACCATCAGGCGACTCGTTCTCGAGCTTCGGGGAAGCGATGAGTACGAGGAGGGGCTCTGCAAAGTCTGTCTCCAGTGGTTCCGTTACGAGGGTCAGGACCGGTGGGGAGCTTTTGCGGCCCTCCTTGAGTTGCTCGAGTTTTGGCGCATCAACCCGACTTTCATCAGAGAGGAGCTAGAGAGCTGCCCCGAGGTAAGCGCTCCGGAGAGGCGGGCCCTGATAGATAAGCTGAAAAGCATGGAACCACCTCAGGAAGACAAGACACCGGACGGAGCAGATCAAGTCGGTCATGGGGGCGCGCCTGCGGGCCACGGCTTAGGTCCAGCGGTCGCCGGAAACAACGCTCCTGCCGTCTTCCCTGGTGGATCCGTTGGCGTCCGTGTCGGAAGATCTCTCGCATCCTTCACGTTGTTTTTGATCATTTTGGGCGCTATTGAGGGGTTCGTGGTACCAGTGGTAATCTCCGAAAGGATCGATAAGCATCATCATAAACCTGTCCAGTCTCCTGTTTGGATTGGCCTTCTCCGGGCCTCTGCCCCTCGGCGGTGCAGTTGCAGGCTTTATAGTAGGCTCCGTTCTCATGTTAGTCTGGTATGTCATATACAGCACCTGTTTGAGGCGAGCTCCTTGAGTCTCTGGCAGAAGCAGCTATAACAGGCTAGAAATTATTGAAAGCTGGAACTGTTCATGTTCAGAAACTGCAAACCTTCACTGAGAATCAGAGAAAGCGACCTAGCCAACAAAAGGCGAATCTTTAATCTTACTCGGCTACATCGCTTCAATCTTCATACCTTCCTGTCATGCAATATATATTCAAAATTGGCAATTTGAAAATTCATCACAGATTGAACATCAAGCACAACATGTGATGGCTATGGTCCAGGGTGTGCAGTGCTTCTGAATCCGATATATATTCCGGCCAGCTTCGATCGTTTGCAGATTTCTGGACATGTCATAAATGTGCCGTCACATGCAAAACTACGCGGTTTGGGAAGTATCTATATAGCAACGAGCCTCGGACTCGCTCATGGGTTGTCGCGCCAGCTAGCGTTGCTGCAGTCGGAGTTTACCAAAGTAGCTAACAGGGTTATACGGTTTGACATGCTGTGCCATAACTTATGATCTGTACGGCACGTGCATGATCCGCCCCATGCACACCTTTGATCGATACGCACGGGCTTAATAAAGGTGTCCATCAGCCTGTGAGTCAGGCGGGCGCGGCATGCAGTGACTGGCATGCATGATTGTTTGAGGCCCTCCGCAAGAAGTGCCGGCGCTGGTACAAATCCGTGTGCATTTCTGTGACCTTTGCACTTGCAGAAATTTGAATAGTACGTTGGGTACGAGTCAATCGCATATACCTAATCTGGCTGCTAGCTAGCTAGGTGCACCAAATCGAGGGTTGCTTTACTACTAATGTCTAGATGTCAGGCCGGCAGCTACCTTTTATCATAGTACATATCTAAGAACTTTGCATCTTCGTACAAACGTACCCAATGTCCCACATCTACTAACCGTATCCTTTCTCAAATGTATTGCTTGTTTTATCGTAGCGCACTCCTATCAACGACCGTATCAACGTACAATGTTACCTTGCAAGCCAAAAATCCTTTGCAGAAGTGATTTCATATGGTGGGACCAGATTTATCAGATGCACGTAAGATTCATTCGTCTTGCATGCCACACTAGTTTACAACACCGAGGCCCGCAGGTCTCCGAACTCGGACAGTTCCTCTCGCAAGCGGACATCCGAATGACATTCCTTTAGCCCCGAACCAGCCTCCCCTGCCCGTTAACCGTTAACGCACTTTTGAAGTGTTTGCGGCTGCGTTCGATTCCGCCTTCTGCTGAAAGAGAACGTTCGCTTCGTTCTCGTCGGCGTAACCGGAGATGGCTCCTCCGCTGGCGCTTCGTCGAGGTACTCGGGGGGCGGGGTGGGCGGCGGGAAGTCTGCACAGCGTCACGGTCGTTCAACAAATGATTGTGCAGTGTTGAAAAGCACTCATGAAATCCAATCAGTCGCCAGTGATTGTTGGTTTTTGAGCGTTTCTAGAGAATGTTTGGCTGCTACTGAAGGACTTTTAACAGCACGGATCGTCGCCGGACCGCTGACGACGTTTTGAGAGGAAGCAGATCTCGGTCTTGGAGAAACGAACACGTGGCAGGTTCTTCAATCTCATCAAAATGGAAAGACGGCATGTCAGCAAGAGATGGTTGTCAATGCAACAAATAGTCGGCAAACGCATCGGACGCTAGGACTCCCAGAAACAAAGCCCAACCGCTTCAGTCCACCCCTGCGAGTTTGCAGTTGACAGGAAGCTTTCCATGTCGATCATCCAGGAAGCCTAGGAGTGGGATGACAGCAGAAGGAAGTCACACACGGTCCACCACGTGTATGACGTGCGATGATGTTTTATTCTTCTTCAATCCTTTAGAAGCCGCGAAGGGTCACTAAACAATTAGCTGCGCAGAGCGAAGACAGTCCCCCAAAGCAACGAGGATCGTTCTTAGGATACTTTTGCGTAGTATTCAGGGTCTTAGAAATCGGTATCAGGGACTCTTGCAGTCTTTCGGGGAATTGTTAGAGAAGAGATGAGGACAGTGGTCTCAAAAGCTGCTTATGCGAGACGCTTACCGGCTGGGGGGGTGGGTGCGATCCAGTTGCCGCCCAGTTCGTCCGACCCGGGGGAACCGAAACTGCTCAGAGGGGGCGACACGAAGCTACTGCCGGTGGGGCTGTCCATCTGCACCGGCGCAGTTTCACGTGGGTTCACTTTTCGTTTACTTCTTATTCTTCCACTTTCAAGTCAAGGCATGCTCCTTCTCGCGAAAGTCGACTTCCGGCTTTTCTGTACTGACGCGGAGACAAAACAAGCATGCGTTGACTCAAAGCTGGAAGGCTGACTTTGGAGTACGCACACGGCATCCTCCTGAATGCATCACACATCCGGCCCTCTGCAGCAAATAACGTCAGGTTTCTTCCGAGCGGAGGTTGTCACCGCACACAAAGCGCCGCCACTAGGAATCGAGCGAAGGGTGGCCATTCACGCCAAGCACCGGACCCTCACTTGGGCTAACTCCCACCACTCTAGTTGGACTTTCCGGAACAGATTCTGAAACCCAAATCTTGCTGGGCTTCCGATAACAGGTTCTGAATCCCATCTGTCATGCAAGGAAGTATGGAATTCCGGAGGAAAAAGAAGGAACACGAAATGAACGCCCAAAGTGGCTTACGCACCCAGGCGCTCTCCGTTGTAGACGGCGGAGGCGTCCATCCAATGTGCCCCTCGTGCTGGACATTGTACGGGTACCCAATGTCCATGTCGTCGAATTTGTCTCTCCCCCCTGCAGCATAGCTTCTGCGGATCAGATCATAGCCTATCGTCGCGAGGATAAGCGGTGTCTTGAGTGGCCGTGGCTGCGTTTTGTTGGCCTTTTTGGAAATTGGTCGAACCCACGACTCATGCGAATGCTTTGCGAATCTGTCAGGTGTCGAGTGTGCGGTGCTTCTTATGATGGCGTGATAACGAGCACGGACTGGATGCCTAAGCAAAAGCAGCGGCGTTCTTAACTCCAGTCAATCATCGCCAGCCGGGCTAGACCCGCCGGCAACATAAGTAGCTGCGTAAAACCAAGGAAAAGAAGAAAGAAAAACCAAAGAGGATACAAAGGGAGGACATCGGAGGACGTATTATGCAGGACCGTAGGCCTAGAAATGCTTCACGACAACACATCACCTGCGTATATCCACTAAAGAATGAGAAGATTGAGAACGAGAGAAAGGGGACTGTTGCAAATTTTGAGCGTGATGGGGCGACGACTCACCTGAGAGGATCCTATGGAGCTTCGCCTTGACGGTCTTTCCAGGCGAGAAGCCGCACGAGATCGACGCCGGCTCCAAGACTACAAGAAGCGAGCAGAACGCCCAGTGAGAATAGTCCACAGTTGAGCTTGAGTCTTGCAGTTCGGACGTGGCTAATTGAATGTCATCTCTCTAACAAAACGGCCATACCAGCGGACTTGAATCCAAGGGAGTCCGTCCTCCTGAAACCCTGCCTTCTCAACTTCGTCTACTGAGCCAATTTCAACCACATGTAGAGCAGTCGAAAATGCCTTTAAATGGCGCGAACTTTAAAGTGGGCGTCGGGGTATAAAACCCCCGGTTCACGACCAAATTTTGCATCTGGGGTTCCCAGGTTTTGCTGGCTTGACCTAGTGGCAAGCGCGCTCGCTTTGAGGTCAAGACCTCCGAAAAGAGGTGCAGGTTCGATTCGGGCAACTTTGACATTTTGCTCTGTTTTGCCCCTTCCTTTTTGGACCTTACCGCCGCTGACGTATGATGACGTAGCTAAATGGAACCGCGGTACTCTGTGGTACGATACCTGTGGACTGGCCCGGTTCCAGCCTGCCTCCGACGGTCCGCGGGCGCCAAATTTGCCTGGTCCAGTGTCCGAAACCGGTCCGAAATTTGTCCGAATTCTCTTGACGAAAGGGATCTTTGACCGTTCGATACATTTTAGTCAAATCGACACACCGTTCGATGAAAATGCAACCGCGGTTGCTACGCCCACGTTAAGCTTCGCAGGAAGGCCTGCCTCATCCGACATGCCGCCCACCCCGAAGACCCAACTTTTGGTCCGTCAGACCTCTGAATCAGTTGGAAGAAAGCGGGTTCCCAGGGCCGCTATGCACGCTTACATCGGTTACTGCCTGGAGACAGGCCTTGGTTCCTTCCAGGAGTTCCGAGCATTGATGGAGTCTTGGCAGCTCGAGGAGTAGCGGGGATGGGGACACTCTTGGTCGCTGCAAGCGAAGCCTAAAAGTCAGCACTCTGTAGGCGTTCAAAGTCGCTACTTTTTCGCAACGTTCAGCTCTCAATACCACGTGCGACTCTCTCAGCATTTTGCCCGTTCAGGGGCTCGCACATCCATGAGCCGAAACGCGCAGAGTTCGCTTTCGACCTCGCACTTCGCCGGAACAGCAGTCCGGTTTCGACTTCTCAAGTCGGGGGCACTTTCCAGTTCCGTCAACTGCAAAGCACTTGTTTTTTGTTCAGGTCACGTACCATGGTTATGATGGATTTTCAATGTTCACAGTGCCTCCAGTTGACTGCCCCGTAATCCTACATTCAGAGGTCTAGGTAAGTGACTCAGTTGCTAGAAAACCTTGCTCCCCAGTTCCCTGAATTCGCTCGTCTTGAAAAAGCTGCCACGGAAACTTGCTTACCGGATTCCTTTGGAAGCGAGATGCTTCTCTGCTGCACGGCCCTGCTGCCGCCCGATGCCAGAACAGACGCCGGTGACGTCCCGGGGGAGGGAGTGCTCGAGGGGGACACGTGGGAGAACGTGGGGCTCGTACCCGCCAACACCTCCTGCAAAGAACGGGGAAACCCGGGCCGCTCAAAAACTTGGTGTCAAAAGTTGCAGACCGGAAGCAGTCTCTGAAACTCCTGTTCCCAAATGGTCCCTTTTAACACATGGTTTGTTCTATGCATGGCTGTCGATTATGGGGTCCTACTTTCTGGTCCGGTGTAATCCATGATTCTGCCCTAGGTCGAAATCTTTGCGGGCAGAAAAGCTCATCTCGACACGGCTGCGACTCATTGAGGATCGACTATTGTTGGATTCCCCTTGCCGCTCTTGCTGACCGTTGAACATGCCTCTTTATGTTCAACGGCCAGGCTGCTTAAAGAGATTCAGCAGACTCGACCATTTTTGGGGATCCCCTCACCGAAGGTCGAAGCGGCCCGCTCTTGCACCTCCGGTTGTGGAGCACCGGCGGCGGGGGGCTCATTTCGGGCGCGCCTAGTTCCCCTGCCATGAACAACGGCCTTGCGGTGCGGGATGAAGGAAGAGAGGACTTCTGGAAGTCTGGCGCTCCAGCAGGAACGTCTTCCAAGTTTTTTGCTGCTTCTAATGTTACAAAGTCGAGGATCTCGCTCGCCGCCACGGCGTCGCTGAAACCAAGCCCCCGGTAGGTGCCATTCTGCGGAGAAAGAACGGGAAAACTTTGCAAAAGAGCTTGGTTTGCTTTTGTATGTTTCTTTTTCAAAGATGGTTCCTACGATTGTCCATCTTTCCAATATCCGAGGGTTCCCAGTCCGTGGTCTTAAGGCCACCAAATAGCTTTTGATGGATCCTTGAACCAACGATGAGACATACAAAATGACGAAACTGATATCTTGGGCCTGTCAGGCTAACAGAATGGGCGGTTTTTATTTCCACAAACCAGCTGACACAACTAAAGGGAGACAAGTCCAAGAAGCATTTGAGTTCTAGGCATGTGTGTGACTATAGATCGCAAAGACCCCGAGCCACTTCCAGTTGTTCCCTCCCTTGTCTAATTCGACAACGGGCCCTTCTTAAAAGGTCAGGCCAACGAGTTCGGAGTTGGCTGTTCGCACCTCTTGTTTGATGACGTGGAAGCGTTCTGACAGCTTGAAATATGCCGATGCTGGCCGAGTTGTCTGGAACAAGACCTGGCCATCCTGCAGATAGAAGAAAAGAATGAGGCTCAACCTTTCTGCATCTTGGACCTGATCTGGGGGCTTCGGAAAACAATGCTCTTCGGTTAAGCCGGAATCGGGCCAGCATACTAGCCGGTCCCATCGCTTAAAGGGCAAGCTTCTTGTGTTACTTGTCAATCACACGTTTTCCTTTTGACGAAGAACTGCTGATACAAAGGAAGGCCCCAAAGTAACCCGCCTCCTTGTTCAAAGGCTGCAATTGATTCTCAGAGTATCCAACTGTTGTAAGACGCTTTGACCTCAGAAGGATGATGCTTGCAGTAAAGCCATCAGTAAAGCTTTCAATCAAGTTAAGAAGGATCAATGTAGAACGACTTCTATGACTCACTCCTCTGTAAGGAAAGATCCAGCGTGAAGCTTGGCAATCTGAGATGTGAGATCTTTACTCAGCTTCTGCTTAACCAGCACATTCGAGTCAAAAAGTTGTTCAACCGCCTTCAAAAAGTTGCTCTACCGCCTTCAGAAAGTTGCATTACCTGAAGTTACGCCGCTCCCTTACACAAACCCTGTCGAACGACAATTCACAGGGAACAAAGTGTTCCTAGTAAACGTTCCAGACGCATTTCAGGTACTGACCAGGAGGTCATGGAGTTGGCACACAAGAAGCGCGCCTGCCGCATCTTGGATTTGCAGCTCCCCAATGGCTGGGCAAAGTCGCCAGGGACCTGCGACGATCGCCTCAAAAAGGGTGACGGGACACCGGGCCTGCAACATTGAGCAACAGGTCTGTAGAACTTCAGTTTCTACAAGCGGCATCACTATACCCGCTTTGAAGCTTTCAGTCTCGGAGAGCGTTCAACGGCTACAAACCAGCTAGATCGAGTCTGTTCTATGAAGGCGACACATCAATGTAAGTGAAGCTTGCTTTCACACGTCTCCTGAAGTCACTGGTCTCCTGAGGTCACATAATGTCCCCCATGATGTTACAACGTTGCAAGCACATCTGTGGACTTAATGCACAGGAGGTTGACTGTTTTGCTCCAATGTGGCCCACGAGGCTGGTCAAATCATGCGGGTGAAAATCAACAAGGGGCTTACCACTCTTGTTGACCTCATACTGATCATCTCAGGAGGACAGGTCGCCCATTGCATAGACCATCAGAAGCCCATTTGTGCTCCAAAGTGTGCAATGTTCAGATGAGGGGCACTCCCTGCTTTCATCGCAGGGGTGCATCATGAAACCCTAACCGGAGGCTGTAAATTACAAAGCATGCTGATTTCCGATTTGAGCTTGTTCAAAAGGGAGATTTCATGTCTGGACGGTCACATTTAACTTCCGGCCCGCTCAATCAAAGTCACTAAAATGCAATCGCAGTCGCTGCGTTCAACCAATTCGTCAACCGATTGCAGTGTGCAAAGCTTGCTCTCTTCGCACAACGTCTTCCAGCTCAGGCATTCCAGCCTTTCTCATAGAAACGGCCGCCTCGCACAAAGTTGCTGGAGATCATCGCAGACAATCTGCTCAGGACTGCGTCCCATGAAATAAGCTCCCTCGTGCTTTGCTGAGCTTGCTGAGCTGCCCTGGCAACTGCAGTTTTGACATCTGGGACCATCTGCACCAAATGCGGCCCACGAGTTCCTAATCGACGGCTGGTGTTGGCCAAGCTGTCATGTCACACTCACTCCATGCGGACGCCCCTGTTATGCGGACGCCCCTGTCATGTCCCACACAGTGAGTCACGACGGTTGAACTTAGAGGCGGCGGCCGCCCGGGCCCAGCGGGCCGCCGCCGTTGGACATTCGTGATTCAATGAAGCCTAGCTATCATAGCCCTACTCCGTGGCAGATTTTGGAAATTGTCATCGAGTCGGACTCAAACCCTGAAACCCGGTCCGGGCTCCAAACGCGTCGGACCGGGCGGCGCGGCGCCATATGGCAAACACATCGCGGCCGCCTCCTCAAATGTGACGCGCGACGTGTGAGCGTGGCCCATAAATACCGCCCTCATCCTACTAGTATCTTGAACCTTGATAGGATACGAGCTAGCTGCAAAGCACCCATCAAGACTTGCAAAGATTGCATGCGAGCAGCAAAAGCTCCGCGCCGTTTCTTGGTGCTTAATATGAATTCGTACGTCAGTGGACGGATGGATGGGCGCCTCAGCTTCATGAAGTAAAGAAGTTGAGAGTCGACTATGGGGACCAAGCAATGTGATCGCGTACTTGAGAACGTGGAATCCACCAGGACTTCACCTGGTTTTGCAAGAGGCGTGTTGTCAACATTCAGACTAGCATCGGATTCATCAAGCAGATTACATGCACGTCGCAAGTCCGCGGTTTGAATGTTTGGATAAGTTAATAAGTCTGAATCCGCAGCCGTGTGGAAGGCCTTGAACAGAATGGACCTGCTCGGTCAAGATCATGGCGAGGTCTGGAAAGGCCCGTCCAAGCATATTTCAGCATTGCTGCACGTCGTTTAGTACATGACAGGTGGCCGACAGGGTATTGTGGTATCTTCAACTTGAGACCGGACTTTGCACTAAGCGGGAATAGCAAGCCTCCAAAACCTAGCGGAGCATACTCCAAGTTTTTCGAGCACTCTCCAGTACAAGCTTTTGCCGCAGCTGCAATTCAAGTTGCAGCGGTGAGGGTCTCCCTTGAAGGCGCAAGTACCCGAAATGCTCGACAAAGGAAGAAGGTCAGCCCTTTTCCAAATGCGCGTCATTCAAGTTCTGTGAAAGCTGATAGTCGCAATCAGAGCAGATGAAGAGCAACTGCACGCGGAGCGTGACAAGTAAAGTGCGACAGCGCACAATCCGAAAAAGACAAGCCGTCTAACCCTCGTTGTTCACTTGCGCGCGTATACATTGGCATATGATTTTGACCAAGGGCCAAACGACATTCATAGTCGCTTCAAGTGAGGCAGCTTTCCTTCAAACAGAACATGAACACGCCAAAAAGCAATAAGATGGACAGACCATCCAGCCGCGTACTGACGTAGCCGACTTTCCTGGCTGGTGTGGCAGTCGATATGCGGCTGCTTGATTGACGCTTAGATGGCATTTCATTAGACACCTCTCAAGCAGCAGGACTCGACGAAGTCGTATCAACTGGCTATAGCAATTGTTACGTGAACCACGGGACTTGGTTTTCAATTTTGTCCCTCTTTCGATTGTTCTTCATCGAAGCGATCTACTTGTTCGCTTAACAGAGAAAGAGCCTCACACTAACAGACAGTCATGAATAAAGAACCAGACTATCAATAAAAAGACGCCGGCTATTAAGCCTACGATCGCACCGCCCACGGGCAGGAGACCTAGAAACGCAGTTGCGAACAGCGCATCTGACAACCCGTGATGATGCTCCTTTACCCTGGCTGCGAATACCAAGGGTATCACGAAGCCCGCCAGAAAGCCCAAGACGATCAAGATTCCCAACAAGGTTGTCATGACATTTTCGGCAATCGGGCCACCAGGGAAGGGGGGAGGAGCGTTGTTTCCGGCGACCGCCTGACCCGGGCCTTGGGCTGCAAGCGCGCCCCCCTGGTTTTCATGGACCTCCAATTCCTTGTCTTCCAGAGGTGGTTCCATGGTTTTCAGCTTGTCTATCAGGGCCCGCCGCTCTGGACTGGAGCTTATCTCAGCGCAGCTCTCCAGCTCTTCTCTAATGAAAGACCGGTTGATGCGCCAAAACTCGAGCAACTCAAGGAGGGCCGCAAAGGCTCCCCACCGGTCCCGACTCGCGGATCGAAACCACTGGAGGCAGACTTTACAGAGCTCCTCCTCGTACTCGTCGCTTCCCCGAAGCTTGAGAACGAGTCGTCTGATGGTGAGCTCATCCATTTCGCAAACGGTCTCTGCGCCCGCTATCTCCTCGAACGACCAGTCCGTAAAGTTAGATACAGTATCGATCAGCGCCCGGACTGCCTCGCACCGCTTCACAGGCTCCGGCAGGCTGACGTACATGACTGCGTCAGCGAGCGTTGTGGGGGTTGACGTCAGCGTCTCGACGCACGTTTGGACGCACGCCGGCGTCTCGAAGCGGTCCGCAACGGTCACCAGCCAGCAGAGTTCTTCCTTATCTGAGCGAACCGTCGCGCTGATCTTGTGAGTGTACATGAACTCGACCAGAGCGTTGAAGCTCTGTGCATCTGCACAAGGGCGTCGAAATAATGAACAATTGTACGGTGAGGAAATGAAAGCAAAATAAAGACGTGTTATTGACAAAAACAGGGGGTAGATTATTGGGCGTGTCACATCCTGCGATCACCAAGCACCGAAGCAGACGATCCAGTTATATGGAACGATTGGTGGAGTCGTGCTCTGCTGGTGAATGCAAAAGGACGTTTCCAATAGATTAACCTATGCCGTCAAGTCATTTTCAGAAACAGCTAGTGTTATGAAAAGAAGAGAATTACGGCTCGCCTAATAGCTTCTTCGAATATCAAGGCATGTTCCTCGTATTCTTGCGTCTTGACACATGGACCAAGAGTGAGAAGGTTTGCTTTCTGATGAGGACCGCTCACCTCTTGGCGAAAGTGTAACCACGATCGGTTGCTCCTTCGAGGCGGTGCTCTCTTGAAGGCCTGACGTCAGCATCCGCATGAAATACGTCGAATAGGCAGCAATGACAATGCTGCTGACGGGGATGTCGTACGACGAGCCTGATGCACAAGCAATTCTTCCAGAAGTTAGTGGAGCCTGAATAGACCGTGAGTCAGCACGCCCAAGTGGTACACGTCCAATTTACAGGCACGTGTCACATGGAGCAATTGACCACGTCAACACCTGTCACCCTTCTGCAGCATTTGATTTTCGAGAGCGAAATTTGCAAACCCGTCAACTCGCGACCCGCAAAGGCTAAGCAGAGGGAGGTGCTGTGGAGCCGTCCTGTGACGTCATACGGAGGCGCCCCCTGCAGACCGTCTATGCCAGTGAAATTATCAATTTGCAGAAGCAAAGTAACTACGACAGTCTCGAAAAGCAGAGAACAATTCGTAAGCAAGACTCCGTTGAAAGGAAATCAGGCATCATCCAATTTATCGTTCCGAATTGCAGAATGGAGTTGACGGCCCAAGTCACACCTGGTAGGAGTTGAAAGTTGATCTGAAAGTGGGAAGTTTGACAAGCTTCCTCCTTCACAAATCCGGTTTCAAGGGTCCTTATGGATGATCCGATACAGACTGGAACATGATGCAGAGACTTTCTTTCAGTGGAGAAAGCTCTACAAGGAGAATAGGCATGATCCTCAAATCTGCACGCAATCTTGCTCTAAGGCCGCCTTAAATGCGTGATTAAGACACCCCCTAAAGCAACTCTCCTACAAGGTATTCTTACCTGATGTACCAGTCTCCGATTTCTGATGCTTTGCAAACCTGACTGGTGGCCGCTCCTCCACAGCAGTCACCTCAAAAAGCTCGCCTGTTAGACCCTTAAGGCTGTAATGGAAGGGGGCGAAACATGCCGTGCACCTTGCTTTTGTTTACTGATGTCCATAAGTATTTTTGCTGAACAAACCGGATCAGGATTATCGTTTGACTCAACAACTATGTTCGCTTACCTTGGCTGTCTTCGTCTTCTTCCGTGTCTTCATTTCTTGCAACTGGCTGCATCTCCAGGTCGACTGCATGGTCTTCGCATCTAGAGTTGGACAGCTCTTGTGAAGCAACAAAATCTGAACCATGAGACTGTTCAGTCCGAGTTGTAGCTACTTCTGGCTGTCGAAGAGCACCTCCTCCTTCCAGAGGATCTCTTTGAACATGCACCCGGATAACTCTGTCGCTGAATTGTTTCAGATCTGAGCGGTAGCCAAACGTCATGTGCACAGACAAGCCCGCGCCTGAATCCTTCCGCTCTTGAAGCTGCGGGTGCTGCTCTTCCGAGCCGGTGGTGGAGTCCATTTTTTGTGCTGTTCCTGCCAACTTCTTTGAGAGCGGGACTACCTCAGGCTCCGGCTCCTGAAAATCAGTGCTCTAAATTTCCCTGTATTGTAGATTCTGCAGCTTTGTGTCTCGGCCTGTGATGCCCTTCGAGTGACGCGTCCGCGGCCGCTGCCGCGCCAGAGCGGACGATCTCGGATGGTAAACTCCGCCAAAACCTCGCGCGACCGCCGGCCGCGGTCCCGCGCCCGCCTGAATGATTACATGTTACCTATCAGAGAAGAGAGGATCTAATCGATCCATGTGCAGTAAGTCGGGGTGCAGTAAGGCGTATAAGCTGGGCATTGGAGCAACGCGCAACCTCGAGTCTTGTCGGAACCTCACAAGCGCGCTAGGCCGAGGTTAAGTGCAGACATATACGAGTGTTGAAGTCGAAAATTTCATGATTCAAATTGAGTGACAACTCAATGGAACACTCAAGAGGTTCATCTACTAGCCTCCAGCGCTGAATCGAGCAAGGCCGGTGCATTGATGCGCTCATGTACTGATCCGCATTCGAATCAAATCATGATATTTGATTCCACCGCCCATGAAGACCTGAGGCGTCTGTCGCTGTTCCCATGTGTAGATATACTGCATGAGCTTGGTACACTTTTTGCCGCGCGCTCAGATGAGTAACGACCATCGACGGATGACGTGACGAACAAACGGTTTGAACGGGGCGGCTACTATGATGTATCCATTCTTGGATTCTTTATATGCTAGCACACGTTCCATGCACAATCACCGCCCCGGTCGCGTCAGCAAACTCAATTACTTGCGCTCAATCCCCGTTCGAAGTCGATTTTCCTTGTAGAACGCAGAAGAACCCCTCACACTCGCTTTATGTTCGTACATTTGCAGAAAGTTCTCAGGAACTAGGCTTTTCTAGGGTCATATGCACAACCTACGATCACTCCTCGCCCATCAGCTTCCTACCTTGCGCCCGGTGCAGGCACGTTCTGTTCGCCCTTCGGAGCCGGAACGTCTAGGTAAGTAAGCTCGGGCGGAAGCACACCGGACACGCAGCCCTCGTTTGAAGTGCCCAGAGCGAGCGCTTGAGAGACTGGTAGAGTACCGTTAACAGCTCTGATCTGATCCTGAGGCAGGGAGAAAGTGGTCGCTACCACTTCGGAGGGGAGATCGAAGAGAGCCCGGGACTGGATCTGCGGGGGGGGCCGTGGAGAAAGGCATGATTTGACTTTTACTAGATATAGAATTGCTTGAAAAGGTAAGCGCCCTCATTCAAAGATGCGCCCGGCGCCTTCGCGTTGAGACGAGCGCGCTTGAAATGCCTGCAGCTCTCGCAAAATGCTCAGGAGCTCAGCCCGCAGCGTGCCAGAGGGATCTTTCACAATCAAAGCGAATTGCGGTCACATGAGATCGATCAAGAAGCCTTCACAATTTTCGCCCTAAATATCAAAATAATCAGGAGGTTCTGCGGTCAGAAATGCGATTCGGGTAGCCAGCAAGCCGGGGGCATCGCACGTGCGTTGCACAAAAGGGCAGACGTTCGCAAGACTCCTCAAAGCCAACTCAAGCAAGTGCGACCCTTTCCAATGGTAGAATCGCCAGATCGACGGCTGCAATGCTGCCACGTGTACTCACAATGACGCCCGGGTTTTGGCTGTTGAGCGCGGAGATGGAGGTAACGTTAGTCGTGGCGAAGCTCTGTATGAAGTGCAGCATGCCCCGAGGAAAGACCGTCATCTCGCCCTCCCGCAGCATGTTCAGGTGGGCGGTCTCTGGTAAGAGGGTTAAAACAAGAGTAACGGGTTAGCAGCTGGGAAGGGGGTTAAAATAAGAGTGACCGGGTTAGCAGCCTGGACACGTCACAAAGTCGAGGTGGGCGGTGACTGGATCGCCCCAGGGAAAGACCGTCATCTTCCCCTCCCGCAAAATGGTCAGGTGGGCGGTGTCTGGGAAGAGGGTTCAAGTAAAAGTAACCGGGTTAGTAGCTGGACACGTCACAAAGTCAAGGTGGGCGGTGACTGAATTGCGCAGGGGAAAACCGTCATCTCACCCTCCCGCAAAATGGCCAGGTGGGCGGTGTCTGAACAATTGGAGCAAAGAGATTTGGGATTCTCTTAGTATCTTAGTTGCTTCGAATTTCAGGCCTGGAGTCGAATTTAAGCCGACGTTTTGTTAGAGTTTTATATATCAACTGTCGCAGAGCTTGCCAAGCTCCCACAGTAAGGGGGAATCAAGGGGGAACCCAAGTGCAGACAGTTTCACGGTTCGACTTGACAAGATTGCGATGGTTCGGCGGGATCTGTGAAGTCAGCATGCACTGAGGTACACTTTCCGCATGGATGACGTCAGCAAGGGCGGCCGCGGATGCGGGCCGCGTGGCCGCAACTCACGGTTGGTGTCGACGAAGCCGACCAGGACGGGCCCCCCGCTTATGACGTATAAGATCTCGGTCGCGCGCGGGTGGGTGTGCGGCAGATTCTGGCCGCACGGACGCATGTTGAATAGCGTATAAGAGATGCCCTGCGACCTGCGAGCAATAGGGACAACGGGTTGACTGAAAACGGTGTGAATTCTTATTGGTGCGCTGCAGGTTTGTCCCCGTTTCTCCTTGATTGCCAGTCCGCGTTTCTTCTCAGTTGACGGTCAGTCTTTAGGAGAAATGATCGAAGAGGCCCTTGCAAAAATCCAAGGGAAAGCTCGGACACGACTGTCCGAAGATGCCTGCCGAGACTGATCGAACGAAAACTCATTTATCAATGGGAAAGACAATGACCTCGAATCGGATAGGCGGCATCGAGGCAAGCTTTTGATGCTCATTAGTCGCCTACCTTAGCGCCGGGAAGTTCGCAGACGTTGCTCTGGTGTTGTTCCCCCCTGGGCCTTGCGCCGCATTGGCCGCATGCAGGAGATCAAACTTGAAATACGCTTCCGGCGGAGCGTAGTTGGAAGGCACTTCCGGCGGATCAAAGTCTCTGAGGGGGTCCGGATCGGCGGCTGAGACGCAGCCCGCGAGGGAGGCAACTAGAGCGGCGGCCAGGAGGAAGTGGGCGGCGCGGGGGCGCTGCTTAGCGGACTCCATTTTCTGAGTGCAGAAGAGGGGTAGTCTTTAGAAAGAGAGGAGATTCTGATTCTGAACGTCTCACAGCGTTTTGCCAGCGCGAGAGACCTTTTGTTGCGACTCTCGAAGTTGAATCAGAACCTCCTTTTGCTGGTCATATGAATGATTAAGTGGGCTGTCAGCAGAATCGGCATCTTCGAATCGCAACCTGGGTTTCTCATAACCAGCCAACATGTGAGAAGCTGGTTAGAAGCTGGTCAGTTTGTGGTTAGATACTGGAATGTGCCACACCTGGCAAGACACAAAAGCCTGGTTTAAGTCATGTGAAGGAAGGCGCGTCCGCGAAGAATATCTGATTAGCGGAAATGAGCAATGAGATGCATGCGCCCTGATAAACGAGAAAGTGGGTCGTCGGCCGTACGGTGTCTCTCACATTGTCAGAGTCACGGTCAGCGATATTCACATGGAATTTACAGACGGGTCAAGGCAGGGTGATTCAATCTCTGAACTCTCGTGTCGCTGGAATTCTCGAAGCTGAGAAGTAGAAGCGGATGCATTGGCGCATGACGAGACGACGCCCTGACTTCTTTCTTAAGTTGATCGTATCTACCATCCACTCTTGTTATTCTATTCTCGTGTTCCTGTCGATTTTGCGCATTAGTGACTGCTTCTAAACAGCGTATACAATTCCTCTGATCGATACCCGCTCGTTGCAGGGTTTTTTATCCATGGTCAATTGCCAGCTGTCCCGCACGCAAATGCAAGTTTGCGGGCTTGTACAATTACCATTTTGCAGCCAGGCTGCCACAATGCGCCGTGGCATTTGTAATTGCACGAATTGTATGGAGCACGCTTTCGTACGTACCTGTAAGCTCTACCACGGAATCCGATCGGACAACCTGCACCTCGGAACTCGCTGAGTCACCTCCAAGCTGGCCTCGCCCAAGACAGCAGCTGCATGTCCGAAGGTCATGCGATCATGCATGATGATCGGATCGTACCGTCGTGCAATCATGGCGCGTGTTATACTCGATCGTGGCATGTGCAGGAGGTACTACGGCATGTACTCGTTCCTGACGCAGGACGTGACCCCGACGGTCTAGCGCTCTTTGCATTAGTATGCAAGCTAGGTACGTGCCCGCTAAATGAGATAAAGCCAACTCCAATTGACTGCAAACACCCTAAGGGCTATAGGCTCACAGGCCTCAGTCAAGCATATGACGATACCGCGTCGGCAGACTCACTCAGACAAGTCGACTCTTTAGGACACGCTGGGGCTGCATGGCCGGGCGCAGCACGCGGCTGCCAGATACAAGTGCTGGCATACAGTATATATACAGATTATGATTCAATCCGACCAAAAGCATTCTTGTTACCATAACGTACCTGCACATGCTGGCGCAGCTGAGCGTGTGTGCATGGCCGCGGCGCACCTCGTACAAGTTGGACAGATCTTGTGTCAGAGCCGAATTCTTAATGGCCCAATGGCCCAGCGACAAACCTTGGCAGGCACTGATTCTGTTTGGCCGGCGAGGGGTGCTCAGGCTCACACAGAAGTGCGGCCTGACACAAGTGCAAACACCTTCTGTCACCTTCTTGTAGCAGGTTCGTGGTCTGGAAATGCTTATCGGATTCATATATCAATCAGGCGCGTCACTGAATCTGCAGACTACTCTAAGAGTAAACCAATCTTGAACCATCTGTACAGAAGTGTAGAATAATAAGGAAGCAGGTATGCACAATTTGGTAGCACCTCCAGGGTGCACAACCCGTTTGCAAACCGTTCTTCGTCCATCATTAGAGCACCGTTGGCAAGTTCGCTATACCCCTTCCAACGCCCTATAGTGGAACTTGCGCTGCTATGTGGGCCGCTTTCACGGACTTCCCATCCCGGGCGACTCGGGATCCTCTTCCAAGTTTCCGATCAGCGCTTTCGTGTACTCGGTTGTCGTCGACTTGCCGCCTAGATCTCCAGTGCGGTACTTCCCCTCCCCGATCGTCTTGAGCACCGATGCATGGATCCGGTCCGCGTACTTGTCCAGCCCCATGTGCTTCAACATCATGACGCCGCTCAGCAGAAGAGCGGTCGGGTTTGCCTTATTCTGCAATAGATATTCAGTAACGTTAGCTACGTGTTTCACAAGTTATGACGAGTGGCCTCGCCGGTTTGAAACAACGATCCAATAAAGTTTCAGCAGAGTGTTAGAGTTGCAGCGAACCGGCTTCTTCTGCAACGACAGAAGAAAGCTTCACCTAAGCGTTTTGCGGGCACTACAAGGAGGGAACTCCTTATGACGAGCCCTAATAAGTGCATGTCTGTCAAAGAACCTCAATGGGGAGTCGCTTTTCGAAATGTTGGTTGAGAAACGATGCTGTCATTGCCTTTCAAGAGAGCGAGATAAAACGAGGGCGCAATTGATCGATGACGTTATCCATCACCCTAGCGCCGAGTGCGCGTTCGCCCAGGAAGACAGTTAATATACTCCTGCTTAGGCCTTCCAACGAAAAGCATTCTCGGGGAATAGTACTTCCGTGCGGCGCCATATCCTTTCCTCCTCGAGAGCGGACGGGAAAAACATTGGGATGCGGACGAACCGCATGGAAGAAGGGCGTACCTGTCCGGCAATGTCCGGCGCAGTGCCGTGGACAGCCTCCATGAGCGCCAAGCCGTCCTTACCGATGTTGCCGCTGCACGAAACGCGCAAAGCAGAAAAAAATCCGTCAGAAGCGCACTTGTTGTGTCCGCTTTGCTGTCTGCACCTTTCCGCGTTGCCCACTATAAAACTAACCACTAATAACTCGCTTCTATAGGTGCCACCGCACGAGAGATTGGGTCGAAAACCGCGTGGCAGGTTTCGTAAGCTCATGGTCGTGCTTGTCCCGTTTGCTGAAACCCTTTTTCCGCTGCAACCCTTTTTCCGCTGCAACCAAATTTCTGACAGATCATCCAGCCAGCCGATGCCAATTGCGCAAACTCAGTTCACCAAGTCCCACTTGATCCGACAGAAACCTAGAAGAAGCTCTCCCAATCAAAGTGCACGGTTGAAATCTGGAAAGGTCCAGGCAGGGTGGTGTATCAGTTACCTGGGGGTCAGTCCGAGGCCACCGATAAGACCCGCGCACAGGTCACTGATGATGTCACCGTACAGGTTGGGCATAACCAGCACATCGAAGAGGCCGGGGTTCTTGACGAGCTGCAACAACGGCGAGGAAGAGAGGCTTTCGTCAGAGGGATTTGCTGAGATAACAAACGTTTCGGAAGGCTGTTCAGGGGAAGAAGATAATGGTGGATGCTGGTGTCAAAACGATGGGATTGCATCTGTTTGAGAACCGGCCGTTGTGACGTCACGAGCATCCACGACTTCCCTCGATGCCTTGCACTAAAAACCTGGTCGTAAAGGGCGTGCTTTCGTGGCTCGGAAGCACCGGTCTATTCGTTGCCAGCATTTTCCACAAGTGTCCCCAAACAACAGCTGGACGAGGCGACCAAAAGAGTTGTGGTCTTCAGCTTGTAGGGACCAGAACTCGATGTGTGCGCGAACTAGGTAAGAGAGCGACCTACGATATGCTCTCTTGCAAAGTCTTGGCAGCCTTTCTAGATCGACTTTCTCGAAGGACTATTAAACTGCCAGTAATAAGACAGGGAAGTAGGAAAAAGGCATCCGTCAACCGTGTTCGTGGCAGGTAGGAATCAGGCACTTCGAACGGCGCATAAACGGCCTACCATCATGCAGCAGTTGTCGATGATGACCTCCTCGTAAGCGATCTCCGGGTACTTCTCCGACACCTCCCGGCAGCACTGCATGAGCGTCGGGAAAGAACAGCTTCAAATGACGTCAGACTCAAGCTGCTGACACAGCCTGCGGCGAGAAAGGACTTTCAGCACCAACGGTTACGGCACTTGTCCAAAAACAAATCCCTGAACAAGGGGTTCTAAGGGCAAGGCATACAGTGTTTCAAGCGCTGTGCCAATAATAGGGGATACAATGACAGGCCCTTTTTTGAATCGATGAGGGCGTCTGCAAACAACTCATGCACCATAAAATGGCGGTCGGAAAGACGCAACGGCGAGGAAACTGAGAGCCGTGATCAGAGACCATGCTGGACGATTAGCGATTGGAAACGCACAGTTCCCGAAATCAGCTGAAACAGACAGGAAAAGTCGACCAGAAGTAAACATCGTGAAAGCAAGATCGGGAAGCAGCTTTACCTGCAAGAATAGGCCGTCGCTCATGCGCATGATGTTCGCCTTGTGGATGGCAGACACGCGCTCCCGGTTGTTGGTAGCCGCATACTCAAAAGCATACTCCGCTACACGCATGCTTGCGGCGCGCGTGATGATCTTCAGGCTCTCCACCACTCCCGGAATGACCTGCACAATGGGGCGGGGCGAAGTGTTTAGGTGGGGCGCAAATGGGAGGACCTTTCTTCCCAGAGTGTAAGCGTCTTCGGCTGGAAATGATCTGCATTATGTTTAAACAGCCAGATGCATTGCTCGTGGTTAACTCTAGAAGTCAACAGGGACAATATCAGTTTTGACCAACTTTGATTCTACTCTCATCTGAAATTTGCAATCTGTTTTCTCGCACCATAACTTATCAACTCCTGCAGTGAACACAACTACCCAAGCCTTCCGGTCGGCCGTAATTTGGTCCATTTGTACTTATTTTAAGTAAGATGGCCGCGAGTCCAATCGATCACTCACATGCCCCAAGGCAGCTTCTTTGCTTTGGTCACGCTTCACAGACTTTCAAACCATTCCTCTACTTCCAATTCCACCCACCTGGTGCTCTAGCCCGCTGTACTCCCCCTCCGTGTTCTCCCGAATCGTCACTAGATCCACGTTGTCATACCGCGTCTTGTACCCCGGCAAACTGAGGCACGGCCGGACGTTCGCATACAGCCCCAGTTCCTTCCGCAGCGTCAGATTGAGCGATTTGTGGCCCTTTCCGATGGGCGTCGCCATCGGGCCTTTCAGCCCTATCTTGTTGCGGAGCACGGACTCCATGCTCTCTTTGGTGATGAAGCTGCCTGTGCGCGGGTCGACCTCTTTGCCGACATAGTGCTCTTCCCACTCGATCGGGGCGCCCGCCGCAGAGAACACCTGCAATGTGAAGTTCCAAAGGGTTTGGGGCTACCGCTTTTCATGCTCCCCTCGGGTATACTAAGTGGGGGTCAATGTCTTTCCTAAAATGTTGTTCATTCCAGGGAATTGGCGCAGCCGCAGCAACAAAAACCTGCAAGAAGGACTTGACGCTGTGATGAGGCCGTTTTTCTTAAGCCAGTCTTTTGACGTGAGGCCATTCTCTTGGATCTGAAGAGAGATTGGAGGACAGGACTTGAGGATTTCACTCAGAAGGACAGACCTGTTGACGTAATTGCACGAGTGTTAAGATCGTACCAAAGGACTTAGCGGAATGCACAGAAAGATGGCTGCAATGACTAGATCCATGCTTACAAGATACACAGTACTCATGTAGACAATTTTCTGGCGTTTGAAGGGCCTGTCAGGCTAAACAAGCTGTTAGTGAACATATAGCCATGGCAACAATGAGCCTTTAAGGTGTGTTTCCCAAAGGACTGATCATACAGATTTCAAAGCAGCATTTTGAAAGGGAGCTTTGAACGAAAGCAGAGTCCCACATTCTGCAAAGAGGAATGCACTAGGCAACCAACCAAACCCAATATGGGAACATAGCAGCGACGAATGCTGGTCGCAATCTGCAAATTGACGACTGGTGCTGACAAAGTGAGATAGTATTCCCGATGAAATCTCGGCAGTGCCCTTGCTGTAGCGCAAAGGGGCAATCTGCATAGCTGGGTTGCAGCATTGCATGATCAGTGCAGCACAGCGGTGAAGGTGTTGTTTGCAAGCCATTGAGAATGTGTCGCATTGCATGCAGGTTGCTTTTGATTTTCAGGTACAGCCATGATCCGCAGGTCTTACCTGGCCTCATAGGTGCAAGAAAATCTGACAGAGGTAAGAGCTGGTCCTCATACTTGTCTTTTAACGACTTCTAGATATAATTGATATCTGGACAACGGATACCAAGTCCAGGCAATTGAGCGGATGAATGCAGACCCGTAAGATCCCTAGATTTTCCAAAGTAGCTCTAGCTCTTTGAGGAAAAGCGAGTCCGATCACAATGTTCCGTCTGACAGATCCTCTCTTATCGACCCGTGCGAATGCAGCAAACTCATGAATAATAAACGCAATCGTGGCAATCCTTCTTTACCTGCTTCACCGCTTCTGCAATCTCCGGCCCAATCCCATCTCCAGGGAAAAGTGTGGCTGTGTATGTCTCTTGTTCTGCAGCGGCGGCAGAGAATCCCCGATGCGAGAGCAGCGAAGCACTTCCGAGCCTGACCGATGGAACGAGGGACTTCAGGGCCGCCCCCGCTTGGCGCAAAGCCATGTTTGATAGCTGGATCTATGCACCTCAGCAGATCTGTTCCTCAGCAAAGAAGGCCGAAGAATTTTAGAAAAGAGCGCCCTTCTTGAGGGGTTGGATTGAGCAGCTTCTTTGTTTTTTGATGAGGGAGAAGCTTCTTTGTCACCGTTTGTTCTCAAAACCCTAATCCCTGGCAGCCGGTTTAGGGTTTGTGCTTTGGAATACGAAAAGGTCCGTTTGAACCGTCGATGTTTGTCCAATTTCAAAACGGTTGCTATCTGACGGCCAGACTGACCTCGGGAGTCTCGGATTTTCTGTCAGCTCATCTGATCATGCATTGATGCAAGTGCTTCCTCGCTTGCAAATTCTGTGCACTTGTTGCTGAGATCAGCTGAAGAGCCTGCACTGCTTCAAAGATTTTTTGTGATTCAGACTCTCATGGAGTCTCATCACTGTAGGCTTTGATTCAGGGGCCCAAGGATTGACGATGGGCACAACCCTGTTTCAAAGCATCAAAGGCAGACGTCATGCACTTTTTACAAGAGGGAGAGCGCGCTAAGGAACGAACAACAGGTTTGCTTCTTCAGTGCAGTAAGAAGCGACAACAAGAGACTGCACTGGCTTTGAGGAGCTGGAGAAGGTCCCTTATATCTGCTGAAGCGTATGCGACCAGGAATCGGGGTCTTCCCAGAGTGGGTGTGAGCACGTCCATGTAATGGGGCCTCGCACGTGAGTCGCAGCAAAGTTGATCCAAGCATGGAGGGCAACAAGAGAGGAGAGACTTTTCGCCCGGTGTCCGCCCGAGCTGGGAGCAGGAACAATTCACGACAAGGCCCAAAACAAACCTCAGAGACAGCTCCTATAGTTGGTAGGAGAATCACCAATCCGACGGTGAGCTGGAACTTGGGCGCCCTAACCGCCCGGGTAACCCAGCCGGTCAGCGAGTCGGCTGGAGAGCAGCAAGCGGTGTCGGACCAGAGGAGAGAGTCTGCAGGCCTTTTGGGGGCTGAACGAACAGAAGAGGTCCCCTTGGAATTAGGGGCGGAGCGAATCTCTGCGCTGGTGGAGGGCAACCGAGAGGCCTTGTATCAGCAGAGGCTGCTCGAGCTGAGGCAGAAGGCGCTGGACATCATGAACGGAAACAGGGCCTCAGAGTTGCCACCTAGTACAGCCCAAAGGAGTGAGCCAGAACTGGGGAACGGACAGCACATTGTGGCACCACCTGAAGCGAATGGGATGCGCATTCCGCGCGCAGAGGCTGTGCTGACAACTGCAAAAGTACAGGAGACGGCGGGTAAGAAGCCGGTCCAGAAGTCACCCCCCCAGAAGAAGCAAATAAAGGCGAATGTCCGGCCGCTCAGCTCGCTACTGAAGGAGAGCCAGGACCGGCTCGCAAACATTCACCGGCTCTTAGACGCGGCCACGGAGGAGTCTCTCTTTGCGCCGCAACGGCCGCAAACGGAGTCTGCAGAGAAGTGGGATGCGGGAGAAGAAGCGGCTCAAAGCAGGGGGCCTGGAACTCCAGGTAAGTAGCTGCAAATTCGCTGCCACAAAGGATGGATTTGAACATGCCTGGTAGGTAGTAGCTCGACATTAGCGGCCATAATATTGGGAGTAGAAAGTAGGACTGTTTTCAAGGGGAAGAACGTAGACGTGACTGTATGATGTCACGCTTCAAACATTGCGCCCAATGGACATCGATTTGAGTAGAGAAGACTTGTGAGGAGACAAGATCCTGAAGTGTTGACTTAAGGCTGGCTGTGATGCCCTTTCACAGAGAGTAGCTTAACGATATCATTTCTTCAGGGCAGTTCGCACGTGTCCGTTTTTCGTGATCTCCTTGACCCTTGTGCTGGTACGACTGAAGTCAGCCAATCGCTCATGCTTCAATCTGGTTGCAGCACACTGAAGCAGGTAAAAAGCCAGCCCTTCCATATCCGTTTGTTATCAAGTACGTAATGGCAGCGCTGAAGGAGCCCATTGACTTGTCATCGCTGATTTCTGACAGCCTCATGGTCCTTGTCACTATTTTCGCTCGCTTACTCACACCCACTGTTCTCTCTTCGCAGCAGGTGGTTCCATCCCCTTTGTAATCCAACCTGCCGGCCCGCCTCCTGACTATGTGAGCCCTGAGCTCGTGCACATTATCCAAGCAAACGCCCCAGATCATCTGGACCTAGTTGACCCAACTACCACCCGGAAGGCGAAGCGAGACTCAAATGGCACGTATGAAAACGGGGCCCACAGAACGGCTCCAAAATCGCAGCAGTTTGCCCAGGCTCGTCAAGCGAACAGTCCCGTCAGAGTTGGCGCGGTATTGTCAAATGATGGAAAGCGGAGGAGAGCAGTAGATGCGGCCGGGGATCAGGAACTACGGTTTGTAAGTGGACGGTCCGAACGGGCAGCGAAAGTCGAGGCCCTGCTCGTGAAGATCCAGGAGCGCAACTCGAAGATTGCAGTGCAGAAGGCTGCGACCGAGGAAGGACGCGCTGCAAATCAGGGCCTTTTGAGGCAATATGGGGGATCCCTTCAGAACGCGGGTGCGGATCAGAACCGAGTGGGTAACCGCTCACCGGACAGAGGGCCGGGGGGCTATGGTGACATAAGAGGTGACGAGGGGATGAGCGGTGGGCGGGCGAGCGTGGTGGGGCGCTCGAGGAGCGCGCCGCATCAGCGGCCGGTCAGTCGCGGGGCGACACCTCGGAAAGGAAGGAGAAGCTCGGACGATTCTGAGCTGGGCGGTCGGATAGCTACGGACGGCGCCGCTGCTGTGGCGGACGAGAGGGCAGCGGGTCAGAAGCAAACAAAACCAAGGGTCTCTACGGAGGAAGCATCGGGTTTGCCAGGAGAAAGGAAAGCGGCATGGGCGGAGAAAGCAAGCGGCAAGCTAAAACCAAAGCGGAAGTTTGCGGGGACCCGGGCTAGACCAGCCGGTGTAAATATCCCCGACATCCTCAACCTCCAGGGGCCTGGAACCGTTTCTGGGGGCGTGGAAGTTGGCGAAAAGGCGTCCGGAGCTGTGCTCAGCACAGGGGTCAGTACGTCTGTTAGACTGACCGAGTTCGGACAGTCCGTAACCAGCCCAACGCTGTCCGGATGGTCGCAGGACGAGGTGGGGGTCGAGCATACGTGGCTGTACAGTGCGAACAGCCACGGGCTTGCTGTGAATAAGGGGGATGCTCACGGCATCGCGGAACAAGGCCTTGTCGGAGCAGAGGCGGGGCCGGCAGGAAGGAGTGTTTTTAATAACGCTGGGCCAAAACAGGGCCTGGCGAGTCTGGCGCAAGCTGCAACTGAAGGCCCTGTTCTTGCTGGGGTCGGCGAGCGGCCTGCATTTTACCCTGGGGAGTTAAGGAGAGGCGGGGTAGAACAGGGCCTTGAGGAAGGAGGCCAGCTGGCAAGCCCGCTCGTGCAAACGTTCGCTCTCGGAAGGGGCCTACCGACACAGGTTCCGAACGAGTTGGACAATTCGAATTGGGGGGGTGCAGAAAGTGCGAAAACCGCCCCTCTGGTTGGTGTGCTGGTGAACGGGGGGATCCCCTCTGTTCTCGGTCCGGCGAATGCGGGGACAACCGTCGGCATCGCACTCGCCGGTATCCAGGAGAAAGCCCGAGAACAGGTCCGGTCGGCGCTCGCGAAACGGCCGCAAAGCGCGCCGAGTGTGAAACGGCCCAGTCAAAATTCCAAACCCCAGTCCGTGCCCCAGCCGCACCCCATCTTCGGGGCTCGTTCTCACCCCTTCCTTCGAGCGCCCCCCTCCAAGGGCCCGTTCACACCCCCTTCGCAGCTCAGTGTGAACAGGCCCCCGGGCGAGCGAAGGAAGAGCACCGGGGGGGCTGATTTGGCGGGAGCAAAGCGACCCCTATCTGCGCAGAGCCGGTTGGGAGGGGAGGAGGCGCAAGAGTTGGGAACGCGAAAGAGTCGGCTGAGTGGAGAACGTTTGGACGAGGTAGGTGGAGATTCACCATCCCCGATTGCAAAACTGGGCTTATTGGGAAAGATCGTGGTTTCAGATTGAGGTTCTGGAATTGCTTATTGCGAGGACTCTGGATTCTGTGTCCTTCAAGCTGCTGGTTTCAGGCGTCTTCAGGCCTCGATGTCAGACCTTGCCTTTGAGCGGAGTGTTCTACTCATTATCGCTTGTACTCTCGAACTTGAATCTGTCGGATCCTCCTTGAGCCTTTCGACGGCTTGAAGTGAATCCAACTTATCAAATGCGGACGCTTAGAACCTGCCTCATACGTCGTCGTGGCAGATTAAGCAGATGAGATGTTGTGAATCTTGCAAACGAAGCGACGCCGGTTGTCATGCGCAGGTGCGTGCCTTCATGATTGCCCAGCAAAAGGCTCGCAAAACGCAGGAAGCGAGGGAACGCGAGATGCGGCGTGCGGCCGAGGAGGAGCGGTCGAAACAGCTCAAGGCCCTCGAGCAACACTATCCGAAAGGTCCGCTGCCTTACTTTCCACTTTTGTCAGAGCTTACACGAGACCCTGTTTGTTCAGGTTGGTGGACTGTGGGTCCCGTCAGGCAAATGTCTGTTTTACATTCTTCGCGTGCAGGCTTCCTTGTCAGATTTCGACTTGTTTTAACCGCAGGTAGCAACAGGGTTACTGGCCTGCCAGCTTTTGGTCGCTTCCTTGCCAAATGCTCTTATTACCAGTTTATTTATGCTATTATTACCACGTTATCTGCGTTGTCATCATGCAGCAGCTCTCTCTTCTCGGCCGTTCGATGGGACATTAGGCCCACTGTAGCCTGAGCGCTTCTCCTCAGACTGCTCTTGGGATGGCGTATAACCCTCAGATACTGCCATTTGTATCTGTTCCTTCTCCTTTGCTTTCTCACTTTCTGATCCTTCCCTTGCTCCTTTTCCGTCTTCCTTGTGATCTGGTTTTCACGTTCAGAAGAAGGCCACGTGTGTAAGCCCTGTCCCCCTCCATTTGCAGTCTCTCCAAAGCCCTCCCCGCCTAAGACCCGCCCCGACTGGAACACCTCCGTCACGCCCCCCGAGCACACCCCTCCTCCACAGCAAAACGACCACCCCGAGACGGACAGCGTGCTAGCTGAGCAAGGGACCGTTCTTGGAGAAGACCCGGAAAACATCGCTACCAGAATTTCCGCAAAGACCTCTGTTCCACGCCCCGGAATCGCGCCCCACAATTCGGTCCTCAACGCAGCCAGCAAGCCGGGGTTGAGCATTCTTCCAGGTTCTGCGCCGGGTTTCGCTGCGGGGTTCACGGGGGTTTCGACAGTGGTTAGGCGAGCAGGGACGAGGGTTCAGCCGTTGCCTAGCAAGACGGCTTTGAAAGTATCAACCGCAGAATCAGTGGAGGCGACTCTCAAGTCGTGGGTAGGGGGCCACGCGGTAAAGCGGCCGCCGAGCGAAGCCACTAAACCCCTCATAAGCCCTGCGAGGAGCCCGGTAACCCGAGCCAAACCTCCGGCAAACCCTTCTGGGGTCCAGGCTGTGAGAAGCCCTGTCCGAGACTCTCGACCCGTCCGAAACGCTGACCGCGTTCCAAATTCTGAGACTGTCCGGAAACCTCAGCTCGTTCGAACGTCCGAGACCGTCCAAAGCCCCGAAAACGTACGATTTCTCGAGTCCTCACAACACCTCGAACCCGTCCGAAAGTTGGCTGATCTCAGTGGGGCTCCTGTACACCTTCTGAGTTTTGCCACTTTGGCCAACCTAGAGACGCCGATGACGTCAGCTTGGTCCGAGGGACTGGCGCTGATATCAGCAGGGGTCGGGGAGGGAGCGGAGCTGGCGGGTGACGACATTGTGGAGCCTGAGAAGTCTGTTGGGGGCATCGGACTGGGCGCAAATATTGGGACGCCTGAGAGACTTGCCCCAAGAGCAGAGTCGCTGGGCGCAGTTCCTGAAACCGTGCTGCAAACAGGCTGGTTAGATCCAGGGTTTGCGGCTAACCCATCAGCAAGCGCAGAAGAGATTGGGGACCGAAGAAGGCCATCTTTGACCGTAGACATCACGGGCGCGGTTGCGGACGCGGTCGGGGTGGCTCTGTCCGGAAGGGCGACCATGTCGGGGCGGAAGAGAGGGGAGGCAGTCGAGGAGGAGCGGCCGCGGTCGCCGATTCCGGACGCGAAGGCGCGGCTGGCGATGATGAAAGAGTACGGACGTCAGCAGGTGCGTCGGAGGGCACCCCTCAGAAGACAATTGTTTCTCGGACTGTTGCTGAGGTGACTCCAAAATGAGTTTGACTCCACGCGAAAGGGGTCGGTGATAGGTGCCTCAGATGAGTCCTATCGGAGTTGGTTCAACAAGCTTTGATCTACCGCTTTTGATTTCAGGCCTTCTCTGCTGATTGTGATGCCTGCGCAGCTTGAGTTGTAGTATGCGCATTGGAAGTCTTGGAACTCTAAAACCTTGAAAACTAAAACGAAGATTCTCGTTGCAGCATGGCCTTAGGATCCGAGCTTTTGCAGCCTGGCCTTGTTTCTAAACGCATTAGTTTTTTACTTGAGTTTCACGGGCTCATTGGCGGGCAGAAGCCCCCTCAACTCCCAGGATGCAGATTGAAATGCTGTTCGTATGCTCGGAATCTGAACAAGAATGCTCGGAATCTAAACTACCGTACCTGTATTTGATTTCGGCGAAAAATAAATAATTATTTGGCCGGCTGAAATTTTCAGAAATTATCTTGGGGCGATAATGGTTCGATAATGGTTGTTTTAGCAGGTAACGTCAAGCCTGCTGAAAGGAATAAAAGTTTCATAAATAACTATTTTGCGTCGAAGGTGCCGAAATCAAATACAGGTACGGTCGAATGGTCCCCGAAAACGACATTGCTTTTGTTTTTCCTCGCAGCGGCAAAGGCGGGCTGCCCTTGACGCGGTTCGACGGAAAAAGGAGCACGAGCGCAAGTTGGCCGCCCAAGCGCTGCGGCGCAAGCAGGCCGAGCGTGCGCGCCAGGCAGAAGCTGCACGGAAGCCCCGAAGCAGCGGAACGCGGCCGGAATCCGGCGTCCGGAGGAGCTCGAGGCCGTCCGTTAGCAGCTTCATCGCGGCCAAACGGAAGAAGGAAGCGTCCGAACGAAGCGTGCGGTCGTCCGAACGAGCGCTTAAGGCGTCCGAAGGAGCGCCCATAGCGTCGGACTCAGCTCATGTAATGTCCGACGATTTCGTGATGGAAGGCGGCGGTGGCACGCACACAGCAATCAATTGGACTGGCTATGGGATGGAGCGGATGAGTGTGAAAAGCCCGCCCCTGCGAGGGCAGCGTCCGGCAAACTGGCCGGACGGTCGCCGGAGCGTCCGAACCCAAGCGCCGGTCCCAGCACATCCGGAAGTGTCCGAAGAAGGGCCGTTCAGCGACGGGAACCGGGGCGGGACGCGCCACGTCATCACCGAAGGGATCCCAGTCCACGCTGACGTCAGCGAAGCCAATCCGGCGGCGCCACAGGGCCGGCCGGGGACGGCGCCGAGCCGGATTGCGGGCACGTTCGTTCGGACGCTTGGGGCCGTCCGGACGGAGCGGTCCGAACGGCAGGGAGAGTTGCTGAGCCCATGGAGCGTGCCGAGCATCGAGGAGAGCCTGCTGTTCGATGGGACCTATGAGGAGGTGCCACGTGGCAGGAGCGGGAGGGCGCTCAGCGCTACCAAGATGCTGCAGTCGGACGGGCCCGTGGTGATGACGTGGCAGCGTCCGGAGCCGCGGCAGGGCGGATGGGTCGGGGGGTCGGAGTCCGAGATTGCAGAATCGGACGTCCGAACGGGGGTGGAAAAGTTTCTGGCGGCGAAGCCACGGGTCAAGCGAAACGGAAAGCCGGTTAGGGGCCTGGTTAAGAAGGTTAGCGTGCCAAAAGAGGCGAGCTTTGCGTCCGACTTCGATGCGGACACGGAGAGCCTGACCCCGGACTCGGTCGTTGATGCTGCGTCCGAACCGGACCGGTTAAGGCGGCGGTTAGCGCGCAAACGGCGGGGCGCAAAATGGCCCCACGGGGAGGGTTGGGAGCGCGAGGTTTTGGCAAAGGCAGAAACTGACCGGCGGTTGGATGTGCTGAAGGAAATGGCGGCTCGGATCGCGAAGCGGCTGGAGGCGCTCGCGTTTTCCGGGGGGGAGGGTTCGCGGGCGGAACTAGCCCCCGAGATCGAGGCGATTGTTGGCCAGGCGGAGAAGCTGCTGAGGGGGGTCGATTCTAGGGGGAGGAATGGGGATGACGACCCCCCCGGCAAGGCGAAGAGGCCAAAGAAGAAGCGGAAGGGGCACAAGCGGGGGGTTTCGGAGTCGAGAGCTTTGGGAGGTCTAGGCAGCCCGCTTGCAAGCAAGCGGCTGAGTGCGAGTCCGGAAAAGACGGGTGCTCGTTCCAGGCGGAAATCAATTGAGGCAGCCGCCGAGAAGGGGCCGCGAACGGGTGCCAGATCCAGAGACGCGGCGCCAGCAGTTGCTGACGTCACGGTGACGTCACTGGCGGCGGCTTCGGAGCGGGCGTTCTCCGACGACGCCTCCCTCTTCAGTCCGGTGGGCGGGTCAGAGAATGCGCTCTCGGTGGGTGTGAACAGCGACAGGGCACTCAGGCATAGCCCCAACGTGCAGACTGCCAGAGGCTTTTCACACCCGTTCCCTGAAATTGCTCGAACTCAAGAGGCAATGGTCACCGAGCAAGCTTCGGAGCAGGAGGGGTCAGAGAGCTCCGCTGCTGACGACTACGTGACGTCAGACGGTGATGAGGGTGATGACGTCATCGCGGACCTCGACGCCGAAATCCAACAACTGCTCCAGCAGCGGAGGCTGGCTCCAGCGGCGCGCGTTGGTACTGATTCTGAATCGCCGACTGGGGCGGCCGAGCCTGCGGTGTTTAGAAACGGTGCCGGTAAGCCGTCAGCAGAGCAACGGTGGGCTTCGCTGGTTGGGACCGGAGAAAGAAGCGCGTCGGAAGGCTCGGAAGAGGAAATGGAAGAGGAGAGCTCGGAAGGGGAAGAGGGCGGCAGAGTGGCGCCGCTCGCTGATGTCAGCAAAGGCCCACGTGGGCTCGTACAGCCGACTGACGTCAGCAGGGGCGCCCAGGGGCTCCTTTCGGACCTGTACTCGGACTCTGAGGAAGATGATAAGTCGGATACAGGGCCGTCAAAATCGGCTGACGGGCTGACGTCACACACTCGCGGCGCTAGCGTCGGACAGATTCGTGTGTCGAAGAAGCCCGCTGGACAGGTGCCGGACGCTGACGTCTCTCGAGGGTCCGCTGACGTGAGCACGGAGCAGAAAAAGGTTACGGTGAAGCAGCTGCTCGAGGCGTCCGGGGACGCATTGCTGGAGGAGGCCGTTCCGGTTAAGATTCCGCCCCTCACTGAGCGGATTCCGGCGGAAACAAAGGGGGACCGGCTGAGCATTGTGCATCTATACGAGAAGCAGCTGAGGGAGCGGATGGAGAGGCAGCAGCGGCAGTTGGCGGAACTGGAACGGAAACGGAAGGAAGATGAGCGGAAGCGGAAGGAAGATGAGCGGAAGGAGAGGGAGGACGCAGAACGGAATGAGAGAGCGGAACGGGAGGAGAGGGCGGAACGAGACGAGAAAGCGAAAGTTGCAGAGGATGAGTGGGAAATGCCAGAGAGAGAGAAGGAGAGCATCGAGGCAGCAACAGAGCGGAAGGAGGAAACACGAAGGGAAGAGGAGCGGAAACAGAGTGAACAGGAACGAAACGAGAAAATGCGGAAGAAGGACCAAGAACGGAGACTTGAGGAGGCGCAAAAGATCGAGGAGGAGGAACGGAATGAGGTAGAGCGGAGGCGGAAGTCGGCGGAAGAACTCAGGGAGTCAGTCAGGCAGCCGGCCGTTGAAGCTCCTACGGACGAAGTCGCCAGCAAGGCGCTTCAACACTTGGTTTCGTCAACGGGGGTTTCGAACGCCGTTGCGGACGCCCCCCCGAAAAGTGTCCCGCCGTCCGAGAGCCGTCCGGAAGGAATCAGCGCCAAGTTGGTCGAACCTACTGCAAAAACGGTCAAGGCAAGCTCCCAAGGGCCAGGAAGAGGGTTACCGGTGCCGATTAAAGTCACCCGGACGGCTTCACCAATCCAAGCGCGTGGTGAGAAGAAGACTATGCGGCAGAAAGAGACAGCCGTTGCTTCTGCTGACGAGGGACACGTGGCGAAACTGGATTTGCCAGAGTTTTTCCCGGGCGCGAAAGGAGTTCTTGACACCGGGCGAAAGGAGCTGCTGCCGAGGGCGACCCACGTGGTGGCGGCTGAGAGACGGATGTCGCCTGAGATGCTCGAGCAGATGTAAGTGGTGCTATTAGCTGTTTTTGTACCAGGGGTTCTTCTAATCTGAAAGTGTTCTTATGGGATGCTTTTCAAGAAAACACATGCTGATACGACAGAGGGAATATGATCTGGTATAAGGTAAGAGCAAGGCGCTCGCAAGAGGTTTATTGGGTTGATTTCCCTACGAGGAAGTTCTGTAGTTCTGTTAGAGGGGAGTTCAAAAACGCAAAGGTACACCGCAGCGCACCAACATCAGGGGCCAATGCTGCTGTTCGTCGAAAAGGAAAGCAAGAGGTGGATTTGTATCTCAAGTATCAAGACATTTTAGTACCTTTTCGGGGTCGATTGCCCATCAGTATTGAATCAATGTTCGGTGCTCAGAAACTGCTGACTTGTTTTCGGATTTCAGTCTGCAGTGGAGCGTAAGCTTTCCTTTGTGGCCTGCGGAACAGGAAACAGTTTGATCCCTTGGATGGTTTTCCCAATCGGTAATATCTGCGTTCCAAAAGGACCCAATAACGCCAAAGCAACATTTCCTCGTTCAGTTGCTTACATCCCCCCTCCTACTTCCAGGCTGCAAACTGACTTTGCCCGGTTGGAAGAAACCGGAGCAATCCAGCACAAAATTGATCCCTACTCTCGCAATGCTAAAACCGACTCGTTAAGGAGATTGTTTGGTTCCTTTCTCAGACCTCAACCCTCTCCCCTCCTTCCAGTTGGAAGGCGAGGTTGCCCGGTTGGAAGAAACCGGGGCGATCGAGCACAAGGTTGCCAGCCTTTATGAATTTTGGATCAAAAGATCGACGCGTCAACGCCAAGTTGTTTCTTTCCTCTCTCAGATTCAACCCTCTCCCCTCCTTTCCAGGCTGCAAACTGAGGTCGCCCGGGTGGAAGAACCGGAGCGATCAAGCACGAAACTACAGAATTTTGCATTTTGAAAGGTGACGCGTCAACGTCACCCACTTGTTTCTTCCTTCTTTCATTTCTAACCCGCTCTCCTCGTTTCCAGGCTGCGAACCGAGGTCGCGCGGTTGGAAGAAACCGGAGCGATCGAACACGAGACTGCCCCCTACTGACTCTTGCATTTTAAGGACCGACGCATGAACGACCTGTTGTTCTTTCCTTCCTACATTTCTAATCTTCTTTCTTCTTTCCAGGCTGCAAACCGAGGTTGCCCGGTTGGAAGAAACCGGGGCCATCGAGCACGAGATCGCCAGCCTGGAGCACGCCCGGGGGATTGCGCTCGCGCACCAGGAGACCGTTTCCGTTGCGCGCCTCCTCGAGGAGGAGCGGAACGCCCAGGAGCGGAACGAGAGAGCGGATCGGATGTACCGCGAACAGCAGGAGAAGCTGAAGGAAACGGTGGAACGGCTGACGAGGGAGGTGGCTGCGGACGTCCGGAAGGAGAGCCTGGAGCAGATTCGGACGGTGGCGGACGTGTTTGCGCGGGAGGTGCGGAAGGGGGCCGCGCAACAGGTAGGGGCTTTCGGCCGATTCGCCGCAGAAAAGTTGGTGTTGCTTCTGTAGAACGAATGTGAACCGGAAATAACATGAGCTGCAGCTTTTGGAAAGGGCCGAAACGGGTGGTTCCTCACAAGGAATCAAATATTCATTGCGTTTGTGCTTTCACTTTGGGTGGGCTTTAAGGGGCCGTGCCTTCCAGACCCTAAGCTCAGAAGGACATCATTTGGAAAACGCACAAATACAGGGAGGGACCTTTTAGGTTGATTGGAATCATTGCCAAGGTCTACCGAAAGACTCTTACAAGTCTTCTTGTTCCTGTTAACTGTGTGGCTAACAACATCGGCTTGATTTTATAGCACCCCGCCGTAATCAACCAGTCGGGACAGCCCTTCCGGTCGGAAAGTAGACTGGCGGATACCGAAGGGGGCGCCCGGTTAGCGCCAACCGACCACTCGCCCGAGGACGACGCCCTGCACCAGCTACGGTTCTACTCGAGCGACGAGAGCGAGTCCGAGAGCGAAGAAAGCACCCGGGGAAAGGATGGCGTCACGAGTGACATGGGAGGGGCGGTTCCGGAGGAGACTGGGTCTATCGTGCAGTCTCAGAGCTACTCGAGAGCGTTTGAGCAGATTGAGTCGGATATCGGCGTTAGCGAGAGGGTTAGCGAGCCGGCTAGCGGGGGCGTCGATGCGACGATCGGTGAGAGGATCGTCGAGGGGTTCAGCGAAAACATGAGCGAGAGTGTAAGGGGAAGCGCTGGCCAGGGGGTCAGCCAGAAGATAAGTGAGAGGGTTAGTGAGAGGGTCAGCGAGGCGGTTGGCAAAGCGGAGGACGACATCAGCGAGCGCATCGGAAGCCGGGTTAGCGAGAGGGTTAGCGGAGGGGTCGAGGAGGAAGCGGAAAGCAGGTTGCGAAACGAGGAGTCAACGTTGGCTGAGCTGGTTGAAGAGAAAGGCCTTGTAGAGACGGAGGTTGACTTGCAGTGGAAGGATCTGAAGGTTGTGGACGACAACGCTCTTGCGGACGGGGCATTTGTCGAAGAAGAGGTTTTGGACGAACTCGAGGTGGCAGAAGAAGGCCCTGTAGAAGAAGACGTTGGTTGGGGCCAGGCTGGCGAACAGGAGGTCGGGAGTCAAGACGGCGAGGAACGAGGCCTCGAAAATGTTGGCATGGTCGAAACAGAGGAAACTATAAAGGAGGAGCGCCAGCACTATTCGGACAGTTTCGGAGAAAGTGTGGGCGCCCAGATGCCGTCCTCGGGGGGATCCCCCGAGGATCTCACGCGCGAGCAGATTGCACCCGGAGAAAGCGAGTCCAGAGGAACCGACGAACGCGAAACCGCCGCCCAAATGCTCAGAGACGCCGCCGAAAAGCTGCGGACAGCGGAAGAGGCCTTGTTCGAGAAGAAGAGGACGCTCGAGGAGCGGACACGTGGCGAGATCGCGGCGCTCGGACGGTCCGCGGACCGGAAGGCGGCCGTCCGGCAGCAGAAGCTGATGCGGCTGCGGCTGGACGCGGACCTTGCTGACGTGGACAGGGCGCTCGCGAGCATGCGTGCGGAGTTCGTCCGGCAGCGGCTCGCGTGGGAGCAGGGGTCGGACGCTTCGGCCGTCCGAAGGTTTGGGGAATCCAACGATCCGGACGGCGTCACTTCGCGGGCGGTGGAAGAAGAGGGTGCGGCGGCCGGCGCTGACGTCAGTGCTGTCGTCAGCAGTGCAATTCCTGAAAGTGAGACCAGAAACACAGCTGGGGAGAGCGTTGGCGAGGAGGTTGACACCGAGGTAGGGAGCCAGTCTGCGGCGCAGTGTGGGAGCGGTTCCGGTGTGAGCGAAGAGATCGAGAGCGGACCGGCGGAAGAAAACGGGTTGGATCTGAGGGAGGCGGTGGAGATTAGCGCGACAGCTTTCAGTTCGATCGCGGTCCGGCGGATCGAGATCGAACTAGAGCGGGCGAGGGCGGAGGCGGCGGCGCTGCAGAAAGAGAAACGGGAGAGGGAGATCCAGGACGAGATTCAGGTAGGCGGCAACCACCTTGTGGCTGTGCTTTCTTGTGATCTGTAAAAGGGGTCTTTGGTGGCGCGAGGCCGACTTGGAAACGAAGTCCAGGCTTTCTTTGATGGCTTCATTGTAGCAGGACTCCGCCATTGGAAGACTGTTCCTTGATGTGTTTTTAGAATGTCGATCAGCAACTCGCCTGCAACAATATAAGTTGGAGTATTGCCTTCTTGCTGCCAAAGCCGAAAAGTGCGTCGGTCGGTTTGACGTATCAAACGCCAGCGCTGCTCACTACCTTCACCGTTGTGAGAAGACGGCGGGAAACTCTGCGTTCGCCTGAGTATCTCCTTTTATACCACTAGTATCTCCTTTTATACCCAAAGACTGTTTTTCTATATCGAAGATCAAGCTTTTCTGATGTTTGTTTTGCGCTTTCAGTGAGAACTACAACTCTATATCGGCCGGTTTGGGGTAAAAAGAAAAAAGACCTGCTCAGGTCCCAGTTTGATCAATTCTATTCTTTCTCGTTCCATCGCAGTGGTTGAACGACGCGGTCACCAAGAAGCGCGCCGCCATCATGGCCGCGTCAGCTCCGCCCACGCCCGCCGCCCAAATCCCCAAACCCTGGGCTCCCCTAGCCGAGGCGCGGCCGCTACCGCCCTTGGAACCCCTGCACGTGTCGGGCAAACCCTTAGAGCCCAGCCAATCCGCTTCCGCGGCGCACTCTGAACCGACTTCTGTCGCGTACTCCGACTCTTTTCTTGGAGCAGAATCCGCCGGAATTGGCAGCAGCCGACGGGAAAGTGACGTACCCAGCGAAGCCCTGTCGGTGGGCGACCAGGACAGGCAGCAGCTCAGCAGCGGGGTCGCCGAAAAAGACGATTCCGTACGGTATTCGGACACTTTCGACCAGGCGGGGGAAAGCGAACCGGTCGCTTCCGTGGCGACGGAAAGCGGGGACGGTACAAACGCCCGGTGGGACGAGGAGGTGACTTCAGCGATGCAGAGGTCTGTGACGTCAGCAAACCGGCACGCGACTGTTGGGAAGGATTTGACGGACGGCAGGAACGCAGTGCCGGAAGACGACGTCAGAGGGGCGGGTCGTGACGTCACGGGGCGTGTCCTCGACTCGACGGGACTCAGGCAAGAGGCCAGCTGGGGGCAGGTAATCGATATGCACGGGACTGAGGTGCTCGGAAAGGAAGTAATCAGGGAGATAACCGGGGAAGTATCCAAAAACTTAACCGGGGAAGTAACCGGGGAGGAGGAGCTACTGGAAGAGCTGCCGGAGGAGTGGTCGGGGGAGAGCACCGGGGTCGCTCGGGGGGAAGCCGAAAGGGACCAGGCCGTCGAATCGGCTTCCCTCGAAGTACTCAATCGGGCATTCGACGCGTCTCAGATCTCCGCTGGAGAGCAGTTCCAGGGAGCTGGTTTTGGGGCAGAGGCAGGCCCGGAGAATCCGGAAAGGGTGCAGGCCGGTGTTGCGAGGCCCGCGGAAAGTCGAGAGGTCCGGCGGTTGAGCGAAGCCGTGGGCAGCGAGCCGGACGAGTACTCGGACAGCTTCGCAAGCGAGGCTGACGCGGAGGACGACGTCAGCAGCGCTCCGATGCACGACACGTGGCCCGATGACTTCGCTCGGGAAGGCGGGGAGGAGGCCGACGGAAGCGGCCGGGCATTAGCGGGGTTGGAAGATGCGAAAGGTTTGGAGGGGTTAACAAAAGGGTTAGGAAGGTTTGCGGAGGGTTTGGGTGACGAAGTGGGGGCTTGGGAGACGGAAGAGAGTCCGGGGCCAACGGCCAGTGCGTCGATGTTTGCGACTCTGAAAAGGACTCGGGGGAACGTACTGGGGACGGCCGGGAAAGACGACTTTGCAGAAGTTGAGACCGAAATTACGGGCGTCGAAGGCTTGGAAGAGGTGGACGAGGAGCTGGAATTCGACGAGGACGGGTTCGTAAGTGGTAGGGAGGGAGAAGACGGGGCAGAAAAAGGCAGTGCTGCTGTTGGAGGGACGGACAGAACTTCGATGCGGAAAGGAGAAGAAAGTGCATCGGCTGAGACTGGAGATGACATGGGCAGACTGAGGGGTGTGGGAAAAGAGCGCCTTGTGAAGGCGGCGGACGCCGTTCTAAAGGATTTGGTCGCGGCCGAGGTCGAAGGTGAGAGCGCAACAACCGCTTGGTTTCCTTGGTGAACTTGCCGTTCGTTGATTCTGGAGAAACCGCGTTTCTGTCGAGAGTACCAGAGAGCAGTCTTTGCGGAGGTCAAGGAAGCTGCGGCCCTTTTTGCAGTTTGAGAAGGGTCGGACGTTGCTGCATGCGACGTTAAAAAGTTCTGCGTTACTTTGTAATTCTCACCAGAAAGGACGAGTCAAACCCGTAGCTTGCTGTAGAACATCCTCGGACATTTCTGCAGGGGTCTTCATGACGAAGGAACCGCTGGAAATGTCTATTATAAGTAATGCTTATGACGTGTTCATCGAAATTTGATAAACTTTGCTGACTTGGTTTGCGTACCTCGAGTTGTAATCTGAAGACGCCGATTTGAAGCAAAGTGGGGATTCAACCTTTTTGCCGTGCTCTCACACCCTGCAAATATGTGTCACTTCGTCCTCGCTGCAGTCCCCTCGCAATGCAGATCCACACCAGACCTCACTTTGTATCCTTTCCTCATTCCGTTTTCCGTTCTCTTCCGCCGCAGACGCCACTGCCTCCCCGCCCGTCTCCCCCACACGCCGCATCCGCACGCGCCTCCTAAACCCCCAAACCTTGCGCGACGGCGAGGGCGCGGGCACGTCGCCGCCCAGCCCGCGCTCCCCCGGGTCGCCCTCCCGCCCCGTTTTCGACAGCGAGGCGCGCTGGATAAACCCCCAAAACCTCTCGCCGCGAAACTCGCCGCGTTCGTCGCCGCCGCTGCACGTGCCGCTCGGGATCGGCCCGCTGGGGCCGTTCGAGCAGGACGCGAGCGCGGCCGCGGCGTCGCACTCGCCTCACTCCCCCGACTCGCCCACCCGCCAGAGCCTGCGCGCGTCCTTCGAGGCCGCGCAAAACCCCGAAACCCTGGTCGGCATGTCGCGGCTGTCGGCGAAAGACTTTGCGGAGCTGAGCCGCGAGTCGCCCCTCCCGGAGGAGCTCGAGGAAGGTTTTGAGGATTTGGAGCCGAACCCGCTCGCGGTCGAGGGCGACGCGGCCTACGTCGAGGATTACGTCAGCGAGGTGCTGCGGGTTTCCGGGTTCCTGGAGCCCGGCGCGGCCGCGTGGTACCGCCCGAACCAGCCGCTCGGGTTGGACGTGTTCGTACGCCTGGAGAAGATGCGTCCGGACGTCCACGACTTCCAGCACATCTTCAACAAGCTCATTTTCGACGCCGTGGGCGAGGCGCTGCTGAAGGAGCTGACCCCGTACAAGCCGCGCGAGCCGTTGGAGCGCGCGCCCAAACCCCTTAAACCCCCGCCGGACGCGGCCGCGCTCCTGGCCGCCGTCCGGACCCGGACACTCGCGATCTTCAAGCGGCGGGCGCCCGTGGGGCCGCTGAAAGAGGAGGCGCTGAGGTTGATGATGAAAGAGCAGCCTTGGGTCGGGTTCCCAGAGGAAGAACTAGAGGTGGGCTGCGAAGTTGCGGATCTGATGGTGAATGATATGGTCGACGAGGTGGTAGAGCTTCTGCTGCGCGCCCAGCGGGGCAGGCAGTCGAAACGGCAGGCGCTTATGAAAGCGGGTGGCCGCAGTAGCTTGGGCATTACCCTTTAGTTTAGGTGCGGAGCCCAACCCAGTGGTGAAAAGTGACGCTCGCTTGCATGCAGTAACAAAGGATATATGTGCGCATATTTCGGACGGTTTGGATGGCAATCTGTTGCACCCTGAAACCTTTCTAACTAGATCGAAATGCATACTGATCTATCTCGAACTAAGATCGAAAGACGAAGAGCAATAAGCAAGCTGCCATGTGCATGCTTAGTGATGAATGAACAACTTTCGGGCGCGGCCGTGCGCGCCCGGCGCCGACCATGGGAGCTGTTTTCATAGCTAGCTTTACTTTGCAGACGGTCCGATTTACGCATGCTAACGTACGCCGGCAGTGCCGGGTGCAGCAATTGCATGCATGGCAGTGGCCGTCCATGCTAGCTAGCACTGCATGCAACGGTAGACGGTGGACGTCAATTGACTCATGTAAAAAATATTGCGCGTTAAGTACAATTACCGCGCCAACACCAGCCTTGTCCTCGAGATCGTAATAGCTGGGCGCCTCAATAAAGCGATTTTGTGCCTTTCCAAGTTATGCATGCCGTTCAGAACGGCCTTCGGCTGCTGAGGGGGTAGTGACAGCTTCATTACATCCACGTCTCCGCAGCCCTGGTTAATCTTGCCCAAGAGAGCCAGACGGTGACTCGAGCAACTAGCTTTCAAATTACATGTTCGTTAATCCATACACATAGTACATACTAAAGGTGTTTTTTTGAAAGGTGTTGCTACTTCGACGCAATCCGTCATCAAACAACATTCCTTCGTCACTGCTGGCACCCTCTTCATCCTGGACACACGAAACCATCGCTATGATTGTTTCTACTGAGAACCGATTGTCATCGAGCACGCAACCTTGTGCACCTTTATAACGCAACGCACACAACACCACAATCCAGCTACTCTCTGAATCTGAATCTATGTTTGGAGCAATTAGCCCTCAATATCCTGTCGACACCAAGGTCATCATTTTCGTGGAAGAAGCCTCACGAGCTGACCACATGCCCTTCAAGATCTTTCTGTACAGTTTTATCAACACAAACGCTTTACGACCTGATTTTATCGGACTTTGAAAGCTACCAGCAGTCATCATCCACTTCGATGCCAAAGTGCAGTTCGAGCGACAACTTGTTCCGGTTGTACTGCACCTCCAGAGACCCAAGTGTGGCAGGGGACTGCAACAATATATGAGGAATATCGGCACGTATTCGAGAATCAGTTTGTAGACCTGCCGCTTTTATCAGTAATAATTTGCAGCTCATGTATCTTGGCAAAAATATCACGCAAACTGCTAACGAATCCTCCACGTCTGTGCGACTACTCTCATTCCAGCATTTTGCAACGCCCGCTGCCATTGCCAAATGACTTCAACAGAGTTCGGCCAACGGACTGTCAAACATTGTGAAAACTGTTAAAGAAAAGCGGATCAGAAGGAAGACAATTTGTCCATCTGCTGAAACGTACATTGACTTGAATAAATGCTGCCCCATCCTAATCAAGTCGTCAACCTTTTCCCAAAGAATGGGCCTTGTTGAGAGCTGACGACCTTTTCGGCTGGTGATTGTCAAACGTATTTGTAATCCAGCCAAGCTGCGTATCAGTGGATGCGCATGCTGCAACTCCTTTAGGGCACTTTCGACTTGCTGCCTCCGTCCATTGAAAGCGAGCCAGCTCAAAGAAGACAAGTTGAGGCACCCCTTATTTTCAGGGTTTAATTCATCAAACGTGTGGCATAATGCTTGTAAATTGAGTTGGATGTCAAATCCAGCCCTCACCTCGCTGGACTTGTAAGACTTCTGGAAGCTACGCTTCCTCCACATAGAAGCGGTGTAGCCCTCACGCTAGATATTTTGAGCGCCGAACAGCTCTTGGACGGCATCAAAGGTATCGAACCTGGAGTCGTCAATGAGAGCGCTTCAGTTTTGAACCGGATTTCTAGTTTGAAGCATGCAGCAGAGGAGTTTGGCAGTCCATTTTCGACGCACCGTTGAAGCTGACGGAACGTGGAGGTAGATCTGCAACGCAGATGCCTTTTATCTTATTTCTTTGGGCGGCTTCTTTGATATCTGGATATCATATTGGTTCCCTCACCTTCGGATCGTCACCACTGATGTCAGCTTGTTGTCCTTAGTGGGTTGAATGAGCACGCCTGCAAAAACACCGGGAAATCTTTGAGTTTTTCTGACGGTCTGATTGTGCAATACTCTTGCATGGAATTGTCAGTTGATTCTCAATGGAGTGATGCGAGACTGAAGCTGAGTGACTCAACCTCTCTTTCCACTTTTCAACAAGATCGAGCTTACCTTTCCCATCAAAAAGCGCCATGAAGATCTCCTGAAGCATTCCTTGCTCGGTGACCACCACCTTTTTGGACTGGCCGCCCCAATCGCAGTTGTCAAACTTTTCACGGGGAACAGCTTTGACCAAAGCCTTGCCCCATCTGCAAGCACCGTATCACAAGGTTAGGAATGTTGAGGAGAAGCTTCTTTGAAGTCACATCACCAGCCAACCGTGGCCACCTTAGTACCAGTACCTTCAAAAAAATTCCATATATGCTGCATTACGAACCTGCATCTTCCAAGTCATGGAATCCATATCTGGAAAGTCTGGAAGTAAGCCAGAGATGGTCTTGTTCTAAACCATGAGTGTCTGGTACAACCAACTACAATACAATCTACGCATCGAGCTTCACTTACATTCCAATAAGACTTGCAGAGTATGCTTTGACCATTGCCCGTCTGTGGTTAGCAATCTCAAATACAAAGAGCTGAATGCAATGCTTTCAAAGATTGTGCTCAGGTGGAAAGCCTACGAAAAGTCTTGACTTGCACTTTTGGCTGCTCTTACTTTGCAAAGAGCTTGTTGCCATCAACAGGCTTCTGCTTCTTAGCCGGCGGTCCTGCCACTGCAGCCGACCCTGCTCCAGCACCTTGGTTGCTGTTGAGCTTTCTCTTCAAGCTGGCATTCTCGGTCTTCAGCTTGCTGTTCTCGGCCTGAAAAGGTAAGACGATGGTTGGCAGCTGCCTTTGATACCAGGCCAGGCGGCAGAAAAGGTTTGGTGCTTTGTTGTCTCACAATTTCATGTGGCAGTTGGCCCTTTAGCCATTCCTTGTCATGATTGTGATGACTGTAAACCCTCTAGGTTGACGCAGGTTGGGGATGTAGCTGCTATTGAGGGTCAAAAGCTGCATTCTGATTTTGAAAAAGATCAGAAAGCAACCTTTTTCAAGCTTGATGCAGTGCTTTTTCAACGAGAAGGATCAACTGACCTCCAGCTTCTTGTTCGTGCTCCTGAGCTCCTCAATAAGTTCAGACCCTGTGGTTGGAGTGGCGGCCAACGCCTGCAGCATATTTATGGTGGTTTGGAGTCTCATAAACACAGCAATTCGTTTTCTTATAGCGCCTCAGTTTCATATTTACAGAACAACATGAATGGTTAAAGTGTATCAAGGCTTAAAAAGGTTTACATCCTCATAGTGCCTCAATGGCGCCTCTCAGCCTTCCATATACGTGATGGAATGTCTAACAGGAACGCCAGAACTGAAGATTCATGACATGTCTTGGCAGAAGTTAGGTACTAGCACAACAAAGAGATTGACAATGAGCTGAGCATCATACCAACTTGGACAGCACACCGTAATGCTCTTACTTTGCCCGTCTCAGGAGAGAACGCGTCTGCTCTGTGACTGCCGTTGGCCGCAAACGCGAACTGCTTCAAATTGAACATCGGCGGCGTTGCTGCTGGTACACTGCCAGCGACAGGCGCGGAAGTTCCAGCAGGCTGCACATTGGCTGCCCCATTGCCTCCGGGTGTCACTGCTGCTGCGGCAGGCGGGAAGAATGACAGGATGCTTGGAGTTGTGGAAGTCTGCTCGGCCATCACTGCTGCTGCCATAGTCCTTCAACGATAAGACGCGTTAAATGTCAATCTGAGAACCCTTCTGTACTTTCTGCCGGCAAGTTCCTGATCTGCTTCCGGAATCAGAGTTTCAAAGAGACAGTCTTTTGAAGAGAGTTGGTGAGACTGAGAGACTCGTACCTAGTCCAGCACTGGCAGCAGATTTGCCAGCCGTGCTGGCCTCAGATCATCAGACGGTGCTTCATGACGAAAAGTGGCGCGAAGGTTTCAAATTTTAAAGTCTAGCCACTCTTCTGGCGCCATCTGGCAGGTCAGCTACACCCGATACTCATTGCCGTCGATCATCTCAATCCTTCGGCTGACAACTGATCAGAATTTCACAAGCGAGCCCCGGCGGCCGCCTTCGCGGCCGGCATGGTCCCGACATCATGCATGTGGTGCATCATTGCCGCCACACTGAGTCTGCAGTGGACGCCTGGCAAGCCAAGCCAAGCTCATTGCAGGATGATGAAAGGAGCGCTCCTTAGACTCGGACTCAGTAACTTACCGGTAAGAGTTTAAGGGTACAGAAGGAGGCTACAGCTAGACTGGATCGAGAGAGCATCTGCTTGTTGAGGGGATCAGCACGGACTTGGCAGTCAAATTACATACATCAGACGCGCTACTCGAGAAGACTGCAAAAGCAGCTTGTCATGGGTTTGGCAGCTAAGCTGCTTCTTGTCTGCTCTCCTCTCGCTTATGCAGCATTGAAGGCGCCTTCCGCACCCTTGCGCTTTGCCCTTGGCTACTCTGCTGGCGTCGGGTTTGTAATAGCGGGTGCTGCCTCACTCGACATCCCTTGGCTCCTCGGAAAGCGGAGGCGCGATGGCAGTGTTCCCCTCTGGTCATATCTCCTCTTCTCCTCATTCCACATGGGGTTCAGGGTGTACGTCAAAGTTCGGAGGCTGGTCTCAGAGGAACCCGTTTACACCAAGGTGACGCCTGAGTGGTATGTCGGCGGGTGGCCGTTCGCACCAGGGGATGTTCCAGCTGGGAAACCTGCGGTTGTAGACTGCACTTGTGAACTGCAAAGGACGGCGGTGGTTGCAGATTTGCCATACTTAAACCTGCCAGCATTTGACTCGCGTGTTCCAAAGCTAGAATATTTCGATGAGGGGGTGCGGTGGTCTCTGGAGCAGCAGCAAGCGGGGAGACCTGTGTTCGTGCACTGTGCTTTTGGTAAGTGGCACTTTGGTGACCTGCTGATCATCGCTTGCTCCTCAGTGGACCGCGATGATTCAATTTTTCTGGGGTTGAATCACATAGGTCGTGAGATTGTCACCACTGACAGTTCACCATTAGTATGGACTAGTGCCACCAAAAGATGCTGTTGACTGCTCTGTCTATCATGGCGTCCAACCTGCTCATGACCACCTCAACTAAAAGCACGTCGTGATTTCCCCTTGGTTTCATCTGTACTGGGTATTGGTGCTGAACCATGTGGTTCCCCGATCTGGTCGTCATCTTCGATCCTGTCACCATCATCAATTCCTTGAAAATAAAGTAAAGACTTTCTTTCTCTGACAGCGCACCCACATGGGCCTCTTCCTTGAGACTTTCTTTGACAACTTGTGCGCCCAGCAGTTCTGGGCACGAGTTGAAAGTTGACCCGAGTCAGATCATGTTAGCGAAGTAAACCAAAGAGCCGTTCAAAGGGCATTGTCACGATTTTCTTTCCCCCTCAGTTGCTGATGTGTATGTGTCTCTGCAGGGCATGGGCGTAGCGTGGCTCTGCTGTGCGCATGCCTAGTTGCTCAGGGGGCAGTGTCCTCCTGGCAAGAAGCCTTTGCGTTGATCAAGTCTGTCCGGCCGCATGTACGAATGAACAGGATACAGCGGGAGACTCTCATGCGGTGGTGCGAACGCTATTCGCAGAATGCGAAGACATGAAGATCCCTCAAACTGTAGAGATATCTACTGCCGTTATTGATTTGATGTACGGGGTACAGCATAATGTCTATCGGGGTAATAAACAGAGGCTTTGAGCCGGAGCGCTTGAGCATCAGTTTGGATCCGGTTCTCCGTGTGATTGTTTCCCGTATGTTTGAACACAACAATAGAAGCAATCAAGAGGACACGTACAACATAGCAGGACGCTCACGCACAGTCACTGCCGTAACAGCTTAGGTCATTGTGATCTCAGTTAACGGGTAGGGATCAGAAAATTCAACGCACGCTACTGGCCGGAGCTAGATCAGTACGGTGTCAGGGTTAAAAGCACAGCAGATTGAGAGACAGCACCAGACGGAACGATGAAGAGAATCTGAGTCAAAGATTTGGGAGAATTTTCGTCGGAGTGCTAGTATGAAGAAGTGGTATCTCCGGGCATGCATCAGGTGCACCATGGGCGGCAGATGCTTAGCACGTCGCTTTGACTATGTATTCCTACCCGCACCGTACTAAGCATTGCAGGACGAGCAGAACTGGCAAGCTTGTTCTAGCTGCCCAGCTTCCGTTCATGAACCTGTGATTCACATGAGCATGTACCTGCAGATCCGCACGTCCTCCATGCATGTACGGAACTTTCGCACCACATGAACTCAATTATCACACCTTCGATCGATGACATCATGGACTGTATATATTTTCATGCACTTCAAGTGAGCCGCGCTCAGAGCCTGCTGTCATAGCAGCCCCGCCATATACGCGTCGTGGCAAAATGAATGATACCTCTCAAACAGAGCTAGTTTTAATATATCACATGCGCTCCCAAACATGCACGCGGCGTCGCTGCCACCTGCGAGAAACATACATACGAGCTTTTCTAAAAGAGGTAGTTATCGCAGAATATGCGCACCATGCCCATGTGTCTGCAACTCCCTGCACACAATTCGAGGTCGCTTGTAGGCCTTGAATCCACTCACATGCTCCGCCTCGGTGTATAACTGGGCACAGTTTCGAGCGGCCAGCTTTGCGTCTTGCTTCAATCACTGATCAGAGATTATGCAATTCGGATATCAGCTGCTAAAACAGCAGTGTCGGGTCGGTGGACCTGACAGACAGAGCCGTCGCGTCCAGGTTCCATGATGCTACAGAGCAAACAAAAGTATAGGCTCAAACCGGGAGCTACGGTCAACCAATGTATCGCACGCCGCAGCTACCTAACTTGACAGTCTGGCTGACTGGCTAGAATTACAGAGCGCGCCAGCGCAAGAGGGAAGGATGCACTCCTCTATTTATGCTTCAATCAGGGGAAAATCGCCTTCCTCACAAATTCTTGGGAGTGGATTGGCTTTCAAGCGGCCGGTCGCGTATCTGCACAGAAGAGAAGAGCAGACTCAGGTCACAACGAAGCAGACGCGATAAGATAAAGAATTTATACGCTTGGATGAACGCAAAAAAAGACTTCAATTAATTATTGAACAACAACAAGAGGTCTCTGCACTCAGCAGAGAACCAAAGCAGGGCCTCTAGAAGAGGTTTGCATTGAATTAGACCTAGGTATCCAGATTGATTTTGGAACTACGAAACAGTTCTGGAGCACCTTAAGAGAAGGGACCCTTTTCGAAAGTTCTGGCGCTCTAGGGAAACGCCATAAGGTTAGATGAGAAAGCATTTGCCTTCAAAATCCAAGCACGATCCTCTAACCCCAACAGGTGCCATCATCATGCTATTCGTAAAGGAAGCAGCTGAATCTCAATTCGTAATTGGCAAAAGTTGGATTTGAAAAGATCTGCTTGATTAGGCTCACCTTTCGCGCACCGCTCTTGATTTGATCTCTCGGCCCTCAACAGGGCTATGTACAAATATGCCACGAATCGTATTCTAAGCTGGCGCGCTTTGAGCAGCTTTCGCCTTCCTCCTTTTGGAGCCCGCAATCATCTCCCTGCAGAGATACCCCCACCTGGTCAAGTCCTGTTTGAAACCGAGTGACGCCAAGAATGGAACTTCTCCATTTCACGACGTACTTGGATCTCCAAATATTGCCTCGTAAATCAGTACACACAGATGATCGTCGGCTCCAAAAACGTTAGGTAAATGGAGTCCGAGTTGAAAGATTACCGCCCTACTGAATATGACGACAACACTGCCAAACACTTTGATTAAATAGAGGGTCTTGATCCGCGTCCGAGGATAATCCGATTGAGACCATACTCACCGCTTTCTCTTCGCGGCTTGGATCTCAGCCCGGGGCACCGTGCTGATCGGCTTCCTCTTCGGCACGTGGTTCTTTCGGTGCCTCCCCTGCAAAACGGAAAACAAGTTGCTTCAGCAAGCGAGCCTCGGAAGTTGGCCTGCGAGACTTTGTTATCTACAAAGCGGCCCTGACTGCAATACACGGATATTTGAGGCACGATGTCTTCCCCCAGCCTTCACGAGCAGTCTCGCCAGGCGACAATGTCCGATGAGCAAAAGGTTCCGGAAACGTTTGTGCATGGAGAAGACTATTCTTTACCGTCCAATCGAACGTTCTCAGGCCAGAATGTGGTACGCAAATTTGTCTCGCGACCGTATTTCCAGGCAGACGCCCCTGGGATGTATGTAACGTTCCGTTTCAGAGTTTCGCGAAAACGAAGGATTGACGGAGTCGCATACGCACTTCCAGGGCGCTTCTCATTAGTTGTAAGATACCAAGAGCTCGCCATGATCTAGTATCCAAAAAAGGTCCACCTCAAGACTTCACTAAAGTCACGTCCAGCGGAACTTAAAAGACCTTCTATCACTCCGGAAAGACGGCCAGATCCGGACACGCCACGTGTCTTTACCTGCTTGGGCAGTGCCAGCAGCCAATCCGGGACCTCGCAGCCGGACGCCTTCATCACGTTCGCGATCGAGCGCAGCATCGGGGTGTCGTCTTCCGTGTAGAACGTGGTCGCTTCACCCGGCCGCCCTGCCCGACCACTGCGGCCTGCAGATTCAAAGAGCATGTTGTTGAAAAATAATATGGCCGACAAAAAATATGAAAAGATGTGGCGGACTCTTTACAGGGAGCAGCCCCGTGTGTTCAGACCTTCAAAGGTTCCAGGGCAGCAGTCCTCTAGCGCGGTCGAGAGACTCATCAATCCTGTGGGTTCGAACCGTAATCGCGAACATATCATCGTACTTCCCGCAGAGCTTACGGTCACCTAGTCGACCCAAACTCGCACCAGTTGAAAGTTCGACTCCATGACAGACGGGAGTCTTCTCACCGTCAGCTCTTTAGCAGACATACGGACAGTAGGATGCAGAAGAAGGCGAAGGGTCTTAATTGCGTCGGTGAAGCAATCAAGTTCACTGGTGACAACCAAATTGCACCCTTCTACACGGTAAAAGAAATCTCCCAATTCGGAAAGCTGTGGTCTTACCGATCCTGTGGATGTACGATGCGATGGAGGGCGGGAAGTCGTAGTTGACCACGTGGTTCACGCCCTTGAAGTCCATGCCGCGACCCATCAGGTCCGTTGCGATGAGCACCCACGTCCCGCCGGCTCGAAACGAATCTACGGCATGCTCTCGCTGCAAAGAAGGATGCTTCACGTCAGGGGAACGGCTGAAAAATACTGGTGGGATAGACCTCAAGGCCGTAGCACCAAGAAACGCGTCCACCAACTCCTTTCTGCTGCACGAAGTGAGTCGGAGGTCATGTCGGAGGATTGCTAGGTCCAACTTGTGGAGCTGCCACTGCACGTCACTCAGCAGTTAGCAACCTTGTATGCTTCTAGATCCGATCCACAAGTGTAAAGCTGTCAGAAAATCTAGCAAAGGACTCTGTGTCAGAAAGTTTAGCAAAGGACTCAGAGGGAAAATGACTCGTCGAGACAAACAACCACATAGCAGTCGAACTTCGCGTTCCTTTCCCGTACCTGTGCCTGCGTCCTGTCGGCATGGATGGCGTCAACCTTGACGCCGTCGTACGCCAGCTCCTTATGCAGCTCTTTGGCCCGGTCTTTGCTCTGGACGAAAACCAAAACTGGCGGATGCAGGCCCTGCATCAACCACGCGCCGCCGCGTGTCAGATTGGTGTTGCTTGCGTGTGTTCAGATAAGCAGCCTAGCAACCTGCCTGCAGTCGAGCTGGCACCAAACACACAACGGATGCATGATGCTCGTTTCTAGCGTAGGCTATACCTCTCAAAGTTTTGAAACCTTTTGCAACGCCCAAGGGATGCGGTCAATGCAATACAGGAAGCACCATCAACGATGTTTTGATACCAACGACGATCTTTCAGAGACAAATGCTGAAGGGTATTGACGAAGATAGGCAACCTTGGTTTTAGTGGTTGCAAACAATCACTGAAGGGACGGGTTGGAAAGCGCAAGTCAAAGCAGAAAACTCGCAAGCAAAGGAGGGGCTGATATAGGGCTGGGCATCAGGTTGTCAGAGGTTAGAAAATCCACACGGAGATTCGGCAGGTGGAAAACATATTTCTATCTTCTCATCATTTGCCCAGACCCTACAGCCATACTTCTTAAGGATCGAGATCAGAAGCGGAAGAACAGACAAAAAAGCACTGATTGACACAGTTTGAGAACATGCAATAATATCGATGCAATGCTGCGCCCAATCGGAGACCGAAACCTGAATGTAAGACCTTCAAGCAAAATCCGAAGCGAAAAGTGGACCTGAATTTGACAAAATGCCACAGCGTTAGATGCGAGCAGGGTGCGGATGGGTATCGTGACTGAAGCAGGCATGAAACAAAACTAGCGACTTGAAAACCGGTTCTACTGACAATATCTATAAGCCCTTCCGGCGTCCTACTCAGATGCTACCGAGCCTGGAAACCTTTCAGAGGCGCTACGAGGAGGCCATCAGACAATCAACACGGCATCGTTCAGCCCGCCCGTCTGCAAGTTCTTCATCATCAAGGTTTCCGGACCCGCACCGAAAAGGGTCAATGCTTCGCTGTGTAGTAACATTCGCGATAAGCTTGAGCCTGCTCGACAACCAAAGACACGGCTAAATACCACGGACCATGCGCTTCCAAAAGCAGATCAGAGAACTCAGGGGTCACATGTCTGTACATAACACAGTTCGCAACCACGAAGCTTAGAAAAGGAACGAGCGCAATCAGATAAGATACTCAAAGTCAAAACATGCAAGACAAAGGACTACTTCGCCAAGAAATAGAATCTGCAACAGATCCGGGACAAGACGGGATCAGAACAGATACAGCATGGCCGGCTGTTCGAAAGCAAGTCAAAAAAGGAGGACACAAGTAACTCACAGAGCGAAGCACTTCGATGAATCCAAAACTAAAAGTGAAAGTTGTCCCGTGACTTACCTGCTGGAACATCTGCCGGATCGCCAGCAGCTTGCCTTCCTCGCTACCCACGTAGACAAGCTTCTGCTTCACCGTCTTGGAGGCGCTATTCCTGTTCACAGAAGTAAGGGAATAATGTCACAAGGAAAGCATGCCAGAGGCTAAGGATCCAGCGGAGATGCCCCAAAATGCGGACCTTTTCAAAAACCCTGGTGACAAGACGTCCGTACTTCTCTTTCCTGAAACCCGCGGTGATGTGCGGAACCGACGGCATGCGCTGAGCGGGACACCGAAGTTTCTGTTGCCTCGGACGGAACTTTTCAGACTCTACATGCGAAAGGAACCAATAATCGTATGACACCAACACAAAGAGACGTCGGAAAAGGTTGAAAGAATATTCGCACTCCATTTGGCTGATGGCTGATTCAGGCAGGCCAAAGCCGGTAAGCCTGAGTGTGCGGGTCTCTTGCATCGTGATTTAACAGCCTGGCTACATTGACTACCAGACTGGTGATAGCGATGCGTGACAAGGGGCAGCTCAAAGAGTAACTAACGAGAAACTGGATACAGAAATTTAGGTAAACCCTGACATAGGACATTCATCTGCCGGAATTCTTCGTAGATTTTGTTTTCTTTCCCCCAAGCCCCTCGAAGGACTTCTTATTGATGACAGAGGACTGAACGAACTTAACGAGGCAATTGACTGCTTTTCCAAACTCCTCTTTGGACCCGGCCTTCACAACTGTGCAACCTAGAAGACACTGCTCTTTCATCGGGCAAGCGGCACTGAGTTCCAAACGCCTGGAAAAACAAGCAAGCACGAATCCCAGACACTCGGAGAAACCTTCTCAACTCTAAGTAGAGTGAGCTCACCTTTCGCCCAAGGCAGCGCGGCGGTGGAGAGCGACAATTGCTCTCCTTCCCAAGCAAAAAGCTTATGTCCAACCATTCTCACACACAGAAATGAAAAAGACGACGGAAGCGGACCCCTCGCCTAGAACCCTCACCTGTCCCCCACGACGATGCGAACGGGGTCGTGCATGATGGAGCGCGCGAGCTCCTCGACGGTGTCCGGCAGCGTGGCGCTGAAAAGTGCACGCTGGATGCCGGGACGAATGCACGCCGCCACGATGCCGTCAATCTGCTCCACGAAGCCCATCTCGAACAGCTTGTCCGCCTCGTCCAGAACTAAGTGCTGCACCCTGCGGAAAGAGATGCTGAATTGAAAAGCAGATCTGAAAGCTTATGTCCGATGCAACTTATGTCCGATGCAAAACGTTTTAATACTTGGCGAAGCAGATTGAGCGGCCAATCTGTTCCACGGAGCCCATCTCGAACAGCTTGTCCGCCTCGTCCACAACTAGGTGCTGCACCCTGCGGAAACGGAAGCGAGCTTCGAAGGCACGTTCAGAAGCTGGATTACTTGGCTGGAAATAGATACATATCTTCTCGAGGTTTGAATGCTGACTAAACCTTCATTGCAGGTTGAGCCGTCATCTGGTTCAAAATCTAAAGCTTGTTTCAAAACCAGAGGCTGCCGCCAGCGGAGAAATTTGGTCCAGTCAAATAGGCTGACGGGTAAGTGCATACTCAGACCAATTCTAATTCTTCGCTCTCAATCGACCAATCGACCAACCTGCCTGCCTGGCACAGCATCAAGTGCTCCCTTTCTAAAGATAAAAGAAGCGACCCACGTCTTTTGAGTCTAATGCAAAACTACCCTATCAGTCAGGCGGCTCAATTGGGCACTTGCTCCATCAAACGCAGAGCCTCCAAGCACTTTCTTTCTCGTGTCCAAGGTCAAAGGGGGGTGACAATTGATCTGCAAAAGCTACTGCTTTGAATCAAAGAGCTAACAACCATCAAAGCGGACACGTACGGGTCGAGCATGATAGAACCTCTGGCGGAACAGAGGTAAGACAGTCGGCTCCCTTATTTGCAGGACGCTGGGCAGGAACCACAGAAAAATGTCTGCTCAACGGTGATGCTCAGATAAATCCCTCAACATGGTTCTCGACACAAGGACATTAGCCCTTTCCGTTGTCCAGACATATGTTAAATCATCACTGCATCACCCACGTACAGTCGACCATAAAGTGCCAGTCAGTGATACACCGACATGGCTTGGCTAAACCAATGTTCCACCAGTAAGTTTGATCAGGCAAGCAAGAATTATGAAGCGAGACCAAAAGCGCGTATGCCAGCTCGAGCTACGAGCAACGCTGGGTATGGTCTAGAAGACCTGTGTCTTGATCACACAAAAATCACCAGAAACACGCCAAAAGCAACATCTACAAACTGAAGGCAAGCGAAGTCAAACGTATTAAAGACGGCTGCACTCAGACAAGGGGTCGTTGTTGATGCTCACGGGGCCGCAGCCCCTCTTGCATTCTTCCTATCATAAGACGAGGTCATCATTGTGCTGCCACTGCTCCGCTGCCGTCAGTTGTCGCAGAAGCACTGGTTTCCGAAAGGGCCGAACCCTACCGCGAATCGAGTAGCAAACATTCGCTACAGAGAACGATATTCGCTATAGAGATTTGACTCTAGACCACAGCGTTTGGAAACGACCGGCAATACCGGCAATCCGGACGAAAAGGTGAAAGGCGTCGCTGAAGGGGAAACAAGATGTAACTACTTGGCAACTGACAGTAGAATCAGACTGCAAGAACTTTGGTGACAGGGCTTTGATCATTGAAGACCTGGACGAAGACAGAACGAGACAACTCAAGTCGACTGTGTGTCAAAGCGCCCTGTTCGAGCGCCTCTGTTCTCGAAAATACGATTCATCATGAACGTCTCAAAAAAGTGAGCTCCATACATTTGCTGAGCTGGAAGAGACGGAGCAGACAAACCAGTGACTGGACAAGGTCGACGAAAGAAACGGGCATGCAGGAGAGGTATTTTGGCGTCTCGGTTTGGCAGCGCTCAGTGGAAGAAGAAGTCGTTTTTTGAATGCCCATGGTGCAAGCACCAATCGCAATCATCCTTTTCAAGGCGGATTACATCATAGCGCTGCCAAGCTGAGATTTGAGGTTTGCCAAGCACCAAGTGAGCTGCATCAATAATACGAATCTGCACTGACGGTTTGACAATCCAACAGACGAGGCTGTGTAACGAGAGAAGCCATTCGTTCTCAAAAGCAAGATGATTATTCCAGAGATTGCCAGGCAAAGTAACCTAAATTTTGAAGGGGAGCAGGCAAAGCATTATGAAGTCAAAGCAAATACGTGATTATGTTTGCAGGGTTTGTCTCTGAGAATCTCCAACCAGACTCGGTCTTTCTTGGACAGAGCGTCATGCTTTCAGCAAGAACAATCTTCTGTCCAGCCGCCTCCTTACGAAGATCACCTCAAAAACCTTTCAACAACTCTCTCACAGTGGCAGTCCGAAAAGCCCAACCATTCTCACACACACAGACCCCAACCTTACCTGCTGAGGTCGATCTTCTGCTCTTTGACCAGGTGGTCCAATCGCAGCGGCGTGGAGACAAGGATGTCGCACGGGGATGCCGCAAAGTCGACGCTTGTGGCGGTGGCCTTGGTCATGATGCGCGCCCGGAATTTGCGGCCCTGGATCAGCTTCTTGAGCTCCCGGTGCGTCTGGAGCGCCAGCTCGCGGGTGGGGTTGAGGATGATGGCGTGCACGCCGTCTTTCGAGGGAGCCTGCAGGCGAACCATCAACTTGAGCGTGGTGCGGTTGAAAAGTTTGTCCTAAAGCAACTGAGCAGGATGCACAGTTACCAGCCGACTCGTGAGAGAGCGGAATGAAAACAGCCTGAGATTACTGAATGCAAAATCCAAGAATTTTGATGTTTTTCCAAAAGCTCTCTTACTGATTCCGGCAGTTAGGACCAGCCCAATGCGCCTTGACCAGATCTTATGACCGGCAACGACAACAGCTTTGCAATCGTGACAAGAGTTGAGACCCTGGCTCTGGTTCTTTCAACCCCAATATTGTCGAAGAGCATTGCAGAGTAACAGCACATCGAAACCACTGTTCAGCACAACCTTAAAGTTGAGGCCACCACCAAAGGGGACAGAATCAATCAGCCCACAAGTGCACTCTCGCCTCACCTTCAGGCTCAACAGAATAGGAAGCAGAAAGGCCACCGTCTTGCCAGAACCAGTAGGCGCACAGGCAAACACCTCCAGTCCCTGCACAGAAGGTTCCGAACACAAGATGAGTGAAAAGCTGCCACAGCGGTAATGGTCTAACAGCATGCTCTTTTGAGACAGCCAAAGCAAGAGGATGATACAAGCAGAATACTCAAGCCAACGGCAGAGGTAGTGGCAACAGACCAAGCTGAATTGATCAGGGAAACATCGTAATCAAGAGCAGAAATGCACTACCCCTGAACTATCAGTCACTCTCAGGAGCAAAGTCATAGGTGACAACTCACCTTCAGCATCGCTGGAATGGCCTGTCTCTGGATAGGCGTTGGCTCCGAGTATCCACTCTCTGCCAAGTTATTTAAGAGGTACCGCGGGCATGAGAAGAGTGTGCGGAGCTCTGAAAAGTTGGCGAGGGGCGCAGGGACCCCCTGGGAGGGGGCGACCTTGATCTTGAACTCTTTTCTAAGGAGGGCAACCCTCTGCATGCCAGAAGAATACTGTCAGACCTTTATTCCTACACGTTTTCTTGTGAACCTGTTGAAGTGGACAAGCCAACACAACTGAATCTTCGCTACCAACAAGCGAAACTTCTATTTCGAGAATGTGATCAACAAAGCCAAACCACAACCTTGAATCACAACGATGGAAAGTAACTCTTCCGAAGCTTCTTCGATGGCAGAAAGGAAAGCAAGCCTGCTCTATGAGACGATGAACCCGGCTGTGCAATTAACGACAACAGGTTTCAAAGTAAGTGGGTTTGAGCTGCATACCTCGTCATTTGTCGTCTTGCTCTTCGGAAGGAGTCCGGCATCGTCAGCGGCTTTGGCTGCAGGCGAAGCGCCACCACTGGTCCCAAAGATCCGCACGGATCCATCATCTGCAAAAGGCATTCAGCGTCAGACAATTGGCAAGGAAAGACGATATACGATTGGGCAAAAATAGCGAACAACCAACACACCGAACACAATGCAATTTTGAGCTTCTAACCAACAAGAAGGTGCAATGCTTCTTCTTGATGCTAGGATCAAAGAATCAGTTACTGCCAACCTACAATCAGAAACTGGTGGGTCGTGAACGAAGAGTGGATATTCTTATCGCACTTCTGAACTTAGACTCTACCCGGAAGGCTTTGATACAAGCAACCACGGCACAGGCCTCATTTGAAGAATGATTCAAGCATGATGGTAAAGGTGGTGGGTACGGAGTGTATCATTACCTGGCAAGTCTGGAATTGGCGCACCCTTGCGCTTCTTCTTGGAACCCCCAGCCCTCTCTGGAGCCTTGCCTCCAGCAAGCTCCACACCAGTCTCTGCTTGCACTTTTGCCCTCTTCAACGGTCTCTCAGCACCAGTCAACGAGCTCTTTGGAGCCGCCGTGAAGTCGAGAGTGATGGGTTGAGACGCAGAGCTTCCAGGAGCAGGGGCTTTCTGCGAATAAGAAAACTTGGATGTCAGACATATTTTCCCCCACTCTTGTTGATATTCCGTTTTGGGATCTCCCCCTATCTTGGACAACGCATACAGCGTCAATGGTGGTGGTAGAAACAAATGAGTGTAGACAAAAGGTTCGATCTTCTCCAATAATTCTCTGATATTTTGCTGGCATGAACTACGAACTTGGTCTTTCGACATTGAAAAAGACCAACAGAAACTAACGTCCAAAGTGGGACAGTTAGACCGAAGTGTTCATCAGGACTATGTAAGTCAGCCAGGAAAGAGGAGCAGAAACCAGAAGATGTACGAACTTCTAGATGTTTAGAAGGTTTTAGTGTCGGCTGCATGGTCTGCCCAAAGAGGTAAGTGCGACAACGACGCTCCTCACGGTGATGGAATATGCAGCCTGCCCCCGCGGAGGCGTGCGGCCCACCCTATTTCTCCGAAGAGCTTTCAAGGGGCCGCTGCCTACAACGCAGGGGTGGTTTTTGTGTGACGTTTACGCTGGACTATACGGCGTAGAATGCCCGCACCGGAGTGCGGGCTAACCGCTCCGATTGCGCGAGGTAGCAGCCAGGCAGACTACTAGACTCCGTCAGTAGAGACAGACTTTGAAGACATGCGAAAGGAAGGCTTTGTGTACACCCAATTACAACACAAAGGCAAAACATTGCAATAAACTGTTACATGTTCCAATATACACACATCTGTTCAGCAAAAGGGAGGAAGGAGCATTGTTCAAGGTTCAGAAATCCCGCAACAACCGTTACCATGCTGTCTTCTTCACTGCGCGAATCACAAACCTAAACAGACAGACAGAGACGATGACTGATCGACACCGAGGGCTGATGAAAAAGTGGTGCAAGAACAAACGCTTTGCCATATCTTCTCCCACTTCTACACTCTTCTTTATGCACAAAACCAAATCCATTGCAGCTCAGCTCTATTGACCTCAGATAACAACCAGAAGCTCATTCCACACACAAGTTGGACAAAGGCTTACATTGAAAAGCTCAATCTCCTTTTTAAAGCGCCGCCGGTCGAAATGCAGGCCCGCAAACAGCTCTTTCTCCATCCTGCGCTTGCGTCGCAATCAGCCACGAGAGATTGAAGGTGACGCCGAAAAGGCGAAGGTGGCCCAGTCCCTTGGCGCACTGGGACCCGCCAAAAGAGGCGCCATGTCTTGGGCTGCTACCCTCGTGATCTGACCCTCTGGTAGTTCTGCTGCACGTTTATGTACTGCGAAAACTGTCCAAGAGCTCCTTTCAAGAAATCATCCTTGTGGGTTGTCCGAAGGATCCGCTTATGGTTCCGTCCAGCTTTCTCGACCATTGGCATGCGCTTGACTTCAAAGTTGTGGCGAGCTGATCAGCACTGGTGCCAGCAGCTTCCTTGTCAATGTCATAAGAGGCCGTTCAATTCAGGCCCCTGATCCAAATCTTATAAGGAAAGGACCCTTGTTACTATCCATTGAAATACGCATCGTTCGCAACAGCTAGAAATGGCGACGGCGCACCTGAGCAGGGCCCTTGACCTTCAAATGTTTCAACCAGGGGGCATAAGGAAGCCAGCTCGACACAATGGGGACGCAGTTTTCGGGCCAGCCCTTTGTTCCGAGGTTGCTAACACTTCTTTCAAGCAAAGGTGAGAGAGCTGTCCAAGGGTTTCTGCAGAACATTCCCTACACGGATTTTGACAAGGGAAAGTTGTCTTGTGTTAGAATACTGTTATGCTTCTTGCGGAGTCAATTCGCATTCCCCTGCTGAGGGTTCTTCTTTGACAAGGTGGAGTGCAAAGCATTGAAAATCGGTTGTCATGCACGGTACGCCTAGACCAGCTCCATGTTGCTCTCAATCTCTTACATTGACTGGCGCTTCCATCGTGATGTTTTTGTAAAGATTGACGTTCTTGATTTGCCCAGGCACTGAGGCGGCTCGCAGCCCATGCATGAGGTATTGTAATGCCAATTGCTGCGAGCCACCTGAATCAAATGTTGCCAACCAACAAGACGCACATCCAGTTGTGCTGGCTTTTGGTGCCGACACCCTACTTAATGTCCAGATTTTCAAGTCAACGTAGGATTCTACCGGCACTGGCTCAGATACAAAGTTGTTGTCCCTACTTGTAAGACCGATGGGTGGCTGGCTGGGCATAAGAAAGAGCGCAGTATGTGAAAGGTTTTTTTTGCCTTCAGTGGCTGGTGACAGTCAACATTTGTTCTCACCTCTGTCTGCAGTAAAGTGTGCATGGTCTGTCGGGGGTGGTCGAATGCGCCGGGGGCGGACACCAGCTTGCGGAAACAGACCACCCGGCGAAGAATCCTTGAAGGTTGGTGACTGAAAGTTCTCACAGGAGGTTGAGACAATCAGCCCCCCAACCGTCCTGCTGCAGGAGTGTTCCTGTGTTGCTGCTTGGATTCGTCGGTTGTCTCTCCATTCGTTTGATTTGAAAGCGGGGAGCTCCAGTGCAGTTCATGGCTCAAAGTCCATACTTTGTCCAAAAGAATGACGTCTGAGGTGTTACTCTGCTGTGTTGTGCAGGCTTGGAACACCGGCGAGCAGAGTCGGTGCGGACAGGCATCTGGGATTCAATTAGATCTGGGTAGGAGCCATTCGCATATACTGCATACTTTCTTGCATGAGGAGCTACGTTACTGGAAAGCATGTAGACCCAAGCCACACCAGGATGCTTTTTGAAATGAGGTCGATGATCGGTTAAATCCCGTTGCAATCTCCCAGAATTATGCATTCTCGCATGCCACTGTGTTGTTGTGGCTGCCTGAATCGCTATCTCGAAATTTGGGTCAAGAGTCAGGTCCTGAGAACTGCTGGAGCCACTGGCACAGGACTCCAGCAGGCTATCATCACTCAATTGAATTCTCTCCAATTTCTGCCAAGTGCAATCTGTCGGAGAGACCCCAAGATTGGAGTTGCGGTTCTGGTTCCTTCTATCACCAACCCAGACTTGCTTGCTTGCAGGATTATGGGCAACACAGCGACACCAGTAGCAGAAGCAGTGGAAGACGATGAAGAAGAGGAGGAGGAGGAAGTGCCTTTGGAAAATACAGAGGTGGTCCTAATAGAGAACGTTCAAGATGACGGGACGGTGGCGCGCATTGTCTTCACGTCAGGGGGGGAGGTGGATGTGTACGAGTTGGAAAAGTTGTGCGACAAGGTGAGATTTCTTGACGTCTGGCTCGTTGCTTACGCGCTTCCTGCTTATGCAACTTGCCTTTATTCTGTACGCTTTTCACAAGATTGTGGGATTTTGTTCTATTTCCGAGCGTTGAGGTTGACGTGCAGAAAATGAAGTTGCTGTGAAAGAAAGTGTGAAACAATTCCAAAGGCTTTTGGGCCTTTCCAAAGCTTCTAACATTCTGCAGAAGTCCCTTGTTCAGGGGTGGAGTTCGGTTTGTGTGAACGTCAGAAACTCACGTGACAAAGCTGGTGGTGTGTGAATCATCTGTGTCAGCTTTCTGGTTTCCCCTTGGGGAAGGTGCATCGAACAGTATCTTGGACGGGCGTCGATTCTTCCATTTGAATTCCTTCGTATTCATCTTTTTTTCCGTTGGCAGACTAAAGTTTGTTGCCAACAACCCAGCACTGCGAGATTTATTCCTGCTTAGTTGCTGATTGACGTGGGCAGGCATCGAGACTAGAACTAAGGAACCATCAGAAGTGACACGACACTGATCCAGTATTTGCTGAATGCTTTAGTACGATGCAGTTGGTGGGCTTGCATTTCTGGCCAGAGACACTCTACTTGCTTTCTGCTCGAATCTCAGAGAAGATTGGCAATGATTATGCCTCTCATCTTGGAAGGCTTCTCTTCCAAACGCATTCTTGGTCGCTGAATGCCATCACTCTTTGACACCATGTCTTATCACATCAAGTGGTCGACACCCCCACTGCTTTTTACGAAGGGCCTGTCCTTTCATAGGATCTATCTGTCCTCAGTTTGACACCAGCTAGGATGCTGGCTATTGTCGAGTTCCCACTTTGAGCCAATGAATTGCATTCTCTCGTGGTCCTGGTCTTTGGGCGGTTAAACACACTAGGGTCTCACTGTAGCCCGCTTCAATTCCTGCCCAGCCTGAAATGGCTATGACCGAGTATTGGCGACTTGGATCGAGAATTTCAGAGCGTCTTTGCGTGGAACTGATGGCGTGTCCCTGCCATAATTCTCAAGGGCGGGCAATTGTACCATAAGCAATCACGATCGGACCAGAATTGTCTGCACAACTTTCTATTCAGGGTTTGAAAACGAGCCAGCGTAATCAAGCTAATTGGGCGCTCCTCTTTGCTGAGACATCTCTGGTTGCTCTATTAGCTCCAGCGAATTTTAGAATCTCGCGCCTTGAGCACGCATGTCTCAAATGTTTAATGAGCTGGCAGTCCAAAGGTCATTCTGGGCGAAATCTCTGCAGTTTGCCTGCGTAAGACTAGCAGACTCTGCTCAGTGATCAATTGTGACGGATTTCAATTTGACATGGTTGTGAAAGAACACCGTCGAAAAGCCCCATCGACGCCTGATGTCCTGCTTGTTGCTGTTAACGTCATAGCGCACAGTCTTTGACGTCGCTGGTGGCTGTGATGACCTCAGCTGGGCGGTGCCAAACCAGAGAGGTCTTGAGTGACCTTTTGAGGCCACAAATTTCTCGAGTGACCTCTGAAGCCCAAAACTTCTGTGTCATATCGGGGCTCGTAAGTTTCGTAATTCCAGAGTCACTTGCGAAATCGGTAAAGGGTTGGAAGAGGGGAAACCGTTTGTTGGACAAGCTCTGGCATCGCTCAAAGAAAAACCGCCTTTCTTCAAGCCATCTGGGGCATCTCCTCGGGCTCTTGTGACTGTACGATCAGCACCTAGATACGATCGGCAAAGCTTTGCGGCTATTCCGACCAGCCGAATTCGTAGCTCTATCCTGCTCGATTGACTGGGATGTTCGCTGCAGAAGTCCTGGACTTTAAGAAACTCGACTGCTTATGATCAGAACGCAGCCGATTGTGCAATTCTCTTTGAGCCAAAGCCGTGCTGCCTTGCACTCGTTGCGGAGCCTGCTCTTCATTCGTTTTTCTGTAATCTTTCGTGCACAAACAAAGAAGACCCAATGCTAGGGTTCGCAAACTTTGTACCGTGTGAATGCCGGTCGCTTCGTCCGCGGGGACATCTTATGGGAGATAGACTTTGAAGATGGACCGTACGAGCCCAAGCTTGAAGTCGTGCCTCTTTTGTGCGTCAAGATTCGGCTGTGATGGAGGGGCTGCCTGGGACACTGCTTGTCCAGGAATGAAGAGACACTCTGACGCCAAAACGTGTTGGCAGAGTTGAACGTTGATGCAGTGCATTCGTTGAGTTCTGCTGTCATCTGAGGATCACTCTACTACTCCTGGACTGAGAACAAGGCGCTGACGCGGTTGGCTCGACCTGCAGAGTTTCGACTGTCGAAATTTCTCTGTAGCAGTGTCGCAAAAGCGGCTGGCTAGAGCTTTTCTTTTGCTTCCCGCACGCGTCTTTGTCTGATCATATAATCCGAGCTGATTCGCTTTTCGCAAATAAGCTTTCTGCTGACCTTGTCGGCCTGGCGAGCTTTGTGTTGACGCTGTTCTTGCAAATTGCAGGTTGGCTGGCCCCGACGACCCCCCCAGAAAGTGGCCGCCGCTCTTAGAAATAGTTACATGGTTGCCTCTCTACATCTAGCGACAAGGCAACCCTTAGCAGGTCAGTAGCCCACTTCTGAATTCGATGAGCAAGTTCGGACCGTGATGTCAAGCCCACTCATGAGAGTCGGACTGTGACGAAAGTCCAGAATTTTTGTGAGATGTTAAATATTAACCCCAGTGCTTTCAAGCCCCGTTTGTGCAAAAGTACGACCTTCAGCGACACTCTTTCGGAGTTTTGGCTGTCTTGCTCGCTCAGGTTCACGTAGGTCCGTTCTTATCCCGATTAGTCACATCAACGTGGTCATATTTTGCTCATAGATTACCTCGTCAGCGGCTCTTCAAAATAAACTTAGACCGTTAAAGGACTTTGCCGTGCAAGTGAGCTTTGAGTTTCTCCTTTCATCGAGTTTCACGGAACGGGGACGAACCTTCATCGCCGACTCGCCACGTATGTCGCTATCAGTACCTGAAGCCCGTTTCAAAGTTCTTATGACAGTCAATCAAGTTCCCCTCTCCACCGATTACTGAAGATTTTGCCAGTTAGAGAGTTTTGCGTCCCTCAACTCCGTGCGTCTCATCCACCCTGCCCCCAATCATGTCGGAAGCATTGTCATCTTGATCATCTTCGAACATATCGAAGAAGATCATTCTGAAATTCTGAACATTTTGGACCGCAGAAGATGGCGCGGAGCCTGAGGAGAAGCGGGAGCTCATCGGTCTCGCGAGGGCGACGTCGGACCATGCGTTCAATGCGACGATATGGGACGTCTTAGTGGATCCCATCTATCAGGTGAGGTCCATTTGCGTTCCAGACGCGACTTGATTCAGCGATTAGGAGCTGCCGCAAACAAGGTGCTGGTAGAGTGGTCGTTGCGGTTTGAACCTTGACGTGGCAAGGTTCTGTAACCGTCTCCAAGGCTAAAGTCCGTCCAATCCGGGTTGATCGAGCGCTCGTAGCGGGCGAACAAGCTTCTAGCTTTTGCCTTTTTGTTGCTTGTTCGTCTAACAGTGTCAGCGACAATCCGAGGTCTGGCTCTGGCTTGCACAGTGTGATCAACACGCTCTCTCTTGCCAACGAACGGCCCTCTGCCCTTTCTTCGATGCCATCAGATTAATCCTTTATGATGAGCTGCGTTCTGATCTTCCGATTACCGCAATGCTTAGTAAGAGCAAAACCGCTGGTTTCGGCCGCTTCAGGCAATCCTCATGTGCAGCTCTGAGGATTGCTCTGTCCGGCCATTACTACGCACTTTACTCGGTTGGCATTCCCACTTCACATCGAAGCACTTAGCCAAGTGAGAGCTTGCACCGTTTCACACCAAGCCTTGTCCTTGTCTAATTTGAGCCTGGATCAGGTTGAACGGATTGGGGTCCGAACCAGGCTCCTGTTTCAATAACGACTTTGAATATGAACCACTTCTATGTCACTTTTGAGTCTGAAGGTGAACCAAGTTCTTTTTGACTTACGAATCTGGTTCTGAAATTGGTTTGTTACGCGTTCTTATTGCGAATCAGGGTCTGAACCAGCGTCCCTATTTCACCTACGACTTTTGACTTCGGACCAGATTGCGTCACTTACGAGTCTGGAAATGAACCATGTTCTTATCCACTGGGTCTGAACTAGGTGTGTTACGCTTTCTTCCAGGGCCAAGGTTTGGGCAAGGCACTCGTGGAGCAGATGGTGCGCGCGCTCCTGCGGCGGGACATTGGCAACATCACCCTGTTTGCCGATGCAAATGGTGAGGCATCGGTGTGTTTTAGTACCACTTCAACCGTTCAGAAGGGCTTAGTCGAGCGTTTCCAGAGGTTGAGTCAATTTGAAGCCGATTGGCGGTCGTGAAGCGGGAAAGGAAACCGAACTGTCCTTTTGAAGCGTCTCCTCCGGTCTGAACCTTCCGGTACTGGCCACGCTCAATTGTATCATCATCGCGTGCTCAATTGCTGCTATCATCATACGTCAGAAAGTGTTTCAGAAGTCGTCCCTGTGAACACGTCTTCTTATACCAAGATGTCGAGCTTTCTGCCCTGACAATGATGTGCTTACTCGAACCTCTTGTTGTGCAGTTGTCGATTTTTACAAGGGGCTTGGATTTGAGTCCGATCCCGAAGGTATCAAAGGAATGTTCTGGTACCCCAGGTTTTAGCACTGGCAATTTCCACCGACAGCTCATTTGCTGGCACTACCGAGGCAGGTCTCGACGGACCTTGAAATACTTTGAGTGACAGGTCTCCAGTTCGCTACATCCTGCAAGAAACATCATTTGCTAAACCAAAGACGCAAAAGGATGCTTTACGTTACAAGCATAATGGTTGATTTCAATGATGCCTCTTGGATTCAACTCCTTCGTTGCTATCTCGAGCAGCTCGCCTGCGCCTGCATTGCAGACCATCTGCTGAGACGCCTTCAATCTTACAAAATCCCCCTTCGAGGTTTGAATCACCTTCAGGGCCTGCTTCCATGGAGTGGTCACCGCCCACCAAAGCGACTTTCCTTACAGCTCATGTCTTGTGTTTCTTGGCCTTCGAGGCAGAGGAACCGTGTCTTTAGGTAGAAGCTACTCGCGTGTTACCCTCTGCTCGCTGTTCAGTCCACATCGCTGTTACTAAACAGCGATATCTTATATGGAAGACAGAAGCTTATTCAAAGTTTAACTGAGTTACGTGTACGAGAAAGATATTCAGCGCGTTTTTGGTAAACACGAGTAGTTTAGCTTTGAAGAGTGAGCGGACTTTTTTCGGAGCAGCTCAAGTTCGACGAGTATACAGACTCCGTCCATCCAGCTGAAAAAATGGTCAATAAAAAAAGGACGACTTGTAATAAAGAGGTGTCTCATCAGTGTGTCATTCCTTTTTGCGTTTAACGGTTCGCGCTCGGCGTTGTTAGCCAGCAGCTCCTTCCGCCAGCTGGCGGGTGCTCTGGTTGCACGGCGGCTGGCGAGCCCAGTTGAGTACAGTCAGAATTGGCTGACGTAACCAGTCCGCCGTCACTGGAAGATGCACTAATCTGGCTGACGTTGAAATAGAAATTGGTGCTGAGCTGAACCCCCAAAGGTTGATATGCAGTTTTCTATCCACATGCAATTTTTACTCTTAACAGCTAAACGAAGCGATGCTGTCCTTTTCTCATTAAGCTTTACACGGCTATGACGGAACCACACTTGCTGGAACCGGGACTGTTCCAGTCATCTTTGGACGCCCTGAGCCGTCCGTCATTACCAGAAACTTGTACGTTGCAATAGACTTTTTGCAGCTTGCCGATTGAAACCAAAATTTTGCATGTAACTACGAAAGGGAACCTTTGCTTGGAAATCCAAACGCTGGAATACTCATTCAATTGATTGAGCGTCCGTCCCCAAGCGTTTGCGCTTGCGTCGCCCTTACTCTTACACCCAATCTTGGCGGCCATGATGCACGAAAAGTGACCACCAAGAAAGTCACGAGCATTGCTGTTGTCGAAAAGCAGATGTCATCATGTACGCTTCTTCACAAAATCAGCGGGCACCTCGCCTCAACATATTTGTACTTCTGCTTTGTCTGTGTGTGCGTAGTGGTCTGCTTATCTTCGACCACTCTCATTGATCAAGGGTTTTAGGGTATCCGACAAAATCGCTTCACCTCAGCAGGTCGAGATACACGTGTAAGGGCGCTCGATGAAAAACTCGTCGCTTGTAACATGACTCAGACATTGAATGCAGTTGTCTTGAAAACCCGGAGATCTGTACGTCGCTGCTTTCAGGCTTGCTACGGCTAGACTGGCAGGCTCGACAAGCGAAACTTGAGCGGTACGCGTCCGTCCCAGGCGTTCTGGGCGCACTTTTGGGGTCTTGCATCTTGCTGCCTGGACTCATTATTGTTCCGTACTCTTTTACGTGTCTGCAGTGGACCGAGTTTCTTTTATGTAAGGTGATTATGTCGAAGCAGAAACGAAAAAGCGGCGCAGGTCTTGTGCAGCGTCTGCCATCCAACGAGCGGTACTGCTAAGTGGAGCAGGACAAAAGGCTCACTCGAGTTTCCCTGGAGCGCGCTTCTGTCCGCAATCTTTGGGCGGAATTTGCAGACACGGCTGTTTGAGATTCTGCACATGCAGACTGTTTTTCGGACTGCGGTCTTTGTCCTCAAGTTTCTGATCAGGGAACTGGCACGGTGTTTTGCCGGTCCGTTCCTGCATTTACGGAACCTGTGCCTGGGCAATCTGTTCACTAAGCCGGCTGTGAGGGAGTCATGGGAGTCATTGACGTCATCCATTTCGTGGTGCTCCCCAACCGATGCCACTTATTATCGACCGACACACGTGCCAGAACACGTTCCACTATGCTGTCCCTTACTAGTGAGAGGGCAGTCTGTCTCTGTCCATTTCGACTTGGAGTCTGCAGAGGTCTGGCTCACGATTAACTGCACGTACGCAAACTCAGGAAGTGCCGGTCTCCAATCTGCGTCTTTTCTTGTCCATCGACTTCCTTTCGAGACTTTCCTCAATTACGGTACGGGGCAATGATTTGAGTTAGCACCGCCACTTGAGGTCACACTCAACGGGTGGGATTCCGCGGGACAGCCTGCAGCCACATCATTGCGGATTGATTTTCGTGACGACTTGCACTTTGCTGGGAGAAGCCCGTTCGAGTGAGTGGCAGTGACTCGTGGCTCTCGTCAGTGTCGTTGTTAGATGCGTCGCTCGTTGGCTCGGTTTTTCAGGTACTGACCGTCAGCAACGGATACCCAAAGCAGAGGCACGTCCGAAATTCTCATGGATTTCAACATTTTGTATCATGCCAGTCTCTTCAATATCAACGCACTATGGCGGCTCTTTAGGTTTCTTCTCCTCGGCTTCTTGATGTACTGGGTGATTAGTTGTTTTCTTAGACAACGTCCCGGGAACGCGGCTTTGATGGGCACGTTTGTGGGTGTTTTTTTCTCATAGAAAGAGTCCATCTGTCCTGACGCCGTCATAACTTGCAATTTGCAGGCCAAATCATTGTTCTGTAAAGCATATGGAAGTGGTATTTTTACATCAAACAACACTTCAAAAACGCTTTCTTCTTGGCAAAGGAATCTCGACTCGTACCACTCAAAATGCTAGACATCATGCGACTCGGCTGCAAAGCAAGCGCGCGTGTTGGGGTGCTTTCAAATATTGTCAAGCTAAATAGGGTGCTCGCTTGGGCTTTTGGGATTGGCAAGCACAACTCACAGATTCGTATATGACGAATCTCATTTGCAGCAGTGGAACAGAATCCAGGAAAACTGCTCTTTGCTTGCAAGCCTAGCTAGCTTCTCTCGAAACCCACATGGCCCTTTAGTCCACCTGATTCCGCTCGTTTTGGGGAAAGGAAAGCTGACCCGGGTTTTATCAACCAGAAACGTTGAAGAGCGTCAGTTGCATGCGTGCCCACGCTTTACAAAGCGTCTGATCCGGTGCCCTTTAGTGGCGGACGTCGACACGGTTGTTTGCTTGGGTCGTTCCTGCAAGAAGCCGTTCTGACTTGAGTGTTTCGCTTCTTACTTTTCCCATTTGTTGAGACTGCGGAGTGGGAGCTCTGCGTTTTATGATTGGGCACAGGGACGTAGATATCTCAGAACGTTGCAAAAGGATTTTTTTTCGAATAAGTCTGTTAGAACTCACAGTCCGCTTCAAAGTTTTGCTGGCTGGCTTTGAAGGCTAGTTTAGCTTGAAATCGAGTCCGGTGATTGCGTACCAAACTAGACTTCAATCTGGCGGCTTTTTAATTTGAAAGTCCGCCTAAAGTGGACGAGGATTGAGCTCTACTGAGCTTCAATTTCGTTCAGGCCAGTGCAGTCCTTAACCCGCCTTAACCCAGACCCTAACCGGAAAGTTGAGCTTTGCGCGGCCAGTGACGACTGAATGGTATCTCGACTGGCTGCCACTTTCCTCTTCGTCTGCTTTAATGTTCACATGCACGAAGCTCTTCTTTTTCTCGAGCTTCCTTTCCACAGTACGGGCAGAGAATAGGCGTTCGTCTCGAAACCAAGTAGTTTCAAGCCCCTACGATGCTCGGAGCCTCTTTTCCTAGGGATACGAGATACTGTCGTTTCCAAAGTCCGTTCAGATTCGGAATGCTATTGCGGAAAGGGCATACAGATCTTACAACTTTTCCGTTCCTTGATTCACGAGTCAGTGGGGCAATGAAAGGACGGACGTTACCCTTAAAGCCAAGTATCTTCAGCCCAGTGCAAAGTTCGGAGCCATCGCTGCTACGGAACACAGTGCGGTGTCTGCTAAAAGTCCGTTCAGATTCGAAATGCTGTTTGCGGAAAGGCCACACAGGTCTTACAACTCTTTTGCTCCTCATTTCGCGAGAATGCTCCGACGCCCAAAGTCTCCCTCTCTGTGGACCGTTGCCAAAATTCATGTGTATTTAGAAAGGAAGGTCAATCTGTACAGTCATATCCAGTGCCACTCTCTTCCAAGCACCTTATTTCCCCAGCGTTTCGAAAGTTAGACGTCTCTTTTAAAATGGACCGGATTAGCACCGCTGATTTAGTTTTGCCGTACGTCGTCTAATTTGTTGAGCGTATTTCACAGAAGCGCTGCTGTGCTTTACCTTGACGTCCTCGGCCTTTGTCCTAGTAACCTCTCAAAAGTCAACTTTGACCTTATATCATCTGTTACAGAATGGCTATGACGATAACCCGGGTGGGACTTTTCTCTGCGCCCACTTATCATTTCTCTTTCGATGCCAGGGTCGCTTCAATTCATCGATTGCCGTTTGGCGAAAAGGTCCGCCTGTAAGAAGTAGTGCACTTCGCCGCCACAATGAGCCCTTTGGTGTGCAGTTCTCTATCTAAGGCTCGCCGCTTCTTGCTGACCCTCGCGCTGGATCCTTCCTCGCCCTTTCTCTTGGATTCTATTCAAAGATGGTCCTCCATTTTTTCGCCGGCTTTGGTTGCTGCTTTTTTTACAATATGTCCAGTCCGTTCAAGCGCTTGACGAGCGTTCGACGGCGCCCCTAAATCTAGGGCCCCTTTGGATGTGTTGTCTTATTGTCGTGTCGCCTTGCGAGAGGTATGGGTTACGTGGGCTTTAGCTGGTGATTGGGCTCTTCACTGCGTTTCGTTACATCGTTCTTGCTCTTCAGTCGGACTTGGCGGCCATGATGCATGGAAATGACTATTCCAAAGTCACCACTGTCTCGAATCTAGGAATCAGATGTCGTCATTTCTTCCACAGGCTTCCGCAACATGCATTAAATGCAGGTTATGACTGGTTCTCCTTAGACTGCATCTCGTGGTTTTAGAATATAGGACCGCTGTCTTCTGATCTTGTGAAGATTTAGAGAGCCG